TGGGAGTGAGACACCAAGCAAAGGTTGAGCAGAAAAGGGGAAAGTGGATGGGGAGGTCACCACAGGTGAGGTCAAAGAGGTAGGTTTTATGGTGGGACTCTTAACAACAGATAGACAGTCTCTAAAGACTCTAAAGAGAGTTGGAGATAGGGAGATCCAGAGGTGTAGGATCTGAAGGTTCAGTCACAGAAGATGGAATGAAGTGACCTAACAATATATAACAATATAAACTAAAAATAATAATATGCAATTATATTTTTCAGCCACAAGATTCTTCACCTCTTTGCATAATTAGAACTATCCAGATAGACTCCCTTGCCTTACCTTAACTGCTAAAACCATGTAATTGATACATGAGAATAATATTTTGTTGTTATAGCTTTATCACATCATCAAAACGTCCAAAGTTTTTCACATGATTTACGACAAAATGTAATGACTATATATTTGTAGGCAAACAAAAATGAACATATCATAAAATATGGCATGATATACTTGTTAAAACCTACAAAATGAGCCAAGCTTTCACCAAGGTCTGTGAAGGGGAGAGAATAATAATAATAATCCTTGCATTTGATATAGTTCCTTATCATGTCTTCAAAACATTTCGAAGCGCTCCACAGAATATACTGTAAAATGAACTGACTGTATATTTGTGGGCAAAACAAGGCAGCCCATTGCGCACAGCAGTGTCCCACAAGCAGTTGTGGATTGAGTGACCAATTTTTTTTTTTTTTTGAAGGAATTATTACCCCTGGAAAAGCAATCCGCTAATAACCGGGTTCCTACACTCCATGCTCGGGCCCCTCCTACCTCTCTGACCTGCTGACTCTCTACCAACCTGCCCGCTCCCTCCGCTCATCAGGCTCGGTCCTGCTCCATGTCTCCTGCCCGACCCATCCTACCATCGGTGGCCGGGCTTTCAGCCTCTCTGCCTCCACACTCTGGAACGCCATCCCACGGTCCCTTCGCCTCGCTTCCTCCCTTGCCTCCTTCAAGGCCGGTCTCCAGACCCTTCTCTTCGACTGTGCCTTTGGTCTCCCTCCCACCTCTCTGCCTTCCCTCACCCCTACACCACCCCTCCCCCATGCTCGGGCCCCGACATCTGACTGCTACTCCTGAAAATGAAAATCAATGATGTCCTCCCGACGTGAAAGGCCCTCTAAAATGTAATTTTGTTGTTGTTGTTACTGCTAGGTAAATAGAGTTGTGTGGAGTAAGGAAACTTGCCCAACATTTCGCCCTGCCGGAAGTAGGCTTGAAAGGCAAAATATTGTGTGCAATTGCAATTAGTCAAACCTTTTACCTTGAACAGTTTTACAATTTTTTTTAAACATCAATTATTACTACTAAGAGCTACTCCTGAAAATGAAAATCAATGATTCCAAACAGCAATGATTAAACGTACATCTTTGAGATACTTAGCTTGGGGAATTTTGCCAAGAAATTATAAATGTATAAAATTGAAAATTGCTCAAATCCTGCTTGGGGAACATAATATGGAAACAAGAAAGGTAATTCAGCCAATCCAGTGTTTTTTGTAAACGTTCCTTTAATCTATTTTATATACTTCGGATGAGACATTAAACTGGGGTCCCGTCTGCCTATTCAGGAAGATGTTAAAGATCCCATGGCAGGATTCAAAAAGGGAAGGAAGATTCTCTCGGTGACCTTGCCAACAATCTCCCAAATAAAAATTGGTCATTCGCTCCATGGCTGTTCCATGGAACAACACTTTGTGCAATTGTGCTGCCGCGTTTACCTACAAATTACAGTAAATCCTGTGAAGCGCTTTGAGACGTCCTTCTGATGTGATAAGGTCCTATACCAATGCAAGTTTTTATACATATACATTATACATACATGTAATATTAATAGTATTCCTTCCTTCACTTCCTGCTAAATCAGGAATCTGTCTCAATCACTTTAATGCTTTAAGTGATGTAATTTACTGTACCAATAAAGATGTATATCAGCTGCAATGGAAAATGAGCCATGCAGAGGAAGCCCTGGAGAAACATAAAGTACACTTCAAAGTGAAAGCAAACGTTTGTGACTTGCCGTATTGCCGTTCATACTTTAATGACTGAAAGGAGTGACTATCTCTGAAGTTCTTCCCCACCATTAAATAGGTCGCGGCAGTTGAATTCAGTAAGAAGTTTGTGGATTTCTGCCTTTACAACTTCAGAGTGATATGAGCAGGCACTGAATGTGGATCTCCCTGCACAGTCAATGAGCATGCTGTTCATTCACCTCGACAGTAATAACAAAATACACAGTCACTACACTTTACAGTAAATCCTGGGAGTGTTTTGAGACTTTGTTCGACATGAAGGTTGCTATATTAAATACAAGTATTAATATCATTATAATTATTAATAATAATATTCACAAACTCCAATCTTAAAATCACTAGTTCATAAGTCATCCCACATGGTTTACATTTTATTTCATTTTCTTTTTCTATTTCTTTAAATTCAGTTCTAGCTGAGCTTGAATCCACTGTGCTCTCAGTCGTGGCACCATAGATATCTCCTCTGACTGGTTGCTTGTTTATGTATTTGGATTTTTAAACCATAACACATTGGGATCTTTGCAATGGTCTCTGCATACTGGACATTTCATGTCGGTTTGTAAGGGCATTGCTGTGCACAAATTGGCTGCTGTGTTCGCCGACAAATGCAAATCACTGCGCTGTTAAGCCCATTTGAAAAGTCTTCCTGACGTGAAAAGGCGCTATATCAAATGCAAGTATTATTATGTTACCAGTCAGCAGAGGCAAATGCTGTGAGCTGTGCCATTGCAAGATAAATGGAGATTTTATGTGGCAAATTCCCTTGGTACAGCTTTACATTTACTGCAAATGTTATTTCAGAAACAAGTGTTGATTTCAATGAATGGAAAGCATTTTGCATGCAGGCACCTAGAAGGGCAGAAAACATTACTTCAAGATTGTCGCGCATTTTAGTTCACAGCTCTCTCTCTAACGACATAGTAGTGAGTTTTAAACATAATTGGGTGTTGGTAATCATTTACTGATTAAAGGTTTCCCCCCAGGGTTGTTGGGGAGGCGGGGGGGTGGAGGCGGAAATTCACGATTTGAAATGAACATCTCCACCCTTTTCCATTAGTTTCGTGTATAACCACTCAAACCCGGTGGACTTCTGAATTTAATGAGAAAGAATCACAGGTTTGAGAGCTTGAATTGGCAGCCAGAAATGTTTAATGTGCCAATGCATATGTCAAATGTGGGTAATTCATCACAGCGCTAGTTCCAGTCCTTTAATATGAAACGTTACGTTGCAGAGAGATTGAGTAATTCAACACTCTTTCACCTCTGTGACCCGTGTTCAAAAGGAGCCCAGACTGACTCTCTCTGTCTCCTCATTCCTCCAAAAAGCAATTGTGCAGTTTCAGAGCAGGACCCAATTCGCAACAGTTCACAGCACAAAACTAACTTGTGTCACCATGGACAGGGAATAAGGGTAAGAGGATTATATTCAAATTTGTGGGATGTAGTCAATGTTCTCAGGCACTGACCCGATCACGCCCGTCCTTGCCAGACTCCACTGACTTCCCATCACGCAGAGGATACAGTTCAAGATCCTGGTCCTCACTTTCAAAGTCCTCCATGGTCTTTCTCTCCCCTACCTGTGCAACCTCCTAACCCCTACCAACCTGTTTGCTCCCTCCATTCAGCGGGCTCTGGCTTGCTTCACGTCCTTTGCCCGGCCTAGCATTGGTGGTCGGGCCTTCAGTCACTCTGCCCCCACCCTCTGGAACTCAATCCCGCAGTCCCTCTACCTCGCCCCTTCCCTTGCCTCCTTCAAGACCCATCTCAAGACCTTCCTCTTCGACCGTGCCATCGATCACCCTCCATCCCCCCCTGCCCTCCACCCTCCCCAATCCTGATCCCCAGCTCGGGTCTGAAACACTGATTGTCCAGTGCCTTGGGACTTCTTCAAAGTGTAATTTTGTTGTTGATGTACCCAAGAGGTCTCTACTCGGGCTTTCTTACTTTGCATATAAAATACTTTGGTCTGGAATGCACTGCCTGAAAGGGTGGTGGAAACAGATTCAATAACAACTTTCAAAAGGGAATTAGATAGGTACTTGTAAAGGAAAAAATTGCAAGAATATGGGGGAAGAGCAGGGGAGTGGAACTGATTGGGTAGCTCTTCCAAAGAGCTGGCACAGGTACAATGGAGTCCACTGGCCTCTCTCTGTGCTGTAATATACTATGATTCTATGATGATGGGGTTAAGATGTCTAAATTTGCTGATGATACAAAATTGGGGGGGGGGGTGAGACAAACTGAGGAGAAATGCAAGAGTGGGCAGCTAACTGTTAAATGGAATTTGCTCTTTGTATGTGAGATCAGAGTGGGGGTGGAACAGGAGTAGTAAAGGACCTTTGGCTGAATAATTTCATGTCATGATGTGTTCGAGCTGCAGAGAACCTCACCACTGTGCTGCCATCTCAGTTTGATGAAAAACCAAGTTGCACCATATTAGAATGGCTCAATCATGAAGTATTAAATAACACAGACCTTGTGACGTTCTGGAAATATTTATTCAGCCTGAAACACAGCCTAAAATGAGTACTGGAGAAAGAAAAGGTAGCTATGAAGATACCATTTACCTTTAAGATTGCAATTTATTTTTGTGTGAAGAATGTAAATTGTTTGCTTTGCTCCCTGTGATCCAGCCAGTGAACTTGAGGCAAGATATACAATATTCTGCTCTGTTGGCTAAGTTGAGCGAGTTTGTTTCTATGCGCTTATAAATATGATGTCATATCAATCTATAAACATACAATAAAGATGAGCTCAACCACTTTTCCTGGTAACCCTCTCCAGCTGTTGATTGCCCTTGTCCTTCAAACTCCAAAACCTCTGTGCAAACATTGACTGTCAAAGGTACAACCTTGACTACTATTCGTCTTATAACTAGTGTATGTTCTGGGCAATAGACAAGAGAAAGGAACGTGGGGTTTCTTACCGGTGGACTCCACTGTTGCACATCATGATGTGGCAGGCTCCCAAGCGACTGCAGAGCTCGGATGAAACGGACAGCAATCCAACCCCAGATGCCCCACAGGCCGTGTTAGCACAGTCTGCAGTTCGTTTTGACCTGATAAAGGATTCCATCAATCGATAGAGCTCATCCAACGCATTGAGAGGCCGCAGGAGCTGTAAATCAGACAGCTCTGGAGTCAATATGAGTAGTGTTCACTCAGACTGCTTAAGGATACAAATCTAACACAAAGGGGAGGCAGATAACAGACAGAAATAGTTTGGTGCTGAAATCTGCTTCCATTTTGTGAGCTTGTTTGGAGAAATTAAAAATTATTTCTGACTCAAACCTGGCAAACATTGCCATTCCATAAATCCATGAAATGATTGAAACATGCATACCTTGTCTATCATAGCAGCTTTGGATGAGTTCGGGGGTAGATTTGACTTGTCCAGATAGAATGCCCTGTATAAAAAGTAAAACCATCAAATAAGGTATTTGGAAAATGTTACAACACAGATTTATAAGAACATGATTTTCCTCAGTATTTTAATGCCAAATGTTTTGGCATTAAAATATCGATAATCCATAACTTAAGAAGTTTAAGTAACCAAGCAGGAAAAAGAAATTAAAAGCACTAAATAGCTTTATAAATAGCCATTGTGTGTGGCGTGTGTGTGTGCGCATGTGTGGTGTGTGTGTGTGTGGCGTGTGTGTGTGTCTGTGGCGTGTGTGGTGAGCATGTGTGGTGTGTGTATGTGCAACAAGAACAACTTGCATCTATATAGCACCCCTCACGCAGGGTAGCGTTCCAGAGCACTTGACGGTGGCAGAGCACGGCGCCATCCGGAGGGAGAGGGGAGGTGACCGTAAACATGGTCAAAGAGGAAGATCTTCAGGCAGCACCTGAAAATGGGGGAAGGCGGGTGCAAGGCGGAGGGATTGAGGAAGAGTGTTCACAGAGTTTCGGGACATAGTGGCCGAAAGCGCATCCAACGATGGAGAGCATGATGGACAAGCAGGAGGCCAGAGCCAGCCAAGCAAAGGCAACGGGTAGTGGGTACAGGATTAAGCAGGTAAAAGTGGTAGGGAGGTGCCAGGGCATGAAGGGATTTGAAGGCGATATAAAATGCAATGATTTTGCATTTTAGGGATTTAGGGTGTGTGAGTGTGTAAGGGTGTGTGCATGTGTAGGGGTGTGTGAGTGTGTAGGAGTGTGTGTGTGTATAGAGGTGTGTGCGTGAACAGGGGTGTATGTGTGCAGGGGTGTGTGCCTGTATAGGGATGTGTGCGTGTGTAGGGGTGTGTGCAGGTGTACAGGTGTGTGCGTGGGTAGGGGTGTGTGTGTGTGTGCGTGCGTGTAGAGGTGTGTGTGCGTGTGTCTGTGTACATGTGTGTATGTCTGCCTATGAACCAGTATTTTGAAAGAAGTTTTTAAAAAGTAAATAAGGTTCAACCAATTGTGATCCTGCTGTGACGAGTTCAAATTGTTTTTCTAAAAGTCAGCACTGAATTTTCATGTTCCTCGCTGTATTTCTGACTGACATATAAAATTCATTGCATTTTGTATCATGCCTTTCACGTCAGTAGATACAGTTGACCTAGAACTCTCTCCTCATTTCAGATTCCAGTGTTCCAAGTTGCAGAACAAGGCAGGGACGGAGCCTAAATCCTCTGTTCTATCTGATCAAGGCTCTGGCCTCAAGTGCAAATAAATATGTTAGTCAGTGCCTTTTGCATATCAACCATGAATTTACATACACCACACAAATGCTCATGACCTTCAGACAACCTGTCTTCCTGTGATGATGCTGCAGGATCTGACAACACTGACGTGAAAACTATTTGTAAATCTCTCCACCAGCCCGTACACATCTATAAACCCCTTGGTGTGAACACTCTCATTCATTCTGCAGCACAGATGGCAGGAGAATGGTTCTAAACATCAAGTTCAGTTTCCCAATCTCTTGCAGTCAAGAGTTGAAATGCAGTGCCTTCAAATTCTTTGGATAAAAACTACCAAAGAGACGTGAGAGCTTCACTCTAAGAATAGGAATGCAAGAACATAAAGCTTCTTCACTGATCGCTTTCCCCAGTAAATCAGCCATAGATGAAACTGAATATGTCCTGTCTATGTATTGTCACTTGAAACCCCTGGCAGGATTTACTTACTACTTTCTAAACTAGGCTTCCTGAATGTTGCACTGGGTTGTCTTGCCAAATAATAATAATCTGTGCAATTTGATACAATAAAATAATCCTTGCATTTGATACAATACAATAATACTAATCTCTATAATTGATATAATAAAATAATACTAATCCTTTTATTTTATACAGCGCCTATCAAATCAGGAGGACATCTCAAAGCATTTCACAGGATTTATTATAGAGTGGTATGACTAGTACCTTAGTAAAATTTTGAATAACTTTTCTCTCCTCCTAGTGACCATCAGTGTCAAATGTGAGACATCTGTTTTACTGTTCCCTTTTATGCCAGCTGAAATTTATTTTTATATATAAAAAGTCTGTTACTTTAATATTAATTAATCCAGATTAATCGGTCTTTCGGGTCTTGGCTGTTTGTGGGATTTTGCTGTGCACAAAATGACTGCCACGTTCGTACTACAAAATCACTCATATTTTCTTTTAACTCATATATTATAAAGTGACACTCCAATGTTGGAGGTGCCGTTCTTCAGATGAAACTTTAAATCAGTGATGGCCAACCATTTTAATTGGCCAACCAAATAAATTTTCCTTGATTGAATATTCTTCGATTTATGGCCAGGGGGCCACTGCTTTAAACTGAGGTCCCGTCTGCCTGTTCAGGTGGCGTTGAAGATCTCAAGGCACTATCTGAGAAGAGAAGGGAGTTTCTCCCGATATCCTGGTCGACAATCTTCCCAATAAAATCGGTTGTTCTATTCATGGCTGTTTGTGGGACATTGCTGTGCACAAATTGGCTGTCTCATTTGCTCACAAAACATACAGTCACAGCATTTTACAGTTTATCCTGTGAAGCGCTTGGGGGAGTCCTCTCAACGTGAAACCCACAATATCAAATGATATACCTATTTATTGAAAAAGAAAGGAAATCCCCTAGTGGAGCAATTACTCTTTAAAAGCAGCCAGAGGAAGAAATGCCCGGGCTGGCACCTGTCAACTTCAAAAGTATGACTGACATTACAAATCGATTGTTGCACAGAGAAAGGTTCTTTTAAGATAGAGATGTCAAATTAGTTAATAATAGATTTTCCTTTTGTTAAACCAATTTAAAAGTCCTGATATGCCTAAGCTATCTTCAAAATCCATTGCAGGAACTTGGAACCGTGTTCTCAAGGGACCAGTGACGACGCTTTCTACCTCTTGCACAGCAGCCTGAGACTGATCAAAGCTCTCCAATTCATTAGCTTGTGTTAGTGTATGACAAGCAGCACAGCCACAGTTCACTAGTATGCGATTGCAATAAATATATATTTTACTTGTATTAAATTAGGAAAATATTACAGTGATGGCACTTTGATAACATAACACATCTTCTCACGTTAAACTACAGCAAAAACGCTGTCTTTGATGTCCATCAACACATTTTGATTATGTCAACCCACTTATTCATCGAGGACAAGTTGCTTCAGCAAGATTTGTAGAACAACAAGTGGTCAGTTTGCTGGTCAATGATTTCCTTCCTGGGCTTTTATTTTTTTCCGCTCCCCGCTCACTGTCAGGTGTGCATCTAACAAGATACATCTAATCAGAAAAGCCTCTTGGATTAGAATTTTATACCATCAGATCATGAAATTCATATACACGAACTGAAGACGAGCATTTGAAACTTCATTCTGAGCAGCAACCAAACCCACTGCTTACATCGCTCCACGACATATTTCACCAATTTGCATCATTATTACATCTGTTCTGCATCTCCCTCCTCTCTCAAAGGCTGTTCCTCAAAGTGGATTATTGTACAGTTATCACTATTAAGGATTGTCACCCCAAGCAATGTAATCAATTAATAGTTAGAAATCATCTTCCCCTATGCCTCTGGATAAATGCTTAGCCCTACAGATCAGGATATCTCCAGGTCTGGTTCTTGGCCTGTGCTGAATTCCAAACTAAGGTATGGTGAAGTTTCAGTATCTCTGGGGAAGGGGAGAAGAAAATCACCTGAGACATCCTGCTTTCCCACTGTCCCCGGTATTGAGTGCTCTCTACAGTTAAATACTGAAGGTCACTGACAAGTCACATGAACAGTGGTCACTTGGACAAGGTACCATTAGGACTATCTCTATATTCCGGTGAGAGCCAATGCCTTTGATATGGGACAGCACAGCACTGAAAGAGGTTTTAAAGAAAACAACTGTCATACGAAAAGCTAAGGATTAAATCGTGTTTCAAAACAAAAATCATTTGGGCCAACCCACTCTCTGAAATCAACGCGGACAACTGATTTAAGTTCTAACTTCTGTGTCGCCAGATTGGAGTTAAAGGAGGCTTTTGGACCCAAGGTAGGAGATGAGTGTCTGAGCAGAGATCCACAGAGTTAATACGAGACACATACATAACTGCAGGGTCTGCGATTTATAAATCCTTTTACAAAATTGCACATTAGACCCCAAGTGACTTTTTGTAAACCACAAGAGAGATTTATGTAAACAGATGGTGAAAGACAAATATCCCAGGCACAGCTTTCTACAAAAAAAGAGTGAACCGCATCAACAAGGACACATAAAAAAGTGTTTGGTAATGTAACATATAGTGGATCAGAAATTTCTTGCCAATTGAGCACCGACTACATCTTAATAAATCTGCAGTATTGATGATCGAGCCATTAATCCTCTTGTGTGAACGTCATCCACATCAAGGGCACAGAAAGTACTCGTGTCCTCCAGGACACACATACTGCTGAAAATAAAAAAGGCACTCTAAACAAAACGCATTCTAAGTAACAGCCGGCATCATGAAAAGCCTTCAAGGTTGTAATTTTGTAACCACTCTAATAATTCATCCATTATTCTACTGCTAGGCGTTTCAAGTTTATCCATTATTCTATCACTGATACCTTTCAATTTATGTGTAATCTGAGTACGGCTGTCTTGTTTTTTTCTCTCTCCCATTTTAAAGCCACTTCTTATCCTGAGAGTGCAACCTGGATCTGCAACTCACCGCACTGCTACGTATGAAGCTGCAACCTACCACCTTGCAGTTATCCTTTCAATAACATTTTTTCCTTTGTAATCTCTCCAAAAGGTTAATCATTGGTAAATTAGCAAAGCCTTAGCATAAGACCTACTGATAAGGATCTACACAATGGTTATTTGGATTTTAATAATTATAATAATCCTTGCTTTTGATATACTGGAGCACCTTTCAGATCCCAAAGCACTTCACAGGATTTACTGTAATGTGTAATGACTGTGTATTTTGTAGGTGAATCTTAAAAGGAAAGGATAAAATGTGGCCTGGACATTTTGGGACTTTGCTGAAAAAAATGTAGTCACTCAATCCACAACTGTATGTTGGACATTACTGCCGTGCTTTGCCCACAAAATATACAGTCAATCCACTTTATAATATATTTTGTGAAGCAATTTGAGACGTCTCAACGATGTCATAAGGCGCTATATGAAATGCAAAGATTATTATTATATCAGAGCACACTTGGTAGGTAAGAAAAGCAAACTAATCAACATTATTGGACTCCATTCTTCCAAAGTGCTGAGTAATTGCCTGCCACGTAATATAGATCTAGTCATATTTAAATGACGAGCTTTCAAATATGAAACCCTGACCTAAAGCTGAACACTTGTTTTAAATGAAGAACAGATTTTCAAAGCAGCATTGCTGGCCCAAGCGCAATTTTAAAACATTCCTCTTAATCAAGGTGGAGGTGTCCCTTCACCTCCCACCCTAACTCCAATGAAATGGAAAAGCTGGATATCTGCCAATCAAGAAGAACATTTAATTAAATGCACTGAAATGGAAATTAGGACAGTTGGTTCAGATGAGGCTTGAGCAGAAGTGAAGTGCACATTGTGGTGACTTCTCTATAAAACTGAAGCCAGAATCACATCCAGCAGTCTATAGGGCAATCCGCCCGAGGGGGAAATGAACATGCCAGGAATATCTAACCGCAGCCAACTGGCAAACCTGAAACAACATCACTAGCACAAAAATAAAGTAAATAATATTTAGTAAGTGCATACAAGACAAACAAATAGTTGCGTGCATCCGTTAGGAAGTGACCAGGCAGACAAGACCTTGGTTGAACATCTCATCTGAAGGATGGCACCTCTGAGAATGTAGTGTCCTCCCAGCAGTGTGTTGGGAGTGTCAGCCTACAATATGAGTTTAAAGTCCCGACATGAGGCTTGAACGCACAGTCTTCAGATTCAGAGGCAAGAGTGCTATTGATTGAGGCGGGCTAATACCTTACTTATCACGTACTTCTTCACAAACACTGCCGATTTCAGCGCCTTGGGACTTCCTCCCAACGTGAAAGCCGCTCTATAAATGTAATTTTGCTGTTGCTATTGTTCAGTGACTGTTTTTATAGACACTCAGGATATTCATTTGGTCTCATAAACAGCCCGTGAGGTGAGTGACCAATTCAACGCAACATGAAAGGCTTTACACTGTACCTAAATGTGAATTTGTATTGTAACCACAAGGGCTCAACTGGAGCTCTGCAAAATAATTGCTGAATCTGTTCATGTACATCTTCATAGAATTGTTCTGTTTTAAACATCTTTCAGTTTAAAAAAGACAGATTATGTTGAAGTGACAAAAAGATAAATGGGAGACAAAAGATGAAACCCGTCAAATGACAGATCTATTTAAAAGCCTATTGAAATAGCTAATAATAATCCTTGTATCTGATATAGCGCCTTATCATGTCTTCAAGACATCTCAAAGCGCTTCACAGAATATACTGTAAAGTGAATTGACTATATTTTGTGAGCTATGTCTAAAAGCCATGCTAAACTTTATTGTAAAGCACTGCTGATAAGAGGGGAATGCAATCGTGCTTGGGCACTTTTAATGTAAATAACTTTCACTTTTTTCCCTGCCCTTTCTTTCAAAGCTAATCATTTTAAGAATGAGTTCCTTCTGGAGGTTAATAAACATCAACTTGGGATAATTATTAAAAGGCTTAGAATTCTACAGAGGCCATTTCCTTTTTAGCCTTCAGCTGCAATGCCTATGCTCTCAGGATCACTCCACCAAACCTCCTTCTCCTTGTGCCTTGTCTCTCTCTGCCTTCATAATCCCTCTTCAAAATAGACCTCTTTAACCGGTCCCTTTGGTAACCACCTTCATGTTACCCTCTCCTTCCTCCCTAATTAGTTCTGTTCCCTTCGTTCATTATACAATTACAAAACACTACTGCACAGAAATGGGCGATTCAGCCCATCAAATCCAGTCAAGTGCTGGTAAATCCTATCAAGCATTTTAGGATCTGGAGTCCTGTAGCTTAGTGGTCAGAGCACTCGCCTCACAAGCGAGAGGACCTGGGCTTGATTCCCGCAGGGTAAAGTGTTGGGCACGTTTCCTTAATTCGCACACACGCCTCTGTTTACCTAGCAGTAAATAGGAATCTGCTTGTTTGTCGATTGGCAGATCGCTTTTCCGGGGGTAATAATCCCTTCAAAAAAATAATAATAATAAAAAAAATTTGGTCACTCAATCCACAACTGTTTGTGGACACTGCTGTGTGCAATTGACTGCCGCGTTTCATCCACAAAACATACAATCAATTCACTTTACAGTATATTCTGTGAATCGCTTTGAGACGTCTCGAAGTCGTGATAAGGCGTTATATCAAATGCAAGGATTATTATTATTAAGACCTCCTCCAAATGTGAAAGGCGCTATTCCAAATGCAAGGATTGTTATTATTAAAACCCGCAGCACAGATGTTGTGCTGTTTCTGTGCAGTAACGTTCTATGATTGTAAAATGAAGGAATGCAAGTGAATAGATCGAGAAAACCAAGGGCATCCCGAAAGACTGAAGAGGTGATGTTCACTGTATGCACCTGTGACTGACACTTTCCTAGGCAGCAATGCAACGCAGCTTGGAAACAATCTTGCAGCTTCGGGAATGTGGGACTCCGTTGCTGCAAGGGATTTGTGAATTGTGTGCGGTGAACACATGAGACATAGAAAATCAATGTGATTCAGAGAAATGAGGCACTGAAAGTTCACAGTCTGCTCTCGGATTGAAGGGCATTATCGATTATCTTTAATCCTCAGTTTAGAAACAGAAACTGACCAACTGCTTAAAGTTTCTGGGTTGATTCAATTAGTTTATTCCAATTAGATGACTTGTCAGAGTTGAAGTTACTCCACAGTCCCCTTGACCTGCTGTTCCAGGTTCCTTGAATTAAAGGAATTCTAGCTTATTAACCATGTACAACCTTTTTGTACGATCTCTGTGAACTGGGGTCAAGTACACTTAGCAAGTGGGACTTGCCTTCAAAATTAGTTCCTCCTGCAATTTCTCTTTATATCACCGATATTATCCTGCTCTCTAACATGAGTTAATCCTTCAATCCGCTCTGCACCCAGCTGACCAAAATAATGTAGCACGAACGTCTCAATGCACTTCAAAAAGGTAATGGCGTATAATAATAATCCTTACGTTTGATATAGTGCTTTTCATACAGGAAGGACATCTCCAAGAGCTTCCTCGGATTTTACTGCAAAGTGCAGTGACTATGTGTATTTGTGTAGTCAAACAAAACAGCCAATTTGCGCACAGCAATGTCCCACACTAAGGTTCATTGCTAACCACATCACACACTGTCTTCCAGCAATATCATATTCACATTTATTAAAATAATTGTTGTTCAATGAGCTGTAATAATCAACAACTTCAATGCGTGCTAAGCCAAGAGAGCAGATCATGTAAGAAAATACATCAAAACTCAAAACAGGATCTGCTTCCCCCTTCTTTCCCACCGCCCTTCTGCCCAACCTCTTCCCACCCACATCCCACCCCCAAGATTTTGCTTGGTGTTGGCACTGTTCTTCCACAGGAAAACAGTCCCTCTCCCTAGCTCCCTATAATCTGTTCATTTCACTGTGAATAATGTTCCGCAGGCATTCTCCAGAGAGCGTTAGTATTAATCATTTTGCATTTTCCACTGCACCAGATTTCAAGCCCTTAACAATTCGGTTTGTTTCAGATTGCCTCGAGTAAGTGGCACTAATTGAACCATCAGTGAAACACATCCTTAAACCTTGAGTATCTGCGCTAAAGCTGCTTCAGGTACCTTCATATTAAACTGAGGAAATGATGCTCACTGGTATTGTAACTGCAGGCATCAGAGGCTGTGAATCTGAGTTGTGGTAGAGGCTAATTACACGCACAATGGAGATATAAATGCAATTTGTTGTTGTTGATACAAATCATTCATCTGCTTTAAATAACCTGTACAGTGTGATCAATAAACAGCACCGACAAATTCTCTCAAGAGAAATAAATCCTTGTAGGGACCATCTGGTGTTAAATGCAAATGATACCTTTGTCAGTGCTAACTACACAGATTGCATGAAATCACTATTCTAACTCAATGCAATTCAAATGGGTGAAATTCTGGATACATCAGAATGTATTGTTGTCTACTATTAGCTGGAGGCCGGGGCAGTTCACTGCATCAACATCTCCACAGCCATTGATGTACAGTGGCTTCCGGCATTATTGTACGACCAATATAATGTGTATTTGTAATAGAAAGGAAGAATTTGCATTTTTATGGCACCTTACCACATAAAAATATCTCAAAGTACTTCACAAGCAAATTACTGTCAAGCACAGTGATTGTTTTTGTAATCAAATGCAGTGGTCTTTCTTTTTGCACTGTTAAGGTCTCACAAACAGCCACGAAGTGAACGACCAATTTTAACTGGAGGACCACAGCCCGGAACCCAACAGAAACTTCCTTCTCTTTCTGAAGAGTGGAATAGGATCTTTAACGTTCACTCTAACAAACAGGTCTTGGTTTTGACATCTCATCTGAAAGTTGTCAGCTCCAATAATCCAGCACCCAAAGGACATGTTAGCCTAGACTTCGTGGCTTGAACCCACAGAAATCTAGCCCCAAGGTGGGTATACTATCAATTGAGCAACAAGATTGTCTATCATAGTGTTAGCTTTTATAGTCATATAATAGGGAACCACTTATTTTACCACATCAGAGGTTGGAAATTCTTCACTGCTGAAACATTAAGACAATTATCTTGAAATTTTAACATCGTGAAAACCTCTAGGATGCAGGGCAGGAACCTTACCTGAGTCTTTGGCAATAATTTTTCACATTCTCCAGAGAGGCTCCATTGATCTGTGCCTGAAATTCCTCTACAGACACATTGTTTCTGTAGTAATAGCCCTCCATACTTTCCATTGCTAAATAAGAGAGACAGATTATTAGTGACCGACATTTGTATCAATGATTCAGCAGCTAAGGCTGCAAGATGCAACAGCAGTGGAGCAATAACATACAGAAAGGATTGCCTCCCTCCCAACAACACACACATAAATACCTTGTGTAAAAAGAACTGGGTAAATCTTGAAACCTCCTCCATTTTGCAACTTCTGAGGCAGCTGCTCAAAATTGTATCCCTCGAGGTAGAAGAAAACTTTCAAGGCTTGTCGACTCCCCTCGACTCTGTAGGTGATGGGCGTGTCTGGACAACATACAAAAACAGAAGCAATTGAATGGAAGTCACTGCACTAACATTATTCAGCGTATGACACACAATGCTGAGAAGAGTGAATGGTTTTCATTACTGCTGGGTCTATTGTTTGTTCATAAAAGATGAGCACAGTAGCTGTCTCACCTTCAGCAAAGCCAATAAAAAANTTGTGTGTGTGTGATGGTAAAATTCCTGGGTTTAAAAAGTGCTCGGAAAAATTTCAGCGTGCAAGGTGTTTCATGGAAGGAAATGTTCCAAAGCGCGTCTCCTGTGGGGAGCCCCAGTACGTTACATTGACCCGAGAGAACACAGTTCCAAAGAGATCACGGGTTGGAGCCGAGTTCTCAGGAATCCAATTGATGTACGTGGGCATCCCTGCAGAGAAGTGTTGATCTACAAAAGGGGGAGATCACTAGAATTTTTTTTACACACACACAGAGTCATTAGGATGTAGAATTGCCCTGCCAGGAGTGGTGGTCAAGGCAAGATTCATATTAGCTGCTAAGAAGACGCTAGATAGATATCTAAAACAGAGGAACTTGCAGGGGTATATGTGGGTGTAGGGAGGTGGAGGTGGGATGCGAGATGAAAGGATTGCTCTTTCAAAGAGTCAGCACAGACATGATGATCTGAGCGGCCTTCTTCTGTGCTGTAAAGTTCTATGGCATATCCACGGTGCTTGATCCAAAACCAGGTGCTTTTTCCCCCACCTGACTTTTTGCAATTATTCTCCTCAGCTTAGTCTTCCTGAGCTGAGGACAGCTTATTTGCAGGCTTCCACCAGCTGCCAGAATATATGGAGAGAACAACACAATAACCTGGCCCTGCATTCTCTGTCTGACTCTGGCTTCTGATAAGTGACGTGGCTGGTTTCAGGAATTATGTGGGAGGGAGGCAGGGTTGAATACATATCAATGTCATTTCAGTTGAAAAGCCTGTTGGTGCTGCGATGGGAGGATGGTTGGGTTGGTATTCTGGAGGGATAAACAATAATAATCCTTGCAATTGAAATAGCTTCTTATAACATCGAGATGTCTCAAAGTGCTTCATAGGATATACTGTAAAGTGGAGTGACTGTGTATTTTGTGGGTGAAACGTGGGCATGTATTTTGTGGGATGAGTTCAGATGGGCCACAGGGTCTTCTTCATCCAAAATAATCTTGCATGACCTTGAGTACTCAAACATGATAAAATACCACAATAGTATTCACCTTCAAAACCCACAGTCCCTGCACTTTACAGTAAATCCTGTGAAGCACTTTGAGACGGCCTCCTGACATGATTTGGTGCTCATCAGCACAACTTGGCTCAAAACAAAATTGGAATATTCTCAACTTCTTTTGTTGCAATGTTTCGTGTTGTATGAATAAAAAAAATCATGTTATGAATAATGCACCACAAGGTTGGATGCCTTCCAGTCTCTTTGTTAACAATGAAAAATAAACAATCCCAATTTCTAAGCCAGTGATAAACTATTGGTGCCCAAACTGATTTTTTTTTAACAATGACTCCATGTTTAGCTGGTGGTGGGAGGGTGGAAGATTTATGTTCCCTGCAAATTGAAGGGGTGCTGGGCAATAGAATATTTTCCCTGTAAACATGCAGTGTCAATCATCCCAGGTAAGGGATGTCATCACCAAATACATATAAATATATGGTGGGTTGGGGTGGTGAGATTGCAGTAAACTGATGTGATAATTATCACAGGGCATAGAACTTGGGGTCATTTTTGTCCAGTACGTAATGACGGGTTTGGGATGAAGCACCACTCTGACCCCTGGAGAATGGATTTTCCTGCCATGCTGATCAGGACTGCATTCCGGCCATTTTATTTTGGAAAAAGGTGACAGAATTTGGGCTTTGAATTTTAAATCACTGGATTGGCTTTTTCAATTTACAATTGCTAGTTTGAGAAATATCTTTTGAGCACTGTCTGACAAAAAAGCATAAACTCAATAATCTCCCAACTTCAAAGCAACAAACAAAGATCCATTGTACCTGACCTTTACAAGGTTAGAATGACAGAGACAAAAAAAAACAGTGTAAACAATAATATTAATAATAATCCTTACGTTTGATACCATATTACACACTAATATCCCATTATGAAGCGCCCCCCGGGACACTACCCTGCGTGAAGGGCGCTATAACAATGCAAGTTATTGTTGCATTATCACATTAATCTCACTTTGGGCTGCTGCATTGCTCACTGATCATTTATCAGGCTGCACTGGATTCACACACTGTACATTCTATTCGCTTTATCCATAACGAGAGCAAATTTTAATTGGCGCCAGGTTGGTTGCTAGCAATTCAGGAAACATTTGTAGAACGCTGACCACTTTTAAAAGCTATAAAGAATACAGCACTGCCCTAACAATTTCAGAAATGACTGAGATTATTTTAAGATATCTGAATTGAAGGTGCAGATCTTAATTACATACTCAAGGTCTATTCAGTAAATTAAAAGGTAGTATCTTAGCATTCACAGTCAGAAAAATGTAATCACTCTGTTCCATACTCTCTGATTGCAATCACTCACTTGTAGTTGAGGAATCAGTTGAGGCTGTAATATATGAGACACATAAATGGCAGCTGAGGCTAAACTAAATATATTTTTAGAGTAAAGGGAGGGAAATAGAAAACGAGCCTGCAAACTGGATCCAAAGAAAGATTTCATCTATGTTAGGGGCATGCAGTGTGTTAAACGACCAGGTCCTTTTAACAAATAGACAATCATGAGACTCCACAATAAAATCCTGCGAATCACTTTGAGACATGATAACGAGCTATTACCAACTTCTCCTTGCCTCTAAACCTCCGCCTCACCCCTCTCTATCTAGCTTTAAATCCCACTTTAAAACCTACATCTTCGACCGAGTGTATGGTCACCTTCCCCTCCCTCAGTGACAACCCCGTCGCTATGAAATGCTCCAAGATGCTCTCCTGCCTGAAGGACACTGTACAAATACAGGTTGTTGTTTTTGCTGTATGGTAGATACTGGGATAGGTGCAGTCTGAGATTAACAACAAGACAATTCCTGAGGTCTTGAAAAATAATTGTTGCCTCTGGAGAAAAAAATGTCTTCCTCCTACAAAAAGTTTGTTGTAAAATAGGTGAATATATCAGCTGACCTAATGTTAAAGCTGCAGATGGAGCACTTGCTCTCTGCCTCTTTCAGAGCTTATGTTGATGGCATCAGGGTATAACTTCCAGACTGCCAAGACAACAAAGCTTAACAAAGTACATAATACTGTAACTGTTTAGCTCAATTTTACTGTTGCTTTAGTTGAACAATATTAAAGAAGCACGCAGATGTAATGCATGTGTTGCCAGTCACTTTCATCTATATATGGGATAGGCTGCAGCCAAAATAAAGTATTGCAAAACAATGTTTCCTCCAATGTGTCAGCTTTGGGTGATCCAACAGACTGTTTCAAAAGACCATTCGGATAATATTAGAAGCAGAGGGTATAAAATTCTCTGATGCTTAAAAGAATAAAGTCAGTGTGTTAGCAGGGAAAGTCTTCATCAGACTTGCTAACGTCCACCCAAACAGGCAAATGAGACGTTAGTTTAAGTCTCATCTGAAGGACGGAAGCTCCTTTAATGCTGCACTTCCTAACACTGTATTGTACTGGAGTGTCAGCCTTGACTGTGAGCTCAAAGTTCCCGACACAGGACTTGAATCCATAACCTTCCAATGTGAATTCCAGTTCTTATGCCTACACTTCAGGAAATACTTTTCTAATTCACTACAGCAATACTGCAAATGGCCCATTAAGTCAAATCTGTAGCAAAGCTGAGTTCTTATTCAGACATATTAATATGTCAGTTGCATTAATACAAGTAATTTCAATTCCAATGTATTGCAGACAGGAGCACAAAGATCCTATAATAGTGTCTAAATTGCAGCGTTTCCTAAAATGATTCCTTAATAACAATTCCAAAGCATGAATGGGGACTCTTTCCAATTGTCAGACAGATGTGATCTGATAAGATCCTCATCCTCACCTACAAGGCCATTCACGGCCTTGCTCCCTCCTACCTCTCTGACTATCCCCCTACCTACCTGCCCGTACCCTCCGTTCCTCTGGCTCCGGTCTGCTCCACATCCCCCGCCCCAACCGCCCTACCATCGGTGGCTGGGCCTTCAGCCTCTCAGCCCCTGGAACTCCATCCCCCAGTGTCTTCGCCGCCTCCTCCCTTTCCTCCTTCAAGGCCGGTCTCAAGACCTTTCTCTTTGACCGTACCTTCAGCTCCCCTCTCGACTCTCTACCCTCTCCTCGCTCCCTCCCTTCCCTCCCATCACCCTGACCATATCCCCCCTGCTCGGGTCCCGACCCAACTGTCCAGCGCCTTGGAATGTCCTCCCGACGTGAAAGGCGCTCTATAAATAGAATCTTGTTGTTGTTGTTGTCAGGCCAATGCATAGGAACTCCTCTGGCCCAAGATTATCTTACAGAGTGTAATTGATGTAGGTCAGTATGAAGTGTTTCTGCTGTCTGCAAGGAGTCCTCATTAGTAAAGGAATAATAACAATAAATCATAATAATTGTTGCATTTGATGAGCTTCTCTTTTTGAATAGTGTCAAGATTTCTTTAATGTTCACCTGAGCAGGCAGATGGGACCTAGGTTTAATATCTCACCTGAGGGATGCAAACTCTGATAATACAGCACTTTCCCAAATGTCAAAATCAGCGCCTTACCACATCGTTGAGACATCTCCAATAAGGATATACTGTAAAGCGATGAGACTGTATTTTATGGGCGAATGCGGCAGTCAATTTGCACACAGGAATGTCCCATAAACAGAATCCCACAAAGAAATGACTGTGATTTAGATCCCCAGGACCTAAAGGCTACATGCACACCATGCAATACATCATTCATCACTATGTGGAACCATACAGACCAGCTGCTTTCCTGAGGTTGTTAAGATTTAAGAAAATTAAAAGATAGACATATTCATGACATGTTAGCAGAATGCCCTCTGCACATCCAGGGACTTCAATGAAAACCATTCAATGTAATATTTTTGAGTGTTTTAAAAAATAATACAATGGTTCAATTCAACAATTCCAACTTAATGAAGCATAGTATATTGGCTATGATGGAAAATCAACATTTTAATGGAGGATTATGAAAAGCCCTGCTTTTCAAAAGTGTAAATATCAAGGACTTGCTTAATGTAAAAGTGGGAGGCAACTTCTTACATACTCGCTACTAATGGTTCTTCTTCAGACCGTCGGAAATAGAACGTGATCTTTTCCAAGTCGGACAAGGCAACCAGGGTGTCTTCCAACATGGCCTGTTCGTCCATCTAGAATATTAGCAAACAGCAAAATCAGACACAGGCTCAATAGGTTAGAGTGGGCAAGAGGCTGCCTAACCTATCGTGTTCCTTTTGTATCGTGTACACCATCACATACCAAACTAATGAATGCACATTGATTCCTATCAAGGAATTTTCTTGTAAGCAACCACAGAAGCCATTTTGCAAGATCCCACAAACAGCTCTGAGGTGAATGATGCAGTTTCTGCCTTCCAGCTCCCTCTGGCCGCCGGCCATTTTATTTAATCTGAGGTGGGTGATTCTATTTTTGTAAATTTTAGAACAATCAGCGTTCTCTAGACGTTTGGGTCAATCGTCAAAAGGTTCATTTTTGGACGATGGAATTTTTACTGAAATTGGTATGTTGAGGGGTGGGAGGGGGCAATTATTTTGGAAAAAAAGATTGCAGCTGGACTTGAAGAAACTGCTTACCTGGTGCTGCCACCTGGTGGGCAATACTTTACACCAGCAAATTTAGGGAACACCACCAACTTTAAACCATTCCCTTACAACAATAGGTTATGGTAAAATCTGAAAAGTAAATTCGTATTGAAAGTGCGGCTTCCCTTTTGGTAAGAATACAAGGACAAAAAAAATATTTAAATTAAGCAACTCTGACTTTTTCTTTAAATGTGGGTGTCCCGGATGGCATGAGCATAAGTCCTAAATGCAAGCAGATGCAAAGCACAGCTGGGCAAACAGGGTCACGAATAAGCAGATGGGTGGGGGGTGAATTCTGTTCCACAGGAAAAGTCGGATTCCACATCAGAGAACGTTTGCATGTCAATGTTATGGTCCTGGTAGCTCTTCTCTTTGTAAATTCAATTTATTCATGGCTTGGGAGGAATACAAGGCAGACAGACAGCCCTGTATCCATTGTAAAATTCTGACATGTGGGCTTTCACTTTGGGGCTTTCGGGTTGATTTGTGGTTTCCATACGTTGGACTTTTAACAATCAGTGCTGTTTTAAGACCTCCCTTTGGAATGCTAAATGCTTCAGAGACATGGTAATCACAGCTCCATTCTGACAGAGTAGAACACCCTGTGATTCGAGTGCTTAGGATCCAAGGCTGCTATTCTTATTCCAGATACAAGGCTGGTATTTGAAATGATGATTTGCATCTTAAAAAGGCATCGACACTCAAGGTTCAGTTTGTCATTATCATTTCTCAACCTTGTGTCCACTTTCGTTTTCTATGAGTTTATGCCAACACTGACCTAGGTTGGCAATTCACCAGAACCAACCAAGCCTGTTACAGTAAATTGCTGTAAATAATGTGACAAATGTGAGGAACAAATAAGATTGTGTTAATTTTTTGATTATTAGTGTTAGAACTCTGGCAAAAATAATTATTCAAATGATTTATTAAACTCGGGGACATGATATTGTAAAACACAGAACACGGACATAGCCAGTCTCCCTCCCTCACCTGATAATCCATGGCTCACACAAACCGTAATGAAAGAGCTGGGGCAGAGAGCACTTAGTTGAGCTGTGATTCTCACTCTCACTGCTTGCCTTACCTTAGCAAGCAAGCTGTTTGCTCTAGAGATTGTACAAAGGAAAGGAAATTCTCAGGGGTCCTTTCTGCACACAAGGGAGTTCAAAGGTGAAGTAATGAGAAGAAATGGAGGAACTGGTGCTGAAATTATTGCACATTTCCTGCAGCAGGTGAATCAAAGCTAACGTTCACAGTAATGGATTAAGGTCCCCTTCTTATTGCTGCAGTCAGATCGCTGTGACCATTAAATGCTGTAACAATAAGAAAATGGAGTCCAAATCATCCTTTTGAGGAAAATTATAATAATCCTTGCATTTGATAAAGAGCCTTTCAAGTTCCGAAGACGTCTCAACACGATTCACAGGATACACTATAAAATGCAGTGACTGTGGGTTTTGTTGGGGAATGGGGTAATATAATTCTTTATTGAACTTTTCCATATTGGGCATCAATGTCAATCTCAGAACGTGTGTAACCTTTTCTGACAAAAACCCAGGCTGACTTACTTGAGCCATTTTTCAATGGAATTAAGAGAAATTGTGAACAAAGCAGGTTTCACAACACTAATTTAAGATCGGCTGGGACACAAGCAGATAAGCAAATGATTACCACAGATTTTCGTCCCGCTTATAGGTTAAACTGGCCCACAGTGTAAACCCTGGGGTTTTAATAGATTGTGACCCATGACATATTGAGATCTTGGGAATAAATATCTGGATGAACTACTCTCTTATGCAGCATCCTCCATGATCATATTCAGAAACACCTGCAAATCTTACAAGCATTTACAGCTAATGTACATCTTGCTGTGTGCAAACTGGTTACTGACTACCCACAAAAGACGATCAGTCCACTTTACTGAATGTATCCTGTGAAGTGCTTTGAGATGTCTCGGTGACATGATAAGGTACTGTATCAAACAGAAGGATTATTATTATCTTAACTCATTCAGAGGTGTCGCTGGTCAGTGTGCAGCACGATCATTTTCTGAACTGTGTAATATCTTACCAGATTGGGAGAGAGCAACGACTGGAAGTTAAAGAGGATTCCTACACTGGCTATTTGCTCTAGCCACTTCTTACTGGCCTCCTGCGTCTCCATTTCGTATTCCCGATTGGTGTCGTACATCTGGTTCAAAGCAGCCAAAAGCTGTTCTGAGAAAGTACAAACTGTGGCCACAAGACTCTGGCAAAACACCATGTCCTGCCGGAGCTGAATATCAGTATCTGAGGGCGGCAAGAGAGATGGAGAGTACAAAATGTGAGCAACTTAGCAGAATGGACAAACGTCACTTTTAGTCTTCTGAGAGTAATGCAAATAACCCCGCCTGCCCCCTGTTTAATCATGGCACAATGTACTGTACTGGCTTGTTCCAAAATAGGCCAGCCATGACATGATAGTGCAACAAACCAAGAAATACAAGGTTATCGTATTAAGGGAAGAAGTTTGATCATTGTAGCTTGTGAAATACTGGAAATGCGTGTTAAAGCATAGCACACTAGGATATCACAAATGAAAAAAATATCTTTTCACAAGCCTCACAATGTTCACATAATCTGTTTTCTCATTCAGAATTGTCCCTTCAAAAGGCAAGTTTTATCCACAGTTGACAATTTTTCATTTTAAATCTATGTTCTGGGTCTATTTGTTTCCTGCGTTCAAAATTAAATAAAATGCAAGTCTACAGCTGAATGCCGAGAGAGAAAGGCTGTTTCAATTTAATTGTTGATGTTACCTGTGTACTCTAGAAGAGCCAAGAGAACTCGAGTCTTCACCTCTGAAAAGAACATAGCAGAAAATTATTGTAAGAGACAACCCAAATCTTTGTAGGCTAGTTTACATAGACTGGTTGAAAAACTGGTGACGTTTCTCAACAGATTCATTGAAGCAACTTTGCAATTTTCATCCTGTTATATACAGTACTTCATTGCTAAGCAGCAACCTGACAGACCACAAGGATCATGAAGTGAATGATAGCACCTTTACATGTACTGTTAAATAGACTGATCACACCGGTTAAGAAACATTTTCCTCTTGAATAAGGCTTCATTGATGTTTTTTTCCAGAGAGAGTATGTTTCTGCACTTGTACCACATTTCAATGCTTCTATTTTCAGGGCTCTCTGTGCGTAATTGCCAACAACTTTGTTGCTTTTCAAATGAGATGGATTCTATTATAGTAATAAGGGCACTGAAAGTAAAATATAATGAATATTTTTCAATGATAACCCTCAACCCAATTGACTTCTGGAATGCAATGATGCTCGTGAAAAGATTCAGTGTCACTAGTTTCAGTGCTTTCACTTCTGCATAATTGCACCCAATGCTATATAATGTCAAACATTTTGTGCTCAATATTTTACTAAATAACAATGGCAAAGGGTCAAAACAACAATCCAGAGAACAGTTATTCCTAAGTCAACTGAAACTTCATCCTATTGCAAGTTATTGAAGAATTTACATGATCTCAGTATACATTATTGATGTGTACAATTTTGCAGATATCATTACATTTTAATTGCGCATTGTATAAGGGGTTCAATATTTAAAGGAAACCATGCCTGTAAGTTTGCAAATGAAAAATTTTATATCCTTCCAGGAGCACTGGAACAGGAGAGATCCATTCAGACTGTCGAGCCGGTTTTGACATTTTATTCCTCAAACCTTATGTTTCACCCTCTCTCCGTCTTTAAATCCTGCCTAAAAGAATACCTATTCAATTGTAATCACCTCATCCCTCCCCCTTGCTTAGTGTCTGACATATGAAGCACCCCGAGATGTTATCCTATGTGAAGAGCGCTATATAAATGCAAGCTGTCGTTCATCATAAAATCGGTCTTTTACTTAATGGCCGTTTGTGGGACATTGCTATGCGAAAGTTGGCTGCCACGTTCACCTACAAAATGCACATCACTGTAAAATCCTTTTAAGCACTTTGAGATTTCCTCCCGATGGTCTGCATCAAATGCAAGGATTATTAACCTGGCAATATTTGAATTCCATTCCCCTGCCTTTTCTCTGGATCCCTGAATGCTGTTATCTCAAATATCTATTCAGATGCATGGCATTCTTCACAATTAAATATATGCAATTTCCTCCCTCCCCTTATTCAAGCACATCTCAAAACATATCTCTCTGACTGCGCTTAGTCATTCTTTCCCTACCCACACCCCTCGGCTCCTTATCCTTTTTTGTCAAGCGCTTCAAAATGGTCTTCTGAAGTGAAAGGCGCTGTATAAATGTAAATTGTATTGTATATTATAAAGAAATTTTTCCTTTCTTTTTGACCTTAAATAGTTTATCTTTCAGCCACTACACCCTGAGGCTTTGCTTTGGAATTCTCTCTCTCAATCACGCCGCCTTGCCCCCTCCTTCCCCTCTTTTAGATCACGACTGAAGACCTTCTTCTTTAACCATGTTAACCATCACCTCCTCCCTCCATCTGGCTGGGCGTCAGGCTCCACCACTGTCAAGCACTCCAAAACGCTGCCCCACAAGTTCTTATAGTTGTTTCTGAAACTGTGGTGTTCAATTTGTTCACATATCAATGGTCTCATATTGGATGTATATAATTCTTGTTAATATTAACAATAATAATCCTTGCATTTGATTTAGCATCTTATCACGTTTTCAAGGCATCTCAAAGCGCTTCACAGAGTATACTGTAAAGTGAATTGACTGTATATTTTGTGGGCGAAACGTGGCATCCAATTGCGCACAATAGTGTCCCACAAAAAGTTGTGGATTGAGTGAACACCTTTTTTTTAAAAAGGTATTATTACCCCTGGAATAGTGATCCGCCAATTGAGTAACAACCGAGTTCTTACTTGCTGAAAGGTGAACAGAGGTGTTTAGTAAAGAAACTGCCCAATGTTTCGCCCTGCCCGGAAATCGAACCCAGGTCTCTTGCTTGCAAGGCGAGTGCTCTAACCACTGAGCTACAGGACTCCTCTGGTGACTTTAGGTTTCTAATCCTATTAATTAGATTCCTATTAAGGCTATGGCTGCATTGAGTATCATTTAAAAAATTATAAAGATGTAAATTGTATTGTATCATTGTATCATGGAGACACGTCATTATTCTCCACATTGTGGTGATCATTCTAGATGTACTTATAATAATAACAATAAGCTTGCATTTGATACAGCACCTCCTCACATCATTAACACAGCATCCACTGTAAAGTGACGCAGCTGTGTGTATTTTGTGGGTGATTACTCAAGGATTCCAGGAGAGCAGCAGTCTTCAAAAAAGATGCAAGGAAAGACAAAATCCAGAGTCAGTGAGGCATCAGCAGAGAGATGCCAATCTCCTCATTCTAATCTTTCCCTTTCTAAGGTGCCGTCCCCAAACAGCTTCAGGTTAATCTTCTTAATCTCATTTGAGGAGAAAAGGTAGAAAAATAAAATTGTTAAAAGTTTTCAGCTTCAAAGGTATAATTAGGAGTTTGCATCCCCTGTTCATGGCTTTTATCTTTGGCTGAGAATGATGAATAACAACAACAATTTGCATTTATATAGCGCCCCTCACACAGGGTAGCGTCTCAGTGACTTTAGATCAAAGGAACCTGCAGATGCCACAATCCGTCAGCTGTACTAAATCAGTATCTCACAATGGCCAGACTCATCTGCGCAACAATAGCTAACAATAATATTTACACTCATGTGAAAGTCCTGCGTAAAGGAAGTGACTTGTGAAGACTATGCTCCATTTCACTGCAAAATGTCACTGCTGGCTCAAGTCACTTTCCTTTCCCTCTTTATCACGGCCACCTTCTGTTGGAGAGAGGAAGAAAATAAATCTGACTTTGGACTTCCAACATTATTTCATCTGTTTTACGTTAAGAACAGACTGCTTAGATTTCCTATGCTGCACAAAACGTGATTATATATTCCACAGGGTCAAACCTTATCATGGTCCTAGCCTTAATGCTGTTATTCTAAAATCTAAGACCTGTGTGAAAATCAACTTCCACGTAAACAATACAAGGAAGAAACTGAATTTAAGAATTTTGCAACAATTTTTTTATATATCATGAGACCTTAAATCTCAAAATCTATGTGCCTTGGGATGTCCTCCAGACATGAAAGGCACAACCTAAATGCAATTTATTGCTGTTGAAATATCATGAGTAAATTTCAGATCTCAGTAGGCCAGGAGAAGATAAAACAACAATCGGGAGGAAAAATAGCCCTCTGAAATATTTCATTAAATCAATAGGCAGTACTTTAGAAAGCTTTCAGAAACATAGAAACAGGAGTAGGCTATTCAGCCCCTCGAGCCGGTTCTGCCATTTTATAAGATCATGGCTGATTTGTACCTCAAGTCTAATTACCCACCCTTGCCCTATATCCCTTAATACCCTGACCTACAAATATCTATCTACCTCTACAACAACAACAACAAGATTCCATTTATAGAGCGCCTTTCACGTCGGGAGGATGTCCCAAGGCGCTGTACAGTTGGGTCAGGACCCGAGCAGGGGGGAAATGGTCAGGGTGAGGGGAGGGAAAGGAGGGAGCGAGGAGGGGGTAGAGAGTCGAGAGGGGAGCTGAAGGCACGGTCAAAGAGAAAGGTCTTGAGACCGGCCTTGAAGGAGGAAAGGGAGGAAGCGGCGAAGGCACTGGGGGATGGAGTTCCAGAGCCTAGGGGCTGAGAGGCTGAAGGCCCGGCCACTGATGGTAGGGCAGTTGGGGCGGGGGATGTGGAGCAGACCGGAGCCATGTCTTGAAAATGTGAATGGATCCAGCATCCACAGCCTTTTGAGGGAGAGAGTTCCAGATTTCCTCTACCCTTTAGGTGAAAAACTGCCTCCTGATTTCACTCCTAAATGAGCTAGCTCTAAATTTAAGATGATACCGCCTTGTTCTGGTTTACCCTACCAGAGGAAATAATTTCTCTGTATCTACACTATCGAATCCCTTTATTATTTTAAAAACCTCAATCAGATCACCCCTCAACTCAAGAGAATAGAGATCAAATTTTGAATAACAAATTAACTTTTATTTCAGGGAAAAATAAAAATGTTTCTCTTTTCTGCTTGGCCCAGGCTTAAGAAATTGTGTTGATATCGGATGTTGCCAATCACTGCAGGTATCCTAAAGAGCAGCTTGAGACAACAGCAACAGCAGGTTTGTGATCAAACTGAATTTTAAAGGTGCCCTTTTTAACCTTTGGAACCCCACTGATCAACAACAACAACAAATTACATTTGTATAGCGCCTTTCACGTTGGGAGGACGTCCCAAGGCCCTGGACAGTCAAAGATTTGGATCAAAACTGATGTCAGGGTGCGAATTTTTTACTGTGAGCTGTTAATCTGCACTTGGCTTCACAACACCTTCACAACATCTTCAAACTTTAAATCCGGGTCAGAGTTTGGGGTCCAATTTGCCATACTCACAAATGAGGAACCCAAGCCTTTCATGAGGACATTTGGCGAATATCGAATTGAGACATTTGTGACGGGCGCATTGCAAATTCCCCATCAGGAAATATAATAAAATAAATAAAGGCCAGAAAGCAAACAACGTGAAATGAGGGAATACTGAGGCCATCCTACCGACTTCTTTGTAACCTCTTTGGGTTAAAGTTACCTGCTCAGGGACTTGAAACCCAGCCAGTCACCTGGTTGTCTGGAGACAGAAATGTCACGTGGTAAATGTGAATGGTTAAGTCATCTCTCGTTACAAACCTTCAACGAATCTTGCGATTGCCTGTATGAGGTTATGAACGCCATTGGGAAGATTCCATGGATCTCTTTGCACGTTCAGTCGCAGTTGTGTCGTGCAACTGACCTTCAACTCCATTTCCTGCTGGAACTCTGTCCAGGAATAAGAGGGGAGGACATGTAAGTAACCAGTCGGGCAAGGACCTGCTGCCAGTAATCCGGACTGTGAGTCAGGAGTCAACCTTTTTGTATTTGAATCAGAACTGTATGTTCTTAAAATTTTCCCCAAAGAATTTTTTCTCCACATGATATAATGTAATCTAGTCTATAATAATATAATATAATACCACTAGCTCCCCATACCCTTCAATATTTTTTCCCCAGACTCTGCTTAATAATTGTCATATTCTATTTTTGGTGTCTAGATTCATGTACTATTGAATGATTCTTCAATTCTTATAACCATATATTATGCATTCAATTACCTTTCCTTTTTGAAACTGTAACCACACACTCATCTCCAGTGACAAAGCTACATTTGTTTTCTAAAAAACTTTTTCCCCAAAGGAAACCCTAGCTTTCCATTTGTTTGCCATTTCCTATTTTTGATGTCTGGATTCATGTGCAATTGAATGATTCTTTGCAGATCCTAAAGGAAGAAAAAATGTAAGACTTTTTTTTTGTAGTACGCCAAATAAAAAAGTTCCTAGAGAAACAACATTTATTCTTCAAGATGTGAACCTAATACAATTTGATGAGTTGCTAATTGGTGGGTTTGGGATTCCTTGGTCGTGTGGTTCAATGAGGTGGTTCAGGGTGGGTGAACGTAAAAATAATCCTTGCATTTCATGCAAGCATTTCACATCGGGAGGATGTCTCAAAGCCCTTCATAGGATTTACTGTAAATTGTGTGCTTTCTAAGTAAACGCGGCAGGCAATTTGCATACAATGTCCCAGTTCGACAATGCTTTATAGACTACAGCATGTCTAGCATTTCTTTACAAACAAAATGGCAATGCACTTGATGTGACTAGTCACTGGGCCATTTAGTTTTCTATTTAGATATCTTAAATGAGCAGTACTTAATTATTCCTGTATTTTCCACATACTTGGTGATATCATCTGTGCACATAAATTGCGAAATGTGAACAGTTTTGTTTTACTGGTTGCATTAGCTGAACGTTTAAGATTTGTATCTGTATCCGACCTACTGAAAAAATATCTTAGTATATCATGACCCAAGTTAAAAACAGAACAGAAACAGAAAAGGATCAATTTTTATGTCTCTATTTATTTGCCAACTCATAGTTTCATTCAGACTCTTTGTGTAGGTCAAGTTGCACTAAAAAAGTATACTGCAGATCTGGTTACTGCGAAATTATGAAATTGTATAGGTGTGTGCAAGTGAACTCTCCAGAAGGCACTTAGAATTTGATGCAACAACTTGCATTATGTCATTATTGCTTACTCTCACCAGTGAGCAATAAAGAACTGTGATACCATCAGAGACATGTTTGGCAAAGTTAATACATTTAGGTAAAGGGTTCCCATTGATGGACAATGAATAGAAGGGCTTTGGGGGCCTCTTATCACATGGTTCCAATTTGCAGCATGATTAAAAGGTACTATAGCTGAGATAGGAAACATCATATGGGCCCCTTACATGCTGGGGAAGATATAGGAATGTGCCCATAAATGTTCTGGTCTGAAATGCAGCCGATGCTATTCTGGGACATGTTGCAAGTGACATTTAGACAGACTGGGGGAGGAGGGGGCCTGAAATATCAGATTATCTGATTTTTTCTGCCCACCAGGTCTCTCGTGTGATTGCACTGTGGGGGTACAAAACATCTGTAAATGCACCACTGGGCACTGCCAGGAAAAATAGCTGTTTTAAGCTGCCACCGACCATCCTCACCAACTCAAAAGTTTCTCAGAAATGCCACAAGCATCCTGCTGCTTGTCCAGCTCTGACCACGCTACCTGTTAGGGCTTTGGGTTGCAGGATTAATAGGAACCAAAAAGGAAGAATCTCTTCCTCAATGACTTGAACAGCAGCTCATCAAATATACAAAGGGAAGGCACTCAAATAATAGAATGAAACCTAAGTGTGCGGTTTATGTGCACTAAAAGAGAAGGCAATGCCTCACATAAATGGATGGGGGGCGGCGGGGGGCAGTGTTAACCACAGTTACATTATTGTTGTAAAATCTAATTTGACGTCTAACGACACAGCCTCAAACATCCTCTTTGCTTATATATGTATAATGTGCAAAATAAATAAATTGGGGTGTTGAGAATCCAGACATTGCTGTGCAAATAGCAACTTTCAATTTGTGAAAGAAATTGCAGGCTATAAAATGCAATAAACAAAATAGTGAAAGGTCTGTGACCCCTAGGGTCAGCAAAGCCTGCTTCTCAGTTGGGATTTTGTTTTATCTTTTGTCTGTCTTTTCTAACCTTTCCTTCGACAAGAATGAAAACACTGCCTGAGATTGGGGTTTCCGGTTTGCAAATAGCTTACAAATTTCAATGCTATTGTACGGAAATATACCCATTGTTATTGCTAACGGCAAATTCACATACGAGATGCATAGATGGTACATTTTAAAGTAAATCCTATGAAGGTTGTGAGATGTCCTCCCGAGGTTTAAGGCGCAATAATAAATGCAAGGATTATTATTAGTAAATACACCTAGTTTATTCCTATAATCATTTTAGTCAACATTATCAAACAATGTGATTGAAGGTTCCTGAGGCCAAATGCATTGAACAATTTTGTATCACTGCAATTTTAGAAAATAATATTTTTTTTCTCAACACTTTGCTCCAAGGAGATTGGTGTTTTTCCCTTCATCTACACTGCCATTTTTTCTTGTGTGAGACATGAGAGTGATTTTGGCAGTCAGTGGAGGGTATTGCATTGAATGCAATCACAGTTACAATCTTCAGACACTTTATAGCTGTCAGGCTTTGCTTTTTCATCTTTAATAATAATCACAATAATGGTAATAATAATCCTTGCATTTGGTACAGCACCTTTCACGTTGGAGGAGGTATCAAAGTGCTTCACAGGATTTACCGTGAAGTGTAGTGACTGGGTATTTGTACACAGCAATGTTCCACAAACAACCATGAAGTGAATGCGGGCGGTGGGGGGGGGCGGTTATTGTTGGCTAAGACATTCCCTGGCCATTCTGAATGGTGAAGTTTTGAAACCAGTCTCTAATATTGTACTTAAATAAATGCAGGAAACCGGGAAAAATTTCCTTCTCTTTTTGAATCTTTTGGATCTTTAACGTCCACATGAGCAGACAGACAGGACCTTGGTTTAACGTCTCATCTGAAGGTCAGCATTTCCAACAATACAAACTTCTGACTTTAAGCATTTGGCCTTATGGAACACCATCTACTCTGAGCATTTTCTGGTACCAAGCTAGCAGCTAGATGAATGTTGTGAGCCAGAAGTTCAATACAGAGACTTGCCTTTATAGATCGTGTGAGGAGGAAAGAAAGAGGACAAAGGGGAAGAAAGGGTCAGTACATGCAGTTACATTCAAAGCAAAAAATATTAAATGTACGCTAGCTTCACCCCAAAGCTGATATACAATATTTATTATTCAGTTTATTATCTCGCTGCTTTAATTTTCTGGTTATGAAAAACATGAATTAGTAATGAAAAATCTAAAAAGAAAAGGCCAGTGCTCATTAGCAACAGATGGAAATCAAGCTTGTGGGGAAGCTGTAATAAAATATGATGGCTAATAAAGGAAATAGATTCAGAACATGCCAGGTTTGATGATGGGAGATAGGTTATTACCGGTATATAGAGCTAACTTGATACATTAATAAAAGGCATAGGGTCTGGAATGCTTTATAAAACGTTATTGAAATGCTGGGTTAGGTCGTTATTGGAGGATTCGTGCTGTGTAACTCTATGTGATCACTTGCCAATCTGTCTGTAGCTAGAAACATTTGTAGCAGCTTTAAACCTCGCTTCAGTAGCAGTCAACTGAACCAAAGTTCAAGCTCTGTCCCTGTCTGTAAATCTTGGGATGTGGGGTTGACCTTTTGGCGGGGAAGAAAGTCTATCTCACGAATGAGCATTTTTTTTGAATGCATGTGATGCCAAGCTGCACGAGAGTAGTTTGGGCGAGGGACTTAGTTCACACTCCTCACAAGTCATTGCTTTGACACCTCATCCTCCATCTCTCTCCCCCAAAATGCTGAAGATCCCTTAAAATTTTCAAGACCGAGGTGGATAGATATTTGTTAGGTCAGGGTATCAAGGGATATGGGGCAAGGGCAAATTGGATTGAGATACAGCCATGATCTAATAGAATGGTGGAACAGGCTCGAGAGGCTGAATGACTTTCTCCTGTTCCTGTGTTCCTATCTGCTAAACCTGCTGCTCCTCACAGTTGCTCTAGTCAGTAACAAGCTCACAACACAGAGATATTCCTCTAATTCTGAACGACATAGTCCTCTGTTTAACCACCTCATTTTAACAAAGCAAAAAGTGCAGCCCATGTAAGTTTGATAGCACTCTTTTGATAGGATTTCATCAAGACAACGAGGCATTTCAAAGTATTTGACAGGATTTACTGTGAAGCATAGTGACTGTGTATTTTTAGGTAATTTTTAGTAAATTGTAGCAGCCAATTTGGACTGTCGTTTTGAAACAGTCTGGAAATAATCTCTTGACAGACCCTTAAATTAACATATTCCCTGTAGCAGTCTGAAATTCCATTTTGATTTAGGATTGTGTGGAAAATTCTTAAACTCAACTCAATTTGGAAGCCCATTTGTTTTAAGAGAGTTTCTAAATGGAGAATTTTTCAGTTCTGCGCAAAGTTACATTTTTAAGACAGTCTCACACACTGCGACGAGGTGAAATTTTGGATTTCACACCAGTTAGTCTTTTTGCTGTGTAAACCTGGTGCTGGCTTGCCTGAAGTCTTGGAGTTAATTTTCCCACTGGTTATCATGAATCCTTCCAATCACTTCCAGTTAATTCATAAAGTGACAATTACATTATTTGTTGAAAGGATTTTAATTTAATTAGTAGACAAAAGATTAATTCACTTTCTGACAATTTTGTGGAACGATGGAAATGTTGAAAAGAGCAAAGGCTCATGTTTAAGGAGTTTGTGAAGTTTTTCTCTTTGAGCTGAATCTGCCTTAATAATTCATGCGACGACCGGCTGTGAAGATCCAACTGTTAGCAATAGCTCGGCTGATACCAGAACCGGCAGGACTGCAATTAAGTCCCATTCAAGCCCCACAGATCAGCCATGGAAATGACTTACTGATTCGGGAAGACGGACATTTTATGCGAGTCTATTTATCAGTTTGCTCCATTACAGTCAGTGAAGAACAGGAAGCTTCGTCGACCGCATAAAGGAATACTGAAGTAGCTCAACTTCAGAATAATAAGCACATTGGATTTGCCAAAGGTTTTTAACACAAGCTAACCATTAGCTCCCCAGCACCGTGCTGGGAAATCTGTGGCTCTCCATAGTTAATCCCAAATGTTACCTTGTAAACTCCGTTCCGGGTAGAAGTGTTTGGTTTGTTCAAAAGCCTTTGTCACGACAGGCCCCTTCAGAAGATTACTGATCGAATCCACCTGTTGGGATCAAAGCACAGTCGATGGAACTGTCCACACAACAGGCTGAAACAGCCCACCAACACCATTGCACTACATCATAGAAACCTTTAACAGATGACAGAACCAATGGTCTGAACCACACAGTTACAAAGCATGAGCTAATAATACAGCCAGAGCTCCAAGTAGTTCCAATTTTATGAACATGTTTCAATACAGAGAGAACAAGCCTCTGTGTTCCATTATACAGTACATTATACTGTAGGGCAGGTAACAGTGGTGTAGGAAAAGTGAATAATTCCTGTTGTTTCAACAATGTGGAGCAATTCTGAGCTTCGTTGAAGTCTCTGAATATAGTCAGTGTGGACAAATATTCTTTTTCAAAGTCTAAAGAGAGCCTCATTTGCACTTGACAGGTAATGACACCACCCAGTGTAACAATAAACTACAAGGCGGTCACAGGTTCAGTTCTCAGTTTGTGTTAACATAGGTGATCTTAGCTGGGACGCTGGTACAAATCACTTCACTGCTCCTGGATTAAGAATGGAAGGAACAGATAGGAATCTCCTCCCTCCTGACCACTATTTGGTCACCCTGCTCCCCCTTGACACATGCTTTCTTCCTAATCTTTCCAGCCTATTACAATGCTGTTAATTTTTCAAAGACTTGTATCAATAAAGGGAAGTTAAGAGATTATAACGTAGGTTATGTAATGCTGTTCTAGTAGCAAGTTGTGCTTATTCCCTTGTTTCAGAAGAACAAAAGAACAGGAGCAGTGAAATTTGTTTTCCTTCCAGTCAGTCAAAAATAAATGCACTGTGTTTGCAAGATCTGAGTCTCAATTCCACTCAGGCAGATGGGATTGAAATTTCCTTCTGATACAATAATGCAATTTACATTTAGATAGCTCTTTCACGTCGGGGGGAGGTCTCAACTTGCTTAACATGGCTTGGTGAGCTTTTGAGTTGGGAGTGAAAGCCAATGTTCAAAACCCATAAAGAAATCTGAAGACGTAGGTTTGGTCATTCACAGCTGAATTTCTTCCAATTCATTTTTCATAGAATTTTCTATGAAAAATTCCTTGCAATTTGACATAGTTGATGCTAATCTGATATTCTGACCCAGAAAAACAAATTATAGTGAATCTTGAGAAGGCAACGTAATTTCACTGTTATAAGAATGAGAGCGCTTCTGTGTTGATGCAAATTTATGGTGCAATACAAGTTTACTGTGTACATAAAAGTGTTTTTATTTCAACATTAATAAAGGAAGGGGGAACAATCAAAATGTCCCTTATCCCAGTAGGTTGCTGAACACAGAAAATAAAAATGAAAAATCTCAATTGCTAACAAAAATACCAGACAGTTAAAAGCTTGCTCCTGTATTAAAAAAAATTCTGCAGAGAAGAAATTATCAAGAGAACATTTTGTCTAAGTTTCAGTTTATCCATGGGCTACAATAGAGCATCTACTGGAACTAGGGAAATATTGGTGACAACATTAGTAAGTAAAGCATTTGCAATAACAAGGTTCCATCGTGACAGAGCTGGACAGTCAGCCTATTATTTTGTTTCACACACAAACAAAACACAATCTGATGTGTTTACAGCAATGTGATTAAATTGTTTTATGAATGCATTAGCATGTTAACATGGCAATAAAGTGTACTATAAACAAGAAGTACAACTTTCTACAAATTGCTCTCTCGTGACCTCATTACCGCATAACGCACATATTAGAAAAGGGTTTATTGGTGGCAGCGCTAAAGGAAGGGCACACATACTTCGAAAATTTTCAGTCAAAACCTCATTTTTCCCCACCACATCTTAAATAATATTTGGAAATTAATTTAAGTTTGATCAAGAAAATAAAAAGCTCCTCGAAGCTTTTGACAGGACTGGACAAGGTTTGAATTGACTTACCTGACTAAAGAGATGTTCTAAGCAGCCATGCAGTTTGTCCTGTTTATCATGGGAAATCCGTACACTGCAAGGCAACTCATCGCCTGTGTGAATCACAAGCACAAAACATATTTTCTATTGATTCACTGTCAAAGAAACGACGCCTTGAGACAAGAGCACTTCATTGATTTTTAAGCTGTCATTGATCAAATTTATTAACCTACTGATCCCTGTGTTCAGCATGTCAACTTTACATTAAATAACAAGAATAACACAATATGCAGTGGACTTTGGTAACAACAACCAACATTACATTGCATTTGTATAGCGCTTTCACGTCGGGAGGACATACCAAGGTGCTAACATCAATCTCTACTAGAGATTACATTTTTTTAATTTCATCATTTAACTTCCAGTGAATCATTTCAGTTCTAATGAAGAGAATTATTAAGACTTTGATGTCAAATATGATTTATCAAACTTTCCAATACTGGAGGTGAGCAGCTTGTGGTCATGCCCAAAACTTTGATCTGGAGGAATGCAAAAGAATTCTCACTTCAGGCGAACTTGTTCCCATACCTGTGTTGTCTAGCGAGCTACTGGGAGACTGTAATAACCATTCAGTGAAATCTGTATCTCTAACATTTGCTCCTCTTCCCATTGGAAAGGATCTGATCTCTGCTTTGTGCTCTTCATAACAGTTTGGTTCAGTCCACCGATTACTGATGGTTTCCGCACAAAGCACTCACTGGACTTTAAAATAGATCCCCTGAAGCACTTTAAGAAGTGACAAAGTGCCCACAAAATACAAAGTCAATCCACTTTACAATATTTTCTGTGAAGAGTTTTGAGATATCTCAACGACGTGATAAGCTGCTATATCAAATGCAAGGATTATTATTATAAATTCTCCCAATGTGAAAGGCTCTATACCAAGTGTAAGGATTATTACTATTATTACTGGTGTGTGGTTGGGAATAAGAGGAAGTAGAGGTCCACAGATCATGAAGATCTGTTGCATGATGTTGTTTTGCTGACCACAAGTCCCCGGTGTCCAGGCACCTTAACAATGAAGGGATCTGAAGTATGGAATTGAGATCCTGCTGCTTTTTAGCCTGTACTCTCATGGGGATAGATCACTTATCTGTACCAGCAGCCTTCATTTATCATCCTGGCGTCAAGCACTGTGCATCAACAAAAGAATAATAAGTTCCAGCTACACTGTCGTACTGGAGAACAGTATTCTGCTTGTTGTACTGTGTTTGATCTGTTTCAATGAACGGCTTATAAATACACATATAAAAGAGGGTGAATTCAGATTCTGTCATTGAATATATGGAGGAACATTCCAGGATGGGAGCAGTAAATTTACAATGGTATCAAAACCGTTTAATCTATTGGAAGTATCAATGCTTTGTGATTTGGAGGGGTGGGGTGGGGGAACATAAGAAATCAAACCTCAGATATATATTCAACTTAGCCTAAAAAGGAATGGTTTGGGACTGACGGTAGTGCTTTGACTGACTGGGTCCAGATGTTCCTCTCATCAGCAACTCAAAGATTCAGATCATTTTATTGCATAAATCCAAAAAGCTGGAAGACATTATGAAGGCCATATCTACTGTGAACCATACGACTGTGGCAACAAGCACAGATATGTGAGGAAGCAGGTCCCAGGTATCGAATGCAGGCAGGTCCTCTCGTTTGCAAGGCGAGTGCTCTAACCACTAAGCTACAGGACTCCTCAAATGTGGGGTATTATTGAGTCGGGCACTAGTTGAAAGGGACAGGGGTTGGTCATGGATGGGCTACAGCATAAAAACAATAGTCTTTGATATGGGCTTCACTTCAGTCCATAGAGAGCTTACTTCTCCATGTGGAATGTAAGAAATTTGAGAGGAAAATGTAAAGCCAGAACAAAGCTGCAATGAGAAAAAATGTTCAGAAAACAAGAAGTGAACATATACAAATCTAAGCAGCAAGGACAACGCAAATGTTTCTTTGAATAAGAGATAAAATTATATTGTTAGGATCTGTATAAACCTGTAACTTGCTACCATTGTTCCATCCAGAGCAACAATCTGCAGAGTCATTTTACATCATGTGCATCTTACCTGAGTCCATGTCATCACTGTGTACATAGGAGTCGCAGTGGCTGCTACACATGCTGGTAAACGAAGCAATGGAGTTCCTGTTACTGTTACAGTCACTGGAAGAAAAGAGAGGAGAAACAATTAAATCTGCGTCTGGCAATCAGTGATGGATTTTGCTTTCACTCTGGGTATTAAGCAAAAGTCCCTTTTTCAGTGTGTACGAGTACCTGGGGATTCATCGCCCTAGGTTGACACATCCCTGATCAATTGATTTGTTACCCTCAATGGATTGCTGTACACAAGAAAAGCCTTGCTCCTAGTATACTGTTTTGCTTAGAAACGTATCCCAAACCATTTTCCTATCACATATACGGTTGTTGCTTCCTCCCGGAAACTATTCTTTCACTGTCTGATCCATGTACACTGATCTTTGTAATATACAGGTAGCTCAGCTGGTTCACTATTGAATTCCAATGAAGCTATCAAAAGGTTTCTTCAGAGGGAGGTATGTCGTCTGCACTCCTTTCAAAAATCAGTTGCAAGGAATTATTATCAACTTTAATTGACTTCTGGCTATTTGCTGTCCATTACCATCTTTTTATTTGAGTAGTGAGTCGATAAATGGGAGATGTGCCCAGGGTCACCAACCAGTGGGAACATTCTCTTTCTACAATTTAAAATACTGCAGTCATGATATCACTTGTCTACATTGACTGATTTTAATTCATATTGCCCTTCACACTGCCCTTGATGTTTCTGAGAAATATATGTAGATATTTAATGCTGAGTGGTACATACATAGGCAGTTATAAAATATTGCTAAATTCAATCTATGTTTCTTCCTGTATTCTTCTCTCTCGCTCTCTTTCTTTCTAAAGGTCACACAAATACATCATAAAAATACAAATCCTTACACTGACATAACAAAACGCTTTCCCAAGATGAGTTGACGCATATTCTGGGCTTAACAAGCTTGACTCATAGTTTGGTAGTTTTCATCATCCAGTTTCCACTGAGCCAGGGGAGCCCATAGACACGATTTGTCACCGTTAATGAGCAGCCCAATAATTCACACACACTGAGACTTCGATTTGGTATGTCCCAGGCTCAAACATGCTCATTAAATGGGATTTCATGGAAAAACCTAACAGCATGGAGTACAACACTGCAAGCCATTATTGTAGGTAGCCAGACAGGACTTGGTCACAACACAGAATCTGTCCCCACAGCACACGATGCAACTGAAAGTTTATGAACAGCTAAGAGATTGTGAAAAGAACTGCAATGCTTTGCTCTTCTTCTTAGAAATCAAATGTAGTGCCTTGTAAAATGAAATAATTTAACCTGCAGCGATGGGCATTTCCAAACTAAGACAGAGGATCACATTCTGAATTTCAAGACTACTTGTCCCTATGGAGTAATCTATTGCAGCTTTATACCTATAGGAATCCCTGTTGCTTATTGTGTCGTGACCCGAATCTTCCTGGTCATCTCCTGTTACCACGAAGCAGACTTTCTTACTATTGCGTTCTCCCCTGTCGGTCTCGTTCTCTCCTGTTATTAGAGCCTCGGAAGTCCTGTTCTCTGGTATCGTCGGGTGTGTTATTGATGAGAGGAGGCTGGAAAACAGGAAAGGATGTAATGAGTAATTCAGAATATTAAAGATGTCTTCGCTAAGGAAAACAAAGCTCTTAAATCTTTCCTGAAGCTTACATAAAAAAATTACTACAGGAGTGGGCACAATACAAACACTGTGAAACACTGTGATATGGCAATGAGCTTTTTCCCAGAATATTTTAGCCTTTGTATGAACATAAGAAAATAATAATTTGCTGGTGAAAGGAGACCAAGGTCTATCTAGTTCGCATTCCACCATCCTAATAATCGCTTGACATGTATCCCAAATTATACACTGCATCCCGAGATATTATTTTCGAGCAGAAATTGATCTAATTTATTTTTGAAACAAATGACAATTTCTGCTTCCACTGTCTCCCCAGGGAGCCTGTTCCATAAGTTTACTACTCGCTCACTGAAGGAGTGTTTCGCAGATTTGTTCTGAATTTATCCCCTTTCAATCACAGGCCGTGTCCTCTGGTTCTACTGTTCAGTACAAGATAAAACAGCTTATCATGGTCTACATTATCTAGTGCCTTCAGAATCTTAAAGACCATAATTATATTGCCTCTAAACCTTCTCTTCTCCAGTGTGAACATGCCCAGTTTACCTAATCGCTCCTCATGGTCCAGTCCCTTCATCCCTTCAATCATTTTGGTTGCGCTCCTCTGTCGCCTCTCAATCCCTGCAATATCCTTTTTATATTGCAGTGACGAGAACTGCACACAGTTTTCCAAGTGCAGTCGCGCCTTGATTTATAAAGTGGTAGGATTACCCCACTAGTTCGGCTCAAAACTGCCCTTTTAATACAACTCAGCATCTGGTATGTCTTACTCACTGCTACACGAGCACTGTTGCAATAGCTTCAATTTATTGTCAATCAGGACCCCTAGGTCCTTTACATTATCTGTGCAGATTATTTCTTCCCATTTAAATAATAGTCTCTTCCTGATTTTTTTGTCCCATGTGAAGCACATTACATTTCTCTACATTGAATTTCATCTGCCATTGATCTGCCCAATTCCCAAGTGCGTTCAACTCCTCCTGTCACCTAATCTGTTCATCTTTGCAGTCTACCACCTTCATTAGCTTTGTGTCGTCTGCAAATTTAGCCACTGTGTTTGTGACTCGTACCTCCAAACCATTTATGATCATTGTGCATCTATTCAAGACTGTAACCTGCATTTTATAATCCTTACATTTGATACAGCATCTTTTACGTCGGGAGGACATCTCAAATAATCCCTCCAAAACCAAAAACAATAATAAATTGGTCATTTTCAATCTACGACTGTTTGTGGGACATTGCTGTGCGCACTTGGCTGCCGTGTTCGCCCATAAATATACAATCAATTTACTTTACAGTGTGTTCTGTGAAGCGCTTTGGGAAGTCCTCCCGACGTGAAAAGCGCTATATCAAATGCAAGGATTATTATTATTATTATAAAGTGCTTCACAGGATTTACGGCAGTGCTTCACACTATTTACATCCCAAAGTGCTTCACAGGATTTAGTGTAGTGACTGTGTAAATTGTAGGTGAATGTGGCAGCTAATTTGTATGCAGCAATGTCCCATAAACAGGCATGAAGTGAATGACCAGTTTTATCTCGGAGATTGTTGCTGGGATTCAAGAGAAACTCTAGTCCAAAAACTATTTAATAAAACATAAAATGTTTTCTTCAATGTTAGTTCCTATTAGCCAATTACTACCACCTACTAGCCATTTCATTTGCAGATTAAATCAAGTTCAAAGTGATTAGTTCACTCTTGCTGGGAACAACCTATCATGCTGCGTTTATGGAGCGTGCTTGGTTAGGTGCCTGGCAGTGTTTGTCCACTCAAGCTCAGTATATATGGGAGCAGAGAGAGTGTGAGCCTGGAGAAGAGCCAGTCTGAACCTGGAGAAGGTGTTTCCAGGAACAGAGTGATATTTACTCACTGCAGAACAAAGACAATGGGTATAAATCACATCTGAACTCACTCCCATGAAGTCCATTGAATTCTCAAAGTAACAAATGTAGTTCACAAATCACGTAGTTTATAAACCAGATGCAAAGGTTTATTATTTTTATAATGACTCAGACTATCGGGTTATAACAGGTCTGCCCTGTAGCCTGCAACATTCTGAAAATGTATTTTACCCATTAGTCAAAGTACCATTAGCTTTCTACTTCTTCACACAAAACTCAACTTAACCCAAATACCCTGACATTCGGGGATCACTGGCACAGAATCCAGATGCTGAAAATCAGAAAATGTAGTTTAAATCACAAACAACGTAATGAAAGCAATGCATCTACATCATTGCACATGGACACACGTGAATAAGGCAGGACTCAAGAAATGAAACCTACGCTTCACTAGGGCATTTTGCACTGTGTATAAATAAACAGAATACATCATGCATGCAATATAGCAATAATAATAATAAACATAACAATAGTTATTAACATTGTGAACAGTGCTAAGAATATAAACGTTTTCCCATTTATTTCTGATCGAAGTGAATTACAGGAAAAGAACACACCAACGCCCATCTCCACTGCTGCCTTCTCTACACAGAATGTAGCCATCATAGAATCGTACAGATTACAGCACAGAACAAAGGAAAATAAGAAAGCCGGAAGAGGAGGAGGCCATTCAGGCACATCAAGCCTGTTGCACCAGTTTATTAGATCTTGGGTAGATCTTTTAATCTGAATGACATGCCCCTTTCATCATACCTCTTAAAACCTCTATTACCCAGGTATCTCTCTCTCTCTCTATGGACCAAGATGATAATAATCCTTACAATTGGTATAGCACCTTTGACATCAGGATGATGTCCCCAAAACACTTCAAAGGATATACTTTAAAAGTGCAGTGACTTTGTGTTTTGTGAGTGATTGCATCAATACAATGTAAACAGTCCTAAATTGTACTTGAATACTTGTGAGTTGAATGCCCTGCCCTTCAGGATTTCATACTCTTTCCATAAAGTTCTAAAGGAGATCCTGGTGTTGCTGTGAAATCAAGGCTGGTGCCAGCAACTCCACTGAAGCTGTCTATTCCAATGGCTTTTTTTCCCCCTCCCCCATATCCTTCCATATTGATCTTCTTCAAATATTTATCCAATTCACTTTTAATTTTATTATGGTCACAACAACAATTTACATTTATACATTGCCTTTCTGATCAGGAGGATTCGTCAGGGGCAGGGGAGGGGAGGGGGAGCTGGAAAGGGGAAAGGAGGCTGGAAGGTCGGTCAAGGAGAAAGGTTTTAAGATGGTTTTTAAGATGGAACCTCAAGAGCCATATGCTACAAAGCATTCCATGTGCGAGTCTGGCTCAGTTCGTAGCACTCTCGCCTTTGAGTCAGAAGGTTGTGTTGTAGTTTTAAGCTCTACAAAGGGACTTGGAACCTACAAGTCTAAGCTGACACTATTCTGGGGATGTGCTGCATTGTTGAAGGTGCTATCCTTCGGTTGAGACATTAGACCAAGGTGCTGCTTGTCTGTTCAGGTGAACGTTAAAAGATCCCATGGAACTATCTGAAAAGAGTTTCTCCTGGCCAACAATCCTCCAGTCAGTCATTCATTTCATGGTTGTTTGTGGGACATAGCTGTGAACAAACCTGCTGCATTCAAGCTCAAAAATACACACAGTCACAGCACTTTATAGTGTATTCTGTGTAGTGCTCTGAGACATCTCGACAAAATTATAAGGCTGAATATCATTAGCAAGGATTATTACTATTATGCTTTAATAACTGTGTTAAATTAATTTTTCCAACCTTCCCCCCTTTAACTCTTCGTTCCCACTTGTTACCAATTCGCCAACCAGTGGGAAGGGTTTTTCTTGGTTGCTGTCAATACCATATTGTCACAGGGTCATATATCACATCGGGACTCTTATCGAGCAGAGATTCCAACCAGACTTCATCTTCCCTCAATGAAATGGAAGACTTTGAGGCAGCACAGAGCACCATCTGGTGGTGCACCTGAAATATGGCAAACCTCCTCTGAGGTGAAAGACTGAATAAAAGTCACGACTATGATTTGGTATTAGGAACTGAGTGCTGTAGCACTGGAGCCACAGGGAATTGTTCAAAGCTGTTGTTAGAGACACCATCACTAAGACAACAAATGCAATTAACAATCCAGGTGTGTGTGTGTGTGCTGACAGCATGTACTGTTTTTTCCTCAGTCTCCACTGTAACCCAGTTATATATACAAATTCCATTATTTGAAAGAGTTGTAGTGCGGAACAGGAAACAGGTTACCCAGAGGACTAACTTGTATGATTCATGCAGGAAGGGCAAGACTCACACAGGCTAGATCCTAGGGTGTGCGTACTGTTGATGCAATACATTCGGTCTTAGTTTAAGCTTCAAAGAACGATAAAAGGCCTTTTCTACCTCACTAAATTTATGAATGATCAAGAATCTAACCTTCTCCAATGTACATTATGTGATTTTTCTGACAGACTCTCAATCTCCTTCCACTGCCAACAACTTTAGATTAAAGAAAACCTACACATATGTCAAAATAGATTCTAGTTGATTTTAGAAATGAAATTGAACATATTCAAACATGAAATATATAGAACAAATCCAGGAGGATTTCCGCTAACACCTTTCAATGTACCAGTGTCTTTTGGGAATAGCTTAGCCTGTTGTTAGCTTTATTGCAAATTCTCTTGCTCGCACCCTAAAGTCTTAAGGATACTTTGATCTATAGGTTGAGAGATTGGGTCAAGAATTCAAAGGTCAATTTATTAATAATAATAATATTTTTTAAATGGTAAACCACATTGGTATAGCTTCTTTTGTGTCAGGAGGATTGTAAAGTGGAGTGACTGTGTTTCGTTTAAAGGGACTCGGATGTGTCCTGTAAACATCTTGTAATAAAATGAACCTGTTTTATACATCAGTGCATGAGCTCATGTAGTCAGATAGGATGATACAACCACAGAAATGTCCAGGAAAAAGGTGGCCCCATTTGGCCCATCAAGTGTGCTGGCTCTTTTAAAGAACAATCATTTCAGGCCATTTACCTGCCACACCCTCCCCACTCCGTTCCAATACCTCTGCAGGTTATATTCTGCTTAGTTTCCTCTTGAAAGTTAATATGGTTCCTGCTCTTGCCTCGACGGCATCTTAACAGCTTGCCATTCACTCACACATGTTTTATAAAAGGCCTTTCAGCAATAAGAGAGAGAAAGTGTTTGCTGCAGTCACTGAAGTGTACAAAACGTAAAAATTCTTTTTTGCATTAATAAATACAATATATGGGATCAAAACAGAGATGTGATATTAAACTTTGTGGAGCACTTTAATGAGACATCCTCCCGATGTAAAAGGAGCTACAGTGAAACATTTTGTTACAATTTAGAAGGTAACCGTACTCTCTGATAGTGCCATCGATGCTTAACTCTCTTTGGTTTGCATAAGAGGTTACATACGGTTGGGAATAATCCACAATTATAAAATGACATCAATTCTTCTGGGGTGATTCTCAGAGGCATGTAAAATATCCCAAAGGTCATTTTTTCGGAACAAATTGTTAATGGCTTCCAGAACGCAATTTTTTTTGAAGGATATCTGATTCGCCATAAGTTATTTTTCCCTTGGTTTGTGCCATTCAATACTTCTTCACAACAGGCCTTTACTGTGTATCAAGTAAATCCTGACTAAAATTTATGGCATTGTTGTAAACAGCGAGAACAGAATTTCTACTATGCTGAGGCTGCATTCTGGCAGGTTTATTGGTTGAACTGCTGTTGAAGACTTACATTTTTATGGTCTTTGTAAAAAGAGGACGTTTCTGCAAAACAGTATATTTACACTTGCCGGTTTCCAATTCTAATCAGCATTTGTGGGGTTTTCCAATTTTCTCTAATTCCCTTTGCTGAACATTTTTTTTCCCACATGTACTTTGTCACTCTGAACTGCAGAAATAAAAAAGGCCACGTTCTAAGTCGGAAGATGCTAATAATAATAATGCTTAATAATAATGCCAATAATAATGATTATTGTTCACTGCACATGCATGGACAGTGCCACTAAAGTCAGCTCCTTGTAGTGGATAAGATTGCTAAAAAATAAATGAAACCAATAAAGGTAAAATAAACATTAATATCATCCTATGAAAATTAAAAACAAAAAGCCAAATCAGACAAGCCTAAAGACAACAAACAGCAACAAGCATTTACGTAACACACGTCTTGTGGGATAGAGTCTTAGAGCGCTGCACAGTGGCCAGGTTGGACATTGAACAAAGGGTGGAGTGTAAATTACAGTATATTTGACAAGAAATATGTTCTGACTGGCCGTTCTACCTGTGAACCATTAAACGGGGCCATAACCTAAGCTGTTGTTTCACATCTGGCAGAGTCCTGCTGGTAAGGGTTCCCAGGCTTTACAGATACAGCCTGGCTGGGATGCTGACTAAGGTTTATAGTAGATTGCCCAGCTTGCTCCAATTAACACAGAAAATTCAAGCTGGATGTTTTTAATAAGGTATCCCAAGCTTTTACAGACATGGTGTAATGTGTAGGCCAGGACTCTGGACAAATTAACTCAGTCATACACTCGCTTCAATCAGCTGTGCTCCTTCCTCTCCCTCAGACCTGTCTCCCATCTTGCAAACATCTAGCTGTCGAAGTGCCATCACTACATCTCCTCTGATACAATACAAACCCAAATTACATTTGTATAGCGCCTTTCAATTCGGGAGAACATCCCAAGGCGCTGGATGACTTCTTTTCCTGTCCCCTTATGGTTTTGTGCATCGATCACCAGGGATCTACGTCAACAAGACGGAAGCCATACTCTTTGGCTCCAGTCAACGTCTTCTGTCCTCCTCAACCTACCCGATCTATCCTTAAAACTCTCAGAGCGGATCGACTTCAAGATCCTCACTCTAGTGTTTAAATCCCTCCACGCTTTGGCACCCCCCATTTCTCCAACCACCCCTCACAACACTACCACTGCCTCTGTTCTACTGGCTTTGGCCTCTTCCTTGTCCCTCGAATCCTCCGTTTCCACCATCGGCGGCCATGCCTTCATCCACTACACCCCGAAGCTATGGAACTCCCTCGTTCAATCCCTTTGCCTTGCCCCCTCTTTCCACATTTTCAGGTTGCGCCTGAACACATTCCTCTTCAACCGTGCCTACGGTCATCTATGCCTCGCCCTGGCTCGGCAGTGGGCTCCATTGCTAAGGGCTCTGGGATGCCACCCGGCATGGAGGGTGCTATGTAAATGCAAGTTGTTGTTGTTGTTCTATCCACTACCCTCTCCTTTTCCTCATCTACACGCTTCCCCCTTTGGTAAATATCCTACACAGACAATGGCCTTGCTCCAATTCACCTCCATCATCTACTGTGAACCATTTGTCCATTAATTCCCGGTGCTCTATCAACTCTGATCTGCTTCAAGCCCCCTGCCCGCTCTGCCCCACTGATAGCGGGTGAGCTTACAGACACTTTGCCCCCATCCTCTGAAACTCACTGGAATTCACTTCTAACCGGTTTAGCACTAATTTTAAGATTACGTCTCCAGCATTGGATTCCACTGTCAGATCTACTATGTCTTGGCTGCCTCATTCACCTACAAAATACACAGTCACTACACTTTATATTAAATCCAAGTGAAGTGAATCCACTTTGAGCCATCCTCCCAACATATAAGGCACTATGTCAAATGTAAAGCATATTATTATCATTAGAATTTAATTAAAACAGTACAATTTACTCACTCATCAATCTGTGAGATGTAAGTTTCCAGTTCCTTTACAACTGTCTGCAGTTTATTGAGTAGCTTCTGGTATGAATCCCGAGTCTCCACGTCCTCTTCTTTCAGGAGGAAGCAAAGGCCATGCCCATCCTGCTGCCCCAAACTGTGTCCAGAGGGAGCTGCCATGGTGGTGATGCAGTGCTGGATATACACCACTGGGTCCAATTTGTCTGTGGAATAATAATAATAATCCTTGCATTTGATATAGCGCCTTATCACGTCTTCAAGACGTCTCAAAGCCCTTCACAGAATATACTGTGAAGTGAATTGACTGTATATTTTGTGGGCAAAACTCATCAGCCAATTGCACGCAGCGGTGTCCGACAGTCGTAGATTGACTGACCAATTTATTATTATTTTTTTGAAGGGCTTATGACCCCTGGAAAAGTGATCCGCCAATCGACTAACAACCGGGTTTCTACTTACAGCTTGGTAAACAGAGACATGTGAGGAGCAAGGAAACTTGCCCTATATTTCCTCCACCTCCGCCATATTGCCCGTCTCTGACAATATCTCACCCTACAAGCTGCTGAAACCCTTGTCCACACCGTTGTCACCTCAAATCCCCTCCTCGGCGGTCTCCCCTCCTGTGCTATTCACAAAAGTCAACTCATCTAAAACTACGCCGCCCGCATTCTCACCCGCACTAAACACCGCACCCTGAATACTCCAGTCCTTGCCAAACACCACTGGCTCCCTGTCACACAGAGGATCGACTTCAAGATCCTCACTCTAGTGTTTAAATCCCTCCATGCCTCGGCACTCCCCTATCTCTCCAACCTCTTCTCTCCTCACAGCACAACCCGCTGCCTCCATTCTACTGGATCCTGCCCCCTCCTTGTCCCTCGAATCCTCTGCTCCACCATTGATAGCTGTGCCTTCAGCCATCACGCCCCAAAGCTATGGAGCTCCTTCCCTCAATCCCCTCGTCTTGACCCCTCTTTCTCCATTTTCAGGCTGTGCCTGAAGACCTTCTTCTTCGACCGTGCCTATGGTCACCTTCCCCCACCCCCTGGCTCGGCATCAGGCTCCACCATTGTTAAGCGCTCTGGGACGCTTTTATTTTCATAATTTTTATATCTGGAACAGTATGTATTTCTTGAGGTAGGACTAAGAGAGCATTCGTATTCAATTACTAGTTAGAAACAAAGAATGAGTTCTCAGGTCCACCTTTTATTGGGAGTGGGTGGTTGTTTTTCTGCCTCTTGAGGGAGAAGGGAATAGAAGAGTAAGAGACGGAGTAAGGAATGGGCAGAGACTCATGCGGGGTATAAGCACCACCACAGACTGGTTGGGCCGAATAATCTGTTCCTGTGCTGTACGTTCCATGTAAATCTTTAAATCTATTCCTCAGATTTCAGTACAAGACCAGATGCAAGTGATTTTCACGGAAACAGCATTGCTTTGGGCTAGCTTTGATATGATCAGGGAGTCATCCTCATGCAATCAGATGAGGGCATTTTAGAGAATGTAGTCAATAGGCATATTTTGCACTGAAAGTTCCTTAGAACAGAGGCACTTCCCCCCAGACCCTCCCCCACAGCCCTTCTCCTCCAGCCCCTTCCCCTCGACTCAGCCACTTACCCCAAAACAGCTTTACTTCATAAGCCTATTTGTCATAATATTTCTTTATAACGGTTGAGTAAGCAGTAATCACACAGCGTGCACATCTGCATGTGTATTTGGATGTTGCAGTTCAAATGTGCACATTAGTTCTCCAGGTTACTGTCTGAGAGACTGAGTTACAAAGCCTTACCTTGGTCCTGGTTCTTGCTGTCAATGTCACTGGTGGATTGTTTCCGGCTGTCCAGTTGCACACCAAACACGCTGCCCAGTGAAGCAGCGTTTTTTGGGTAAGACACCTCCATCACATTTATGTGACAATTGGTCGGGCAGAAATCACTGCTGTGCAGTGGAGGAATCTTAGATTTCGCTTGCTTGAAAGTGGGCCAGGCTCGGTTTTTCAGAACTCGTGAAAACTAAACCATAAAATACAAAATTAATAATAGAGGCACAAATTTATACTTGCCAACATAATGGTTAAATGCTACACTCACATTTATGCCATGATTTACAATAAAAACATCGGCCTTTCCCCAAAAATGCTCGTTGAGAAAATACATGTTTTGTGTTGAACCATTCATAGATTTACATTGAATTTATAGCACCGAAACAGGCCATTTGGCCCATCTAGTCTGTACTTGCATTTCTCCTGCACATGATCTCCAGGCATTCCTTACGTCCTCTACACTTCTATTCCCCTTTCCCTCATGTGTTTACTATCTGATTCAAGTACCGCTTCAGGCAGAGTTCCACATACCTACAGCATGGAATCGTACATAGTCAGACTATACAGAACAAGAAGATCTGGTCTGAGCTGTCAGCTGAGCTGAAGGAATGGAGAAGCAAGACCTCAATTTTCCTGACCTAGCGATGGGAAAAAGCGGCCAAGGTTGGCATTCTGAGCTATATCTAAAAAGACTGTGAATTATACAATATGTAAGAATATTATTTGAGAAGAGGATCATTATCTAACCCAGTGGTTAGATGGCCCTTCTATGCTCATTGTGCCCCACTTACACAGGGAGAATGGTCTATTGTCTAAGGCGATGAATGTCCCCCACCAAAATCCAACAGTATTTAGGAAGAGTGGGGTTAACTGGGAATCTTCATAAGGAAAAACTCAAAGAGAGAAAACAAAAGTAGGTGCATTAAAAAACTTCACGGTAGATATCTTGGCAGGTGTGCCAAGATACAAATTATGATGTGTTATGATTAACATCCACATTGCCATTGAAGACTTGGATTGAAATTAGCGACTTTATGATAATTTACATCATCTGTTATCTCTGCAAGATGACCTCAACCATCAACACCTTTGTCAAGGTTGCACCAAGTAACCTGCCCCACTGCCTAACCTGGACACCCATCCGGCACATGAATCATCCGATTAGGGGCTTGTTCGCTGAATATCAGGCTAATAAAACAAAATAAAGTCAGAGTAAAATCAATATTTCATTCATAGTCTAATGTGCAAGTCCACTGCATGACCCGCCAGCTTCCTGAGACAGACTAGGAAAAAATATGTGTGCGTGGGTGTGTGGATGTTGTGGGGGTGGGGGAGAGGAGGGGGCAAATCTTTCTCCAGCACACCTGAGCACCAATCGATTAGTTCATTTAAAGCACACTAATTCCTTTCAGACACATAGAATGGAATCTCATTTAATATTCGTTTACCTTGAACATTTGTTTACCCAAACTGAAATTAGCCAAATCCAGCAAACAATGGAGATTAAATTTAAAACCTCACTGCTCTGTTTTGGTACCCCACAGAATGGAGTGCACCATTGGGTTTCATTTCAGAAGCGAAACGTAAAAGAAAACATTTGTGCTGTTGCTTTGTAAATATAAAGTTACCTGCACTTGGTGGAAGAGCTGAGTGATCTTTAAAGTTAAAAAATCTTGAAAGAATTAAGTCCGGGAAAAATATGTCCCACTCTTTATCATAATGTTAGGTTTTGTTTTCAAAAAATCACTTTGTTCATGAAGAAGTCTGCTGTAACTATATTTTTGCACCAAACTTTCAAGTAAACTTTTTTCTTAAATAAACCCCATGATTGTTTACAGACCCTGTTAAGATTCAGTGTCTTGTAACTGGCCTTCAAAAAACAAAATATCTTTCTGGATACCAGGATTTCTCTGGGAATACACGGAATATATTAACCCCACCCTCATATGGATCAGCTCTTGTCCATTTGAGTCCAGACGTCTGGTCTAATTTTTATAAGATAATTTGTGCCCATTTCCCTCGGAATGTCAGGAGTCGCTAGTAGTGAGATCTGTAAAGAGCTGACTGTTCTATAATCAGCGTGTAACACAGACGTTCTTTCCATATTTAGAGCTTCCTAGAGTCACATTCTTTCACAGGCTTAAACGTTGGCACACTGCCTGCCGCTCAGTGGTTTTGGTCGGGTTAACGAGATTCTGCCCCCAAAGTCCACAGTACTCATAGGGAAATTGACTTCCTTGAACTTTTAGCAGCTCAAGGACCTGCTGGAATTGCTTACCTTCTTGTAGTTTGTGATCCTTCGGTTAATACGCTCAAGCTTTTCGCTGCACATGCGGCTGAATTTTGAGTGAAGTTCAGGAGACATTGCTTCACTCAGACAGCTCAGCCGGCCGCAGCTCTCCACAAACTGCTCGTCGTTCTTAGCCAAGCTTTCGAGGATCTGTTGAACAAGCAATGTTAAGACGAGATCTTAGCTGTCAAGTCATCGCAAACAAGGAGCAAGAGAATGAAGTGTACAGCTCAGAATAACAACAACAATAAATTGCATGTATATAGCGCCTTTCAGCTTGCACCTGAGCTGTGGGGTGGGGTGGTGAGAAGATGACCAAAGGCACGGTCAAAGAGGATGGTCTTGAGGTGGGCTTTGAAGAAGGCAAGGGAGGGGATGAGGTGGAGGGATCCAGAGGGTGGTGCAGCAAGTATAAAGGCCCAACCTCCGATGGTGAAGCGGTCAGGGCGGAGGACATAGAGCAGACCAGTGCCTGTAGAGTGGAGGAGCAGACAGGTTTGGTAGGGTTTTAAGAGGTCACAGAGATAGGTGGAGCATGACAGTGAAGTCAACTGGAACACGAGTATGCCACAGAGAAACCACAAATAAATACAAACAGAGGCCAATGTGGAAAAAAAGGAATTACATTTTTGTGCTGCTGTATCACAATGTAACACCTCAAAACTCTCCATAGATAAGTAATGTCAAGTGACTGTTTTGTAGGTAAATGATAACAAGCTCCCACAATAGCCATGAAGGAAACGATTAATTAATTAATTTGGAGGAATGTTGGCCAGAACAACCGGAGAAACTGCTGTTTCAAATAGGGTTACAGAAACTTTAACGTTCACCCTCACAGCAATCAGGACCTCAGCTTAAAGACTGCGTCACCGACAGTGCAGCAACAGAGTATAAGGTGCAGATTTCAGTCTGGCTCAGTCGTTAGCACTCTCGCCTCTGAGTCAGAAAGTTGTCAGTTCAAGCCCTAGGTCAGAACTCTGAGCTCATACACTGAGCTGACACCCAAATGCAGGGTTGAGGGAACTCTGCATTGAGACATTAAACTGAGGTCCTGTTCAGGAGAGAAGGCAGTCTCTCCCAGCGTACCAGACAATACATGTGGAAAACTAATTTCAAATACGCAGTCATTGCACTTTACAGGAAACACTTTAAAGATGTTTTGTTGTACTAGGCACTATATCAAATGCAAGGATTAACCCATAAACACGAGCACTAGGGAATCGGCCTAACTGATATCTAACTCAGACAGTCAGCAGCATATTTAGAAGTCTGGTATTCTGTACGGTTACATAATGCAGGTTTGCAGTAGCTATTTCCTACGTGATGAGCTCTTCATCTTGGCCTGACTGTGAAAGGAGGTATAAGCAGAGATCAGGCAATGCCCCTAAAGAGAGAGGGAGAAATTGGTATTCATGTCACCCTTGGTTGTTCCAACACTTAGTTGCCCAGCAGCAAAAAATCTGTCTTGCCTTCTGAGATGGGCGACTGTATGTGCTAGCGCAGGCTAAAGAGAGAGGGGGTCTTTATTCTTTCCTCCTGGACTGAGAGAAAAATAAATATAATTTAAAAAGCATAAGGTAGCAATTGTAACCCATGACACATTTTCCTTCTATCCTTTCCTCTGATGCTTGTCTTTCTACGGCAGCGAATAAAACAAAGCACTGAATAATAAACACAACAAGCAGCAATGACGCTTGGGTGTCAAAGGAAGTCGAGGAGCAAGTGGAGGAGCGGGTTTTCATGGGGCAAACTCACATCTAGCTGCTTAGAAACAAGACCGAACTGGAGACAAGAAACAGCCTTTTGTAAGTCCAGAGAGAAAAACAACAAAGAACATGCAACTTGCGGAGTATTTTATTGGTCTGAAGAAAACCATTCTCAAAGCAGTCAAAGCTTCTGTTTGAAATGCAGCCCTTTTGCTCAGAATATTGAAAATAAAGTGTATTCAATCAAAGAAAAACAAGTACAAACATTTACAGGGTAAACTTATAATTACTACTAAGAATAATCCTTGTATTTGATATGGCGCCTTATCACTTTGTTGTGACGTCTCAAAGTACTTTGCAGAATAGACTGTGAAGTGAGTATTGACTGTATATTTTGTGGGCGAAATGTGGCAGCCAATTATGCACAGCAAGGTCCCACAGAATTGTGGATTGGTTTTTTTAAGTAATTATTACCCCTGGAAAGTGATCCGCCAATCGACTAACAACTGGGTTCTTACTTACTGCTAGGTAAAGGAGTGTGTGGAGTAAGGAAACTTGCCGGAGGTTTTATCCTGCTCGGGAATCAAACCTCTGTTTGCGAGGCAAGCACGCTAACCACTACGCCACAGGACTCCAATTTGGAAGCAGACAATTTGAACAGCCATTTTTCTAAGGCAGTGTACGTTATCAGGCTCAATTTCATTGAACAATATCTCACCAGTCCTTCCAGGAGAGAACAGAGGTTTTTCTGTATGTACACAAAATCTAATATTGGATGCTTTAATAAGTTTAACTCATGACTAAAGTGCTGGTGTTTTCAATTTAGGTTAACTAACAAAATGAAAAAAAATCAATCCAAACAATCAAATATCAGTGAATATTTATGAATTGGTTTCCTGTCCAGAGTATAATAATAATAATCCTTGCATTTGATATAGTGCTTTTCACCACTTCTAGACGTCTCAAAGTTCTTCACAGAATATTTGTGGGCGAAACGCAACAGCCAATTGCGCACAGCAGTGTCCTACAAACAGTAGTGGATTGAAGTGACCAATTTTTTTTGAGGGATTACTATCAGTTGTGTGGAGTAAGGAAACTTGCCCAAGGTTTCACCCTGCCGGGACTCGAACCCAGGTCTCTCGCTTGCAAAGCGAGTGCTCTAAAAGGGGCATTTACAGTTCTCATGAATGCCTTTGTTAAATTATGGGTTTTGGAAGAATTTCACAAGTAACTGCATCCACATCCTAGAACAGAATTGTATTCCATGGAACTAGTAACATTTTGCTCATTACAAATGCAGTGAAACATTAGCACCACTTATGAATCAGGCTACAATGTCGGGTTGCAATCCTAAGAATCCTGATCCTGGCATCCTATATGGTAATTGTGCTGCCAAAAAGATTATTGAAGAGAATCCCAGGATTTCAGGAATGGTAGGGTCTTTCCTTACTGCCGGAAGTGGGCAGGTGTTTAAATCTCCCATGCACACTGCAGAGGGACGCTCTATCTGAAGTACCTCACTGTGTGCACAATCACCGAAGGCGTTCTTGACCAGGTAACAGTCGAGATCCTGTGATTTGGTCCATTAAAATCCCGAAATCCCAGGCTTCTGAAAGAGCTCTGGGAATTGCAACCCCTAGCTAAAAGCTTCGGTGGGTTTTACAAAAGCATCTTCCAAATGTCTCCTGAACATTTATATCACAGAGAAATCTCCAAACCATCAATATACTTAACAGTCTCTTGTAAGGTATTGTTAGTTCGATTTTGCATCAATCTGGCTCAGTTGGTAGCACTTTTGCTTCAGTGTCAGAAAGTTATGGGTTCCAGTCCAATGTTGGGACTTTGAACTCATAGTTGAGGCTTACAATCCAGCACTGGGAGAGCGCTGCATTGTTGGAGATACCATCCTTCAGATGAGACATAAAACTGAGGACCCACCTGCCTGTTTGTTAAAGATTTCACAACCAAAATTGAAAAGTGAGTTTCTCTCGGTGTCCTGGCCATCAATCCCCCAATAAGATTACAACCTTGTGCAAATTGACTGCCGTGTTCCTCTACAAAAATACACATTTAACAGTATATCTTGTGAAGGTTTTCGAGATGTTCTCCCAATGTGAAAGGCATTATAACAAATGCAAGGATTATTGCTTGTTTAGGGAAATATTCAAATTACTCCACAGTGTAATTGTAAGCAGAGAAGTACTACAATGAAGGGAAAAGGAAAGGAAGAGTTTAGAAAGATGCGCACAAATTTTAAGCCTGTTGTTGATAAAAATAGTTTTGTCAGGAAAGCAGAGCACAGATGTTTAACCACAGGACAATTCGTTGATCCTTCCAACCTTACCTTCGCTGTTAAACTGAAAAATCCCTTTGGTTCGCTCATTTTCTCCAGCACACGGCATTTTGTGCCAGCCGTGCTATCGTATTCATACACCACGCCATACTCCAAGTGAACATTATCCACAGTCAGACTCACGTGATCCTTCTTCCCATCAATTAAAGCCATTGTATTGAACTTATCAAAGACTTCTGGGGAGAAAGAAACCATGGCGTCATCTTGACATCTTGTTACGTTAGATAAAAACAAAGGAAATCTAACTATCACCTTCAATACAGAAACTGCTGAGGGTGAATACCTAACACCAAAGTAAACCACACTGAGGCCTAATTTGAGAGATTTGCGAAATAATTTGTGAATAGCTAATCTCAATCCAACTCTCTACTCAGATAGCAACGTCCTGCCAGGCTACAGGAGCCTCCCCAGCATTCTATAATTATTATATGCATCACTCAGCGAACACCAGCCTGCTTCATGTTCCCCCACCCTATCCACCCCACTATCATTGGGTAAGCTTGCAGCCATTCTGCTCCTGTCCTTCTTCCAACTTACTCCTTCTCTCCCCATATTCACCAGTTACCACTTTATCCCTTTGATCATCCCCCCCATCCACACACCCCCGCCCACACACACCTTTCCCAAAGGGGTGCCCAGCTAGCTGTGTAAAGGGCTTTGAGACATCCTCCCAACATGAAAAGTGCTGTATAAATGTGAATTGCAACGTATTTTGAAACTGCAAATTTATTGATGATTTGCTATGTTGTCTGGACTCCCCAAACTCTCGAAGCAAAGCTGTGCATCACAGCACAAAGGAACATACAGATGTTTTGCACATTTCATTTTAAGTTTCACTACCTTTGACAGAGGCGCAGTATTTGAGTTCGAATTCAGATGGAAAAAAATAATCATTTAAAAATCAAAGTAAGGCATCCAGTGACAAACAGTTTGCACAATGTATGTAATTCAAGGCCCATCCAGGTAGCAGTCAAGTCACGCCACACGCTCTCGTTCCAACAGACTGTGCTCGGAAAATTCTGATCGGAGACTTCTCCCTTTGATTGGATATGTATGATAGCTTTCTCAAGGAATTGATGCACACCAACGACAGAAAATTGTAATCTTTTTGACTGGCAGACAAAATTACTTGCTTCCGAAAAGCACATGCGGATACAGATTTCTCATGGTTATTTAATGGGACTGTTTCGTGCCTGGTGCAGTTCGTTCTGCTGCTGGGGTTGCAAATTAAATATTGATAGCAGCTTGCTGCCGAGTACGCATCCCCACAGAGAAATTACATTAGAGAGGTTTAGAGAGGTTTTTTTTTATTCCCTCCAGAATTTATATTGAGAATTACAGTTTCTCATTTTAAAACAAATAATCCATTTCTTCTCATTTCAACTGAGAAACACTTCAACAGAAAAAATTATTTTCTGTGCAATTCAATATATATGTATATATATCATATACACATACACACACTCAAACACAAAACTCCACATTATAGTATATCCTGTGAAGTGCTTTGGGATGTATTCCTGACGCGAAAGGCGCTTAACCAAATTATTGGTTAATAATACAAATTATTATCACTTTTAAAAAAAAATAATTAAGGAGCTGTGCCAGAATTTAAAGATTCTGAATTTAAAGAATTTAAAGATGGAAAAATTAAGACTTCCAGAATCTAATGTCACCTTGTGTTGGTATTTGTCTCCACATAAGCCACCTAGTGATCTTGCTTGCCTGCCCAAACCCATCAAGGCAGAGGGCGAAACCTTGGGCAAGTTTCCTTACTCCACACAGAGCCTAATAATAATCCTCCAAAAACCAAAAACAATAATAAATTGGTCATTTTCAATCCACGACTGTTTGTGGGACATTGCTGTGCGCAATTGGCTGCCGCGTTCGCCCACAAATATACAGTCAATTCACTTTACAGTGTGTTCTGTGAAGCGCTTTGGGATGTCCTCCCGACGTGAAAAGCGCTATATCAAATGCAAGGATTATTATTATTATTATCAACAATTCTGTTTCTTTTAAATCATCTCCCAAATTTCTTTTGAAAACAATTTACAAATTCTGTCTCACTAAAGGTTTGCGACAGAGAATTTCACATTCCCAATACCTTTTGTGCAAAGACTGTCTTTTTTTCCAACTCCCATTTGTAAAATGTTTTGGGAAGTTATCGTAAAAGATTTTGATCCCTTATTTAAGGCTAAGGCCACGAGAAATGTCAGGCCTCGGATGAATTTGACCGCGAGCATCTGTGGTGGACTATCAAGTCATTCCAAACCAAAGAAAATCTGGGGAGATTTGAATTATAAGGGATTAAGGGATTCCTCCAACTAGGGAAAAGGGATTGAGCCAGAAAGATTTTTTTTCAAAACAGGAATACATTAGCACTATAATGTTGGAATTTATGTACAAAGTATTAACAGAATGGAATCAATTTGGCAACATATTTGATAACTATCACATTGAGTACAGCTGGAGGTGGGTTCTCACCCCCACCCCACCCTCCTACCCCAGCCCTGACTGTTCTCAATGGTGACTCTAGGAAGTGGATGTTGGCTTCATGGACTTCGCCATTAAGAACAATGTTAGGCTTCTCCTCCAGTGTTTCATGGAGTGTTTCACTAAAATGAACCCAGATACTGGTGGTGGACTTACCTTCATTGAATCCATCTTGTACATCAATGCCATTTCCTCCTGAACCTGGAGACTTTAAGTTGGATTTTGGGGTATCTTCCTGACCACTCTCAGTATTGTTGTACACCCACTGAATGGAATCGTGCTAAAAGGAATGACCGAAATAGAAGGATTATAATGTGGTCAATTTCAGGGCAGAGGGGCTCCTTGGACAAGCGGCTGTTCATGTGGATGCTGATGCTTTTTGCCAATGGCCACAGAGCGGCAACACCACTGGAGCATCATTAAGATGCCAATTATCTTCAATTGTTGATTGCTGCTTTATTTTCTTTAATAAGCACCTTTTATGTGAGGAAGACGTCTCAAAGTGCTTCACAGGATCCACCGTGAATTGGAATAACTGTGTGTTTTGTAGGTGCACCCGATAGCCAATTTGCATACACACAGCCATGACCAATTTTATCTGCTGGCCGGGATATCAGGAGAAATTCCCTTCTTGTTTCAAGTGGAGCCTATTTTCAAATTTTTAAAGTCCACTTAAACATGCAGACAGAGCTTAGTTTAATGACTCAGTTAAGAAACAGCACCTCCACCATTGCAGCCCCCACCCCTCCCCCCCCAGCACCATATTGAATCACCAGTCTGTAGATTCCAATTTTCAACGTGGGGCTTGAACCAACAACCTTTCAGTTCAGAAAAGGAGGAAAAAGGCACTAAGAAGAAATTGTTTTAGCTGCTACTGAGATGGCTGAGAAGTTGACAGCTGTTCCAAAATGTGTCAATTATCTGATCTTAAAATATAATGACAATGTTTTTCTTTTAAAAAATAATTTTCAAGGGAAGACCACAATTGTGGCTGTTGCAGCACAGGCAGGCAGACTTTTCATTGATAACGTCAATCTTATAACCATCAACAGCAAAACTCTCCACTGGAATCAATGGGGAAATAATGTCCAAGTCACTTGAAATGAATGATGCCTATCTAACTAATGGACTTCAATGATTATAATGGGAGTGTTTGATATGATTGAAACAACTGGTTAGTTTAGAAACACCAAGAAAACAGCATCTTATTCTATTTTCGGCCACTTCATGTAAAGCTACGAATCATGTCCTCAACCGGAATTGTAACAACACTGCAGAAAGGATTAATGGGTTCATTTTCCATTCCCCACCTGCAACCTCAATAGGTATATACACAATATAGCATCATGGTATTTAAAAATGTCTTGTAAGGAGAAACACACTATCTTAAATAGCACACTACCTCAATCTCCGCAATATCACCAGTCACTCACTCTATTTCACATCAAACACAGCCAAATTCCTTATCTACACTTTCATCACCTTTTCCAACTCGCTGCTTGCTGGCCTCCATTCTCAGATCCAGATAATAATAATAATAATAATAATAACAATAATAATAATAATCCATGCATTAGTTCATCCAGAACTACTATACTCTCTCACGCAGAAGGCTCCAAAAATCCACTACACCTACCAAGCTCCTTTGGCCCCCTACTGACTTTGTGGATTGACTTTGCCCAACCCTCTCTCTAAGATCGCTACTCACTGCCCTCTCCTTCCGTTCCACCACCTCACCATTGGTGGGCGAGCTTTCAACCACCTTGCCCTACTCTCTGGAACTCTCTCCCAAAATCCCTCTGACCTCTCATTGACTACACGTTTGGCCACCTCCTAGAGAGAATTTTGAACTCACTGCTGGAAGCTGTGGCTTAAGCAAAAAACATGAATATATATAAGAGGAAGCTTGAGGCATCCGTGAGAGAAAAGGAAAATAGAGGGGTATTAATGAGGGGATTATAGCAGTACAAATTCTATCATTCTATGTAAGTCTATGCAAGGTGCTTATAGCAGTACAAATTGCTGTTGATGTTGCTTATGCTGAAAAAGCACATCAAGAGGTACAGTGCATCTTCTCCAGGGAGCTCCATGTATGTTGACCAGCAAGAACTCCTCTCCACCAAGGTGTCCAGGCAGAACAGCATTCTTGGATATCAGGGAAGTTTACAACAGAGTTCTCAAAAGACGATGCATGTTAGGTCCTGAAGCACTTATCCCTTTGCAAGACAGCATTAACGTTGTTTTATTCCCCCCATACCAGAGCTTCTTGAACCCCTATAACTTTCTCTTCCCACATAAAGGGTTGTTTCTTCCAAGTTACCTCTGGAGCTGGTATTTTCCATGGAATAAAAAGAGGGTGTGCCATCATCATCCGCAATAATTAAGATAAGTTCTTTTGATTTTTAATTATTTTTCTCTAACGGTAGCAGTTTGTTTAGATTACAATTATTCTTACCAGAGCGTATCAATTGTGAAGTGCGGATTACCAATAATGTGAATACTGCAGAGAATAGCAGCCAAGTCCTGTGCTGAATACCAAAAAGAAACTACGCCCATTGGTTTACCAGCTCACAAAGTAAAACAAACACCCAAATAAACAATTTGGTTTCTAAAAATGGAAAGTAGGGCAGGCCTACAACAGGCTTTGATATAGCTTTGGAGGTCGACACAAAGCCATTTATAGAATTTTACTGCAAATAGTAGTGACTGTCTATTTGTAGAGTCAGCCTACTTTAAACAATCTTGACTGCAAGACTTGCTAATTTCTACAAATACACAGTTATGACACACTACAGAAAAAACTCTATGAAGCACGTTTTGATGTAATGAGGAGCTATTTCAAACATAAGTATTATTCATTATTAATATTATTATTAATTATTATTAATTGTATTATTATAATATTATTATTAAACCGAACTGGAAAACCTTGCTGCACTGGAGAGAAGCTGCCTGAACTTTGATAATAGTCTTTAGATATCTCTAAGAATTTACTGTAAAGTGTAATATTTTGCAGGTGGGCACAGCAATGTCCCATAGACTGTCATGAAATAAATGAGCAATTATATCTGGGAGATTGTTAGCTAGGTCATGAGGGAAACTCCTTCCTCTTTTCAAATAGTGCCATGGGATCAGGAGAGACAGCTGGGACCTTGGGTTAATCCCTCATTAAAAGGACGATATTGCAGCATTCCTCCAGCACTGCACTGGAGTGTAAGCTTAGACTGGGATATCAAAGTCTTGACACGGGGCTTAAACCCACTATCTCTTGACTCAAAGGGTGAGAGTGCTCCCAGCTGAGCCAGACTGACACCTATTGTAGACTCACTTTCTCGTTGTAGAGTCCAGTTTTATTACAGTTTTGTGGAATAGCTCTTCTATCTCAAGAACTTGTTGATTTAAGTAGTTCAATTCAACCAACTGCTTTTTCATTGCAGCTTTCAATTCTGCTATTGACTTAGTTCTTGACTCACCGATTAAATTACCTGAAGCAAAGTTGACAGGCCCCAGGAGGACCCCAAGATAAATTACTAACTGAGAGCCAGTCGGTAGAGACATACCTGACTTTTCCAATTATTTTTCAGATCAATCAACCACACAATCATGAAATTTGCAAAGAAAGGTTATTTACTGAGTGGTTCACTCCTCACTGGTTTCACTCCTGATCTTGATAGCAGAACATATATTCTCCCATACAAGCATCAAGAAAAATTGTTTCTAAAGGTACAATATTTACATGTATATTGCGCCTTTCGCCCAAGGAGTCTATGATAGTCCTGGCTTGGCACCCAAGTTGGGAGTGGGATCCGAGGGGGGTGGGGAGGGGAAATATGATTATATATTTAATTCAACTATATTGATTTAAATTTAATAACTAGAACGATTTTCTTATCAGACTTCAAATGTTAACCTGTTTACTTTTCACTTTAAAAAAAAGTGCAATGTACTGTCTCGTGTTAAAACACAGAATAAGTTGCCTCAAACAAAAAAACAACATTAAAACAAGGACCAAAGCTTACCTGGGAAGGGCGTTTGTATTTTCTGCACGCTGTGACATGAGCAATCACACTTGCATGACTCTCTTTGCTCACGTTGATCCCGTTTACTTTGATGATGCACTGACCAGGATGCAGACCAGCTACTGCTGCCACGGTTCCTACAGAACATAAAAATAATAATAATAAATAATAATCCTTCCATTTGATATAGCGCCTTTCATATTGGGAGGACGTCTCAAAACGCTTCACGTGATAGATTGGGATGTGTAGTGACTGTATTTTGTATGCAAATGCAGCAGTCAATTTGCACACTTTGTTGTCCCGTAAACAACAAGATTCCATTTATAGAGCGCCTTTCACGTCGGGAGGACGTCCCAAGGCGCTGTACAGTTGGGTCAGGACCTGAGCAGGGGGGAAATGGTCAGGGTGAGGGGAGGGAAGGGAGGGAGCGAGGAGGGGGTAGAGAGTCGAGAGGGGAGCTGAAGGCACGGTCAAAGAGAAAGGTCTTGAGACCGGCCTTGAAGGAGGAAAGGGAGGAAGACCGGCCTTGAAGGAGGAAAAGGAGGAAGACCGGCCTTGAAGGAGGAAAGAGAGGAACAACCACCAACAATAACAACTTGCATTTATATAGTGGGGTGGTGTCCTGGAGCTTTTGACAGCGGCAGAGTCTGACCATGGAGTGATTGACCTATTTTATTTGGGGGGTTTGTTCACCAGAACAGTAGGAGAAACTCCCTTGTCTTTTTGAATAATGTGATCTTTAATGTTCACCTAAGCCCACAGACAAGAGGTTAGTTTAAAGTCTCATCTGAAGGACGGCATCACTGATGTATTGGATGTACTCCCCGCAAGTGTTAACCCAGACTATGCTAGTTCAAAATGTAGGACATGAACCCACAAACTTCTGACTTAGAAGCAAGAGGGCTACCAACTGAGCCAGGCTGACACCTCAAGTCATTGGTTTAATAGAAACATAGGCAACACTTATTTACAATTTAGGTCTTTATTGGAATTTATACGTAGGATTGACTACCTGTGAAAAGCTTCTGTTCTTGTGACATGAAAGGAGCAAAATCAAATGCAAGGATTGTACAATATTTATTGAAATATATTCAAGTAACTCCAGCCTCTTATTTCTGCAGCACAGCACTTATAATAGATGTGTTTAAAAAAACACTCCTCTCCTGCCTGAGATAGCAGTGCTGGGATCTGACCACAACCAAAGACGTAAACTGCATCTCAAGCAGAGAAACCCACAAACATCACGTCAACTTGCAAGACCTTGGCCACAACCCTTGAAAGCTTCAGAAACAAACTCTCATATAATTATGAGATGTGCTTCCCGGTTTCCCTGTCTGAGATGGAGTTCACATTGTGGGAAGCATTTGGCAGTCCCGAGGTACCATTTTCCGTGGAGAATCCTTTTACAGTTCAACTCCACTGCTGACACCACAGCAGAACAAGTAAGTCAATATATGCAATGGACCTGCCAGAGCTCAAGGAGAAGGTGGCTGAGAAACTCTTCTTTTATCACAGTGTGCAGGGAGTTGCATTCATATTTGGTACTGAGTGCTTATGAACACATTGTGGTCAGTATTAAGAGTTGACATGAAAGCACTCAAATATTGTACAAATCCCCCCAAACAATTGAATTTAATTGGAAACACAGAAATGACTGATTGCGCTGTGCGGATGTTCGGTCATGTCCACCAGACATTCCCTCATGTCTGGGTTATGAATGATAAGACTGCCCCGCAAACACAAAATTGGAGTTATAAACTCCCAGGTAAGGCATATCTTTTTATCATCAATATTTACTGAAGCAATCATCACTGGCCTGATCGGGCGAGCTTAGAACTCAGCTGAACAGCGCAGACCAAACAACACCAACAGAGGAATCTGGAAGCAAACTTTAACATGCTGCCTCTCCTAATAGTCCCTCCAATGGCACAGACATAGTGCAGGGTGGTGGGGGGTGGGCGAGGTGCTACTTTGTACCTTCCAAGCTAGCTATGCATGCCCTGAAGGTGAGACTGCCAACAGTGGTTTAGGGCTAGGGTTAAATTGGAGATACAACAACAACTTGCACTTATATAGCACCCTCCATGCAGGGTAGCGTCTCAGAGCTCTTAATAGTGGTGGAGCCTGACTCCAAGTCGTGGGGGGACCTTAAGCACGGTCAAGAAGGGAAGAGAGGGGGCAAGGCAGAAGAATTGAAGGAGAGTGTTCCAGAGTTTTGGGGCGAAGTGGCTGAATGCGCAACCTCCAATGGTGGATAATAGTTAAAGTATTAGGGCAAGGGTTGGGATAAGGGTTAAGGTATTAGATAGTAACGGGATAGTGGTTAAGGTATTAGGGTGAGTGTTGAGATAAGGGTTAGAGGAAGATTTAGAGGAGGGTTCAGCAAGAGTCACATCAGGGGATGCGTACAGATTAATATTTCCGAATGCTGTCACATATCACTACATATTAGCTGCCAATATCCCAGCTATACATATAGAATTAAGAGACATATATCCACATAAAAGTCAGACCTAGTTAATTACATCCCAATCAGCAATCACCACGGTGCCAAGAATTACAGTCTTAAAAGGTAATGTGGTTTATTCCACGTCCAGCATTGTGACTTTCCTCCACCTTAATCAGAGGTCACTTTCAATAAAAACTTAGTTGGTCTGCAAACACTTACTCCTATCTCTCATGTAGAATATTAAGATGCATTTATCAAATCATTACAGGCATAGATGAAATATTGATCACAATCAGGGGCCCAGGGACTGCTTCTCCAATACTAAAAACAAGCCAGAAATATTTTATTTCAGACAGGATCCAGGATCCAGATATTCCCATTGGGTTACATTTCCAATTAGAAGCATACCAACTACGACAGCATTTTAATAAACCAGCAATCAATCTCTGACGTTCTTCACTCGCATTTAACACAAACCTGATGAATAATTTAACTTCAGCGTTAAGAACAGCTTGCTTTAGATTCTAAAAATAAAGAGAAGATTTGACTGGAATGGTAACTGCAATTAAACCCAATTGATCAGGGAATTTATTTAATTAGTCTCCTAAATAAAGCTCCTGAAAGGATGCACTTCACTGACTTTTTTTCTTTTGCATACCACGGTCTCGAAATTTCTCATGGTTTTAGCATTAAGAACATCGTCTTAAATTTGTCATTCACTCAGAATGTCAATTCAAATTCAGTCAATTTCAGAAATTGATCGTTTCTCAGTGCCCAAAAATGTTTGTCCCAGGATAGGCAATATTGACACCGGTGTCATTTATGTCAAAAAAGAAACAGGAATGAGGTTGTTTATCCCAGCGTAGGTTGAAATGCATGTTTAGGGTTGGTTTGTGAAAGCAAACATTGTTTTCCTTCTAGTTTGAAGTTCAGCATTCTTATTTTGATAGGCACTTTCTGTCCCTCACCTGTGTGCAGTATTGATGAAATGTTCACATGAGTGACCAAAGGGATGTTAGTGCTATACTGTTGGCCACTGTGGGTAATTTTTGATGTAAGTTTTCAGGAGTGTGTCTTGGTTAATGAATTGCTGTTCTTTTACAGCACATGTAGGTTTTTCTTTCCCCCAATGAGGCCACATTTGAGAGGCATTTTGGTTGAAGAAAAGCAGCAATTATTAAAGGAAGTCATAATAAAAGGATGGTGCTACCATGCACATATATAGAAGGTAATATCAACGTTAGGGTGAAGCCAATGTGCCCCTTAGAGCACTGTCACTTGATGTCACTTCCTCCTTATGTGTAAAAAGTGACATTGCAGCAGCCATTTTGCCGCCCTACTCCCTTACAAAGTGGTTTACAACTTTAAAACAACCAAGAACTACACGTCCTCGCATACACAGGGCTCTCTCCATTGCGTGTGTGCTGTACCCTACAATGGAAGGTACACAATGGAATCTTTTGGTCGAACAGAGTGGGCAAGTTCATTACGTTTTGTTTCCTTGCATTTCTTAAGTTGAATGGTGTGTTTATTATGTTTGAATTGTTCCCGCAAGTTAAGTGTAACGTTTAAGTTTAAGTGTTCCTAATCTTAAGAAAAAAAGTCTTCAGAATGGAAATTTGGAGAGGATGATCTATTTTGAACTGATGGAGGCAATTACCGTAGGTCTTTAAGGATTATTATCATTTGAAAGCATGAAGGCCGGGCATTATACAGTTCTTCACTTTGTGCAAGTGGATGTTTCTGTGAGGGTCTGAGTGAATGACTTAAGATTCTGCATAAGGCAATGGACGGGAGGGATTTTCGTTGACAGAAGGTTTTTTGAAGTTTCTCTCACAATTTCCAGGATAGAAATGTTTTTGAAAGTGTCCAAGTCCTTACAAACCCAGATATGGTTGTATAATTTCTACATTTTGACCCAACTTATGTCCAGTGCTCTGGCCTTACTGCCCCTTCAGTCATTCATTTTCTTTTTTAGCAATCAGGGACACTACCCAGCGTAAAGGGCACTATATAAATGCAAGCTGTTGTTGTGTTGTTAATTTCCCTCTGGGGAAAGAAATACATCTTTATGTCTGTTCTGAAATTGCCCTTTGCAACCCTGTATCCTCTTGTTCTGCTATCTCGGTGCATCCAAAGCTATTGTTCTGGGTTTACTTTCTCAATCTCATTTGAAATCTTTCATACAGCTCTGATGAAATCAAGTGGAACAACTGCAAGATAATTGGGGTTAAACGTCACTTGTCACGAAATTAACAAGAGAACAATACATCTCCCCATGAGTCATGAAGGCTGTATATCAATGTGATATTAATGGATTAGGAAGGAAGGGAGACCCGCCTGCTAACATTTAAAAGAGAGTCTGATAAATGCTGTGTTGCCCTGGAGCTCCAAAGCTAACTCAGGCCAGATTTGTAGCCAGTATCCCTTGAACACACCAAAGCTCAGATTCAAAAGCAGGTCTAGATGTTCTGTTCCCCTGAGCGCGTCACTAAAGCACAGGGTGTGGAGGGAGGGAGGAGGGTGGTGGTCGGAAATCAGTCTGAAGAGAGATATGATCAAACTAATGAAATGGAGGAAGAAGCCATTAAATGGGCAGCTTAAGTGCCAGAGGGTTAATAATGCAGATTTGCGTGCACCATGCCAAAGGTTTGACAGTTGGAAGCTTTTCCAGTCGTTTCTTGGCTCGCAATTTATGAGGAGTGAGAGGCTTCATTGTTTGCCCTTTGAATTAAAGTGCAGAGAGTTATACTCTCGTGCTGTGTACCATCAGGAGGAGGGGGAAGGGAAGGCAGACGAGGAGACACAGTCGACTGAAAAACACTCAGAAATTATATAGTTGTCCAATAGGTGCTCCTCCACACAGACTTTACAAATGATTATGATTTTAAATATTTGAAAACAAAGTCCAATGGCAGGAATTCAGCAGATTACATGAACAGGGCTTTGCCCAGGGCTGTTCTGAGGATTCAAAGAAGGGAAGAGAACAGCGAGGAATTAGAGACAAACCACTAGAGCTGCTGCCTCCAGCAGTGGGGATACAGAGATATTTGCTACTGCTCGAGAGAAGCAGTAGCAAATATCTGATCATTGAATAATGTGGTATTCTAACCATCTAACAACGGACAGGCTGTAACTGGGATCTATTTACCGTTGATCACTAAAAAGCATCAGTTTTGTATATTTGTTTCAGTGATCAGTGCATGATAGACCTTAATAGCCTCCCCAACTCCTCCCTCCACAGGCTGCAGAACATCCAGAACTTTGCAACCCATGTCCTCTCCCACACCAGGCTCTGTGACCCTATCACCCCCATCCTCGTCCGACTCCACTGGCTTCCTGCCTGCTTCACGTTCCCCGCCTCGTCTGCCCCACCATTGGCAGGCGGGCCTTCTATCACTTTGGCCCCACCCTCTGGAACTCCATCTGCAGTCCATTGCCACCTTTAACTCAGATTGTAAGCGAAGCCATTCGATCAGATGCTACTTAAATTCTAATTAGTTGCTCGAACAAGTGAAACCTAAGCTGTTCGACCCTTTGCCAATGAGCATGGCCCAGTAATGCTGGTGACAGCAAGGGTAGAAAACAGATGAGACAGAGACGTGCGTCTTTTACTGAAACAGATCGGTGTACATGTACGGTGGAGTCCTGTAGCTCAGTGGTTAGAGCACTCGCTTTGCAAGCGAGAGCCCTGAGTTCAATTCCAGGCAGGACGAAACCTTGGGCAAGTTTCCTTACTCCACACGCCTAATAATAATCCCTCCACAAAACCAAAAACAATAATAAATTGGTCATTTTCAATCTACGATTGTTTGTGGGACTTTGCTGTGCGCAATTGGCTGCCGCGTTCGCCCATAAATATACAGTCAATTCACTTTACAATGTGTTCTGTGAAGCGCTTTGGGACGTCCTCCCGACGTGAAAAGCGCTATATCAAATGCAAGGATTATTATTATTATTACATAAGGAACACACTGTGGTAAACTGAAAATATTCCTTTAGACAGTAATTCTCTTGGAGAGGTTAAGCATGTTTCATGTAAAGTTAAAAGAGTCCATTGATTGATGGCTTTATTAACACAGTATTGTACGAAGTTCTAGGTACGATGGTCAAGGGCTTCTGTACAAACAAAAAAAAAACACCCTTGTGAGTGTTTAGAAGCATTTAGGAGCTACTGTTTCTGCATCAGCCTCGAGCTCTCTAGGTTGGACAATGAAGGGCACTGAATTCCACATTTTTCTCCATGTTTTGGGCCAGGGATGTGAGAGTTGAATGATTAATTCAATGGGAGGATTGGTCAGGACACCAGGAAAAATTATTTTCAAATAGTGTCACAAGATCTTTAATACCCACTTGAGAACAGGGAAACAGCATTTCAGTTTACTGTCTCATCCAAAGGACATCTCTTCTGACAATGCAAAAACTCCCCCAGCACTGGAGTGCCAGTCAGTGGAGTATGAGTTCAGATCATGACATGGGGCTTAAATCTACCAAATTCTGACATGAGTGCTACTGACTGAGACCATTATTATCCTGGTTGAAATGATGCTTCAGATTGTTTCATACTCTCTGTGCCGAATACTGGTATATTATTCAGTTATTCAGGGTGTTCCTCAGCCTTTACCAATATGTTCATAAATGTTGGGGTGCGTTATACTCTCAATCCAATACCCAAACGGCAAATAGATGAGACTCATTGAGCCAAGATGAGCAGAGCCTGGGTCCAGAACTGTCAACAGTTTGCCAAAAAGATCAGCACTCAACCGCTTTTAATGGATGGCGATTAAATTAATTAACATGGAATTTGTTGATAAATCAAGATTCTTTAGAAATGTTTCCCTTCAATATTAAAAATAATGCATCATTTGGTTGATTGTAAATTGTATCACAGAACAATTTTTAGCAGCTGTTAACCATATATTTTGGTGACTCAATCGATCGTCTCAGCTACTACCATATGTCACTGACTGCTTATCCAAATGAAAAACACAACTGTTTGTTTGAAGAACAAGCCTTCATTATGTGAGAATAGATGGGTCTTTGGCTGAAGTAGCACGTTTGCTGAAAAAAAACATTTTGTGTGTTGTATGGTCTTCTGCCTACAACAAATTAGGTTTGGTCTCTCATTGACAGCATGCCTTTAAAACTAATAAATATTGGCCACTTGTATACAGTACACATACAGAGTACAAATTAATACCTACAAAATGTAAAGAAAATTAATTACTATCCATGGCATTGCATTTGGTTAAAAACAGTAGCCATGTGAGTATAATCTACCTTTGACTGGCCTCCAAACACAGCTGTCAGCCATCTGTTTGTGAGTAACTGGTGTGAAACGTGTCAAGAAAAGTTCTCTCTTTACCTCTGCCAACAGCGTGGACAACTGATGGGCCAAATCCTCGGATCTGGAATCCAAGTCCGTCTGCAGAGTCTGGAATCTTTATCGTTCTGCACAAAGGGGAAAAAAAAGCTTCTAATGAGTAATAGTTCAACTAAGTGAAGGAATAATAACATCAACAACTTGCATTTATATATCACTCTTCACATAGAGTAATGTCTCTTACAGAGAGTAAAGAGGGTGGGGGGAAGGAGAAAAGTGTTCAAACATGTTTATAAGTTTTTTGAAGACAGATAGAGGAGGGTTGAGATGGAGGAGTAGAGGAAGGGAGTTCCAGAGGGTGAGGGCATGGTGGCTGAAAGACACAGATGAGGGTTTGAATTAAGGCGTCTATTTAACTGTGGTCTCCTGAATATAAATCAGTCACCAGTTTAATTTATTTAGCAACACTCTGACAACTGAAAGCAATTTCAATGAATAAGTGGGATAGACACTGATTTGGTACAAGCCTTTATCCTTTATTATTTATGCTTCATTTGTGATTTTACATTTTGCTCTTCTTTTTGGATTTCCACATGTGTCAGATTTTCAGGTGGTCTTACACTACATACCATTCAACTACTTAGGAGGAAGACAAACAGCCTCTCCCCAAGCCTCTGCCAAAGTTACTCTTGCAATAGCTTTCAAGAGGCTTTCTGAGAATGACCTTCAGAAGGCTTGTCCCCAATGTTCATTTCCTTTATGTAAGGGAAACTTGTTCCCTACTTGCCCCATCTTCTGAGATTCAAAGCAGTCAGTGCAACAACAACAACAATAACAAAATTACATTTGTTTAGCGCCTTTCACGTTGGGAGGTCATCCAGTGCAGCCAACAAACTGGATCTCCAAAGACTTCTTTCATCTTAAAATGAGATTTTACAATAAAAATGGGAAGAGCAAATTGGTGTAATTACTGATACTTTAGCCTTCAAGAACTGTCCACATTTGTCAGGTTGGCTCAGTTTGCTTCTGAGTCAGGAGGTTGTGGGTTCAAGTCCCATACGGCATGTGATGTGATAATCATCGCTTTGCATATTGCATGTCCTCCGTCATCCAACACTCACAGTACAGCCCTTCACTGCATTTAGCAGAATAACAGCAGGTATTGTGATTTGAGAATAATCTGGGTCACAGCACATATAAAAATGATAGAACAAATCAACAGACTAAAATTTTAAAAATCTCTCAGTTTTTAAAAAATATTTTTGAATTAGTCAGGCCATTTTTCCACTGAATACTCATGGGTTGTGCGGTCTTATACTGCACTAGCGCTTTCAATGAAAAACAATCCTTTTGCGCCATCCTAAGTGACTTAAAGTGATAATCCTTCAGATATTAAACCTGAGCTGTAACATGACACATGACTTACTCTCGTGGCTTCGTGTTCACAAGAACCCTCAGAGGCCTTTTGCTATTGAAGCACTGCTGCAGGAAACACTCCACTTCCTGAAAGGGTCGTAGGAAAACCAGGTCTCCATTGATAGCAAAAATCTTTTTCCCGACCTCCAGACCTGCCATCTGGGCAAAATCACAGAAGCTTTAATGCACAGAGGTCGTATTTGTCAGAAACAATTGTTACTGAATAAGCGAAAGATTAGTGCTCAACTTTTAAAGCCTTCAAAAGAAGTGTAACTTTCTATAAGTAAAGACATTAATTTTATCCTACATATTGGCTCTAAAGTGCACCAATAGGCATCTAGTGATCTTTTCTACTAATATTTCAGGAATTTTTAAATTTTATTCAGGAAAGTTTGCTATTTTTAGCATTCTGCGCACCATTGTTTACATATTTTCTTCACAATGCACACAAAACATTCTTGTCTAGTTTGAACTTTCCATTATAACTTAAAAAACACTTACAGTTAAGAAGTCGTTCTTGCGACAATTTATTTTTCTCAGAACTACTGGTGCTTATTTTGGTCCTGTAACATCATTTTTTAAACTCTCTAAACAATGCGTGTGGTTTCTGCCTTCCTGACTCGAAACTCAACCACCGCTGCTGACAACAAAAAATTACATTTATATAGCGCCTTCCACGTAGGAAGGACATCCCAAGGTGCTGGAACCCCATCCCACACACTATACTCTGCAGAGGGTGTTCAGAAGATCTGCTTTTCGCTTGCTCCCAGACCACTCTATAACTGGGAACTGTAGGGCTGGTGAGATAAGCCCATTGTCGTTCACTCTCCTTCCAATTTCCTCTTTGAGAGCAAAGAAAATTGATCCCTGCTGGGTACATCTCCACAGTGCTCGAGATTGGCAACAAGTCAGCAGGGAATCAATCACAAACCCATGTACCAACAGGACAATGGAGCTTCAACATGCTGTATTCCCATTCTGTCCAGCCATATAAGCTTTAGATTAACAGCATTCTCATCAAAATAAACATTTACTGAAGGGTCTATTACCATCGCCGATATTGTTTGTTTAACTGAGCATAGGTCTGGGTGTACAGCAGGGCTCTGATACCCTATCCTGCGTGGCAGTCGTATATCAATGCAAGCTGTTGTTATTTTGTTTGGACATATGAAACAAGCTCAGGTTCCTTGGTTCACACTCGTCACTAATGATTTCGGCTTTAAATATTGATATCATCCTCCTACCCCTCTCACCTCTCCTGATCCCAACCATCAACTCAGGCGTGGATCCCTGACTGTCCAGCACCTTGGGATGTCTATCTGATGTGAAAGGCGCTAGATAAATGTAATTTGTTGTTCTTGTGCAATCCCTCAAATAAAATTAGTCAATCGCTTCAAGGCTGTTTGTGGGGCATTTCTGTGCCCAAATCGGCTGCTGCATTTATCTTCAAAACTTCACAGGCACTAACATTTCACAGTGAATCCTGTGAAGCTCACTGAGAGTCCTTGCATCAAAGGCATTATGTATATATGTATATATATATAATATATGTATCAAATGGAAGGATTATCATTATTAACATGAAAAAAAGAGATGGGGAATGAGTGAAGTTTATAACAATAATCCTTGCATTTGATATAGTGCCTTATCACGTTTTCGAGACTTATCAAAGCACTTCACAGAATACACTGTAAAGTTAATTGACTGTACATTTTGTGGCCAAAACGCTGCAGCCGATTGCACATAGCAGTGCCCACAAATAGTTGGGGATTGAGTGACCACACTTTTTTTGGATTGTTTTTTTTAAGGGATCATTACCCCCGGAAAAGCATCTGCCCATCGACTAACAACAGGGTTCCTTACTGCTAGGTGAACAGAGGAGTGTGGAGTAAGGAAACTTCCCTAACGCTTCACCCTGGCCGGGAATTGAACCCAGGTCCTCTCTTTTGTGAGGCAAGTGCTTTAACCAATATGCTACAGGATTACATCACCTAAAAAGATATAACACTTGCAGTGACACTATGTCAATAATTCCTCCATCAATCATTGATGACTGGCTCATCCTGAACTATACGGAGGATAAGCAAATGATGAATAGAGCAATTACAGGGCAATAACCTTACCTTGGGGATCGGATATCATCGTATACCAAATTTAAAGTGCTCTATGACCATTATTTGAACCCTAAATTGAGGTTATGAAATTAGAGTATTAAATTACTCCAGCAGTTATTATTTTAAGAGATACAGAACCCTGTGAAGATCATGAACTTTGTTTTAATCAGTTAAGAATAGTGACTGGCAGTAACTGTCATGGCAGATATCAATTGCCAGTGCCTTCAATGTGTGTTGACACTGATACTCAAGAAATAGAGACTGTAATTTAATCACAACCACATGTAATCTCTTCAAGTCAGTTTATCGAATCACAGCAAGTGGGGATAGGGAAATAATACACAGTGCACTCAAACCCCAGCTAACTAATATTTTAAACAATTCCATGAGCCAAAAATCCACCCCTTGTATAAGATAATTCCAAACTCCCCACCAGACCAACTCTCCCAGTCGGAAGAGAGAACAGAGTCTAAACCAAAAAGAATTAAATAAAACATTGGGGTCAACCTTACCTGAGCGTAACACTGTACTGTATACTCACTGTTATGCAGTGACACTCACCTCAGTCACTGATTTTGCAGAGGGCATCAACACAGCTGCATTGCATCAGTGGCGAGTACAGAACTATACAATTTTTGGGGGGTTGTCTATTTGATTTATTGATTAGAAATTCATTTTTATTCATTTTAAACATTAGGGAGGATTTTATTCTTTGAGTTTATTTATTTTAAATGGTAGGCAGGATTTTCAGGGGGTATTTTATTTTATATTATTTATTTTAAATGTATTGACATTCAGCCGTAAAATCCAGCGAGCCGGACCGGATCTCTCCCCCCCTATTAGTCCGGTTAGCTTATCTCTGTGACTTCCTGCAACCCTATCGACCTGACCACTCCCTCCACTCAGTGAACGCTGACTTGCTTCATTTTCCCTTGCTGATAGCGTCCACTCATGGTGGATGAACTTTCAGTCATTCTGGCCCTGAGTGTATACTGTATAAAACTAGAACAACAACAACTTGTATTTATACAGTGCTCTTCACCCCAGGAGAGCATCTCAGGACGCTGGGCAGCATCAGAATTGAACCTTGCCTGAACAACTAAAGCAACAACAACAACAAGATTTCATTTATAGAGTGCCTTTCACGTCGGGAGGACGTCCCAAGGCGCTGGACAGTTGGGTCGGGACCCAAGCAGGGAGGAAATGGTCAGGGTGAGGGGAGGGAAGGGAGGGAGCGAGGAGGGGGTAGAGAGTCGAGAGAGGAGCTGAATGCACGGTCAGAGAGAAAGGTCTTGAGACCGGCCTTGAAGGAGGAAAGGGAGGAAGCGGCGAAGGCACTGGGGGATAGAGTTCCAGAGCCTAGGGGCTGAGAGGCTAAAGGCCCGGCCACCGATGGTAGGGCGGTTGGAGCGGGGGATGTGGAGCAGACCGGAGCCAGAGGAACGGAGGATATGGGCAGGTAAGTAGGGGGATAGTAGGTCGGAGAGGTAGGAGGGAGCAACGCCATGAATGGCCTTGTAGGTGAGGATGAGGATCTTGAATTCGATCCTCTGGGGGATGGGGAGCCAGTGGAGGCGAGCGAGGGTGGGAGTGATGTGGTCGTGAAGCCTGGTGCGGGACAGTACACGAGCTGCAGAGTTCTGAATGACCTGCAGCTTGTGGAGGGAGGTGCTGGGAAGGCCGGCGAGGAGAGAGTTCCCATAGTCCAGCCTTGAGGTGATAAAGGCGTGGACCAGTGTTTCAGCAGCGTGAGGGGTGAGGTAGTGCCGCAGTCTGGCGATGTTCCGGAGGTGGTGGAAGGCGTTGCCAGTTGTGGTGCGGATGTGGGGAAGAAAGGACAGCTCAGGGTCGAACAGAACACTGAGGTTCCTGACTGGCTTTGAGAGGTGGAGAGTGCAGCCTTGGATGCTGATGCTGTATCCAATATAGCTGATGCTATATTGCAATTAAAGAAGTAGGCTTTAAAACTGGGGTGTGAGGAGATCGACGTGGGGGGTTCAGAAAGCAAGGCCAGAATGACCAAATGTTTATCCATCATTAGGGGGGTATCAGCCAGGGACACAGCAGAGGTCAGTGTTCACTGAGTGGAGGGAGTGGCCAGGTCGGTAGGGTTGCAGGAGGTCACAGAGGTAGGGTGGGGCGAGGCCATGGAGTAATTTGAATATGATGCCAAGAATTTGATCCGGTGGGGGATCGGGAGATGGTGAAGCCAAGTGAGGATGGGGAGATTGGGCCCTGGTCCAGGAGAGGATGTGGGCTGAAGGGTCAGAACAGAAATGCTAATAAATGAAACAAACCTAGACCAGGATTTTCTCCCCATCTTTCTCCCTGAAACTGAATAATTTCTCACTTACTTAACACAATTGTGGTCATTCAGAATGCTTCACAATATAACCCAAAATGAATTCAATGAAACACTTGCTAAACCTAAACCTTACCTCAGTATAAGATCCCTTCTCCACAGACTTCACAATAGGTACCTTGTTCCTCTCCTCAAGTGCAAAACCATAGCTGCCCTCATGAGCTTTAATCTGCAGGCAAGAAGAGGATATAGTCACAATACAACACCAATTTACATTTATATACCGCCTTTCATGACGGGAGACACCCCAAAACACTTAACAGTCTTAACTTGGAACCTGAGCTGGGGGAGGGAACTGAGTGTAGAGGGATGCGGAGGGTAGAGGGAAAGATGACTGAAGGCCAATGAGGAAGGTCTTGAGATTTTAATTCAATGTTAAGGCTACAGCTCAAGCAACATATATTTAATTTAATCATCTGTATAATGTAATGTTCTTTCTTAAGAAAATATAGGAGAGGAAAAATGCAATAATAAAAATTCAGGCACTCCCTTGGTCCCTAGCCCTGTGGTATCCAGACTCTCAGCTTGGGTGCAAACCCTTGATTGTCCAGTGACTTAGGATATCTTTTCAAAGTGAAAGGTGCTATTTAAATGCAATTTGTTTGTGCTGTTTTTGTGATAATCATGACCAAAAATTCAGGTCCAAAACCATCTTTAAATGATCGACTGGTTTTGATGCGAACGCTCAAACACCTGTGATAATTAGCACAGCACACACTGCATTTTGTTGCTATATAGAGATTATTAAAATAATCAGCCGTGCAAACCACTGAATTTGCCCACCAGATCTCTATTTAATTTCCATTTAAGTCTAAAGTGTATTGATATCAATATCGCTGCTGAGCTTACGAGAAAAACATAACAAGATTATCGTCGATCCTGCACATTAGTAATATATTTTTGTCTCCTCATATGAGCAATTCTCTCACTCTATGTACAGCCATAATTCCACTTAACCCCAATAAAAGGCTCAGATTTCAATAAAACCCCAACTCCATACTAACAAATAGTCCAATCGTAAGGAAAACATCAGGGGTGGATTTGTGTACTCATAAAAATTCAGCAGGTTATTGTGTGGGTGTTTTACTGCATTTCCGCAAACCCTCTCATATTCACATCTCACTTGCTTCTCTCATAGTAAATGTTTAGACAAGTTTCCAGGATCTCAGCAAGGTGAAGTCTTTCCTGAATACATCCTTTTAGATGATCCTGAATACATCCTCTTGCTGCTTTCAGAAAGCGCCCCAATGTGCACCATACGCATACAAACGTTTACCGTACATACATTTTGGGACACTCTTCGGTTACATCTCAAGGGTCCTTCTGTACCCTTACATTTATTTCAGTCAGTGTTTATATTCCAGATGAGTCTCCACCTACTCATTACTCCCTCTCGACCCTTCTATTCCCTTCTTCCTCATGTGTTTGTATATCTCGCTTCCTCTTCAATGCATTAAAATGCCCAATAAAAAGCGAGGGAAATTAAAAAGGTAACGGTGATGGGAATTGGGATCCGGAATCAAAATCTTTGGAATTTGTGCTCAACTCATATGGGATGGGAATTACTAGGAGCTTTCTGAAATCAATCCTTTGAAAATTTCTGAGCCACTGAACAATGGAAAACATAACAATAAAAATAATCCTTGCATTGGTACAGCGCTTTATCATGCTGTTGAGACGTCTCAGAACACTTCACAGGATGTACTGTAGACCAGTGACTGTTTTTTAGGCAAACACAGCAACCGAGTTGCACACAGCAACATCCAACAAACAACCATGAAGTAAATGACTGGGGGATTGTTGGCTAGGACACACAGCCTTTCCAGCTGGCTTTTCAGACACAGATGCATTTTAGATCTATTCCTTCTGAAATGATTCAAAAGTGTTTAGATTAAGATTGAGCTTGATGCTGAAGTCATGGGAGAGTGCAATATTTCCAAATACTTTGAGGTTTATTTACTGTTGAAAAAATTCTAGTCAGAACTTCACCAATGACTCGGGTGCAATTGAGTCCCTGTGCAATTGAGCCATTCAGAGAGAGGAAGGTCCCAGGTTTGTGTATTGGCCTTTGCTGAGTTACCTGAACTCGGTTGGCACAATGGCAGAAGAGTACAGCCATAGCCCTCAGTGCTCTGTCAGAAAGGTTAAAAAACAGCTTTGTCCCTGGTTATCATTCGGGGAAGTGTATTTGCCTGTTGCTAAGGTCAGCTGCAATGCCCACCAGTCATCTCCCAATACTCATTATCCAGCCAGCAACACTTTGGTGGTATCCTGTACTCTCCTGCTATTCTGATATTCATTAGCATGTAGCTTTTGCCAAGTCTGAAAATTCAGGGAATAACGGTACAACTTGCATTTTTATTGTGTCTTATTATTAAACTCTGAGATGCTATCCACATGAACAACGCTATATAAATGAAAGTTGGTGTTGTATCACATCGAAAGGTTTCAAAGTGCTTCATGTGCACAAAGACACTGACATTATTACAGAATATCTCCAAATCTAAGGGAACTGCTGAGTTTAATTGAGAAGAAATGTTTTAAAGATGCCCTTTGTAGAGGAATTGTGGAAAATTACATTTTTCCACATGTACAAAACGATCCCCTCCCCACCCCATCCCTGAACTATAATGTCAGACATGAATGATCTTTGAGCACAACAAAGAGCTCACAATTTCAAACAACATCTGAATGTGAATTAACTCTGCTTTTAATCATCTAAGTACAAGGCAAGGTGACCGCAAATGTCTGATTCCATCTGTGGAATCATTTGTTTTCTTTTTTGTTGTAATGGAAAGGATTCAACGGCTTAAGTTTATGGCAGGCGAAGAGAATACAAGAGAGTGAGAGAGAAAATGATTCAGGACAATGTTTCTAATCACATGACCGGTGAATCCTCCGCACATGTGCCAGAAAGCTGGCCATCTTCCTGTGCTGAAACACTGCCAACCTTGTGGGGTCATTGCTAATGTCACGTCCTGTTCACTATGGTGCAGATGAAAAATTTGTGTCATTTTTACAGTGCATATGTCATTCGGTGCTGCACTACCTTTGAAAATGCATCATAGGCAATTTGGTTAATTGGTTCACCCATCCTCTGAATGAGAGGCTTCCCCAAAGAAATTAAAAGATCCACCATCTGTGTGTTACTCTCTGTGATCCTCTCGCCCCACTCCACACCCCTGCCTGTGCATTACATGCCTCTGTTTGGTTAGCTTTGGTGAACTGAGTAAGGAAACTTAGTGCTATAAATCTATCAACATTCAGTTTGTACAAATTAGAAGGAAGCAAAATTGAAAGAAAATCCACTTAAGTCACCCACAAAATATACAGTCAATTTGCTTTACATTATAATCTGTGAAGCGCTTTGAGATAAGGCGCTGTATAAAATGCAAGGATTATCATCTCAAAATTTGTCTCTATTATTCCAGGTGCCACTGAAGATTTAGTGGCAAAGATGAAAAAATAATTTCAGCAGCAGGATTTGTACAATATGTTAAACAGGAATATTGCAATTAGAACCATAGACATTTACAGCAAAGGAGAAGGCCACTCAGCCTATCATGTATGTACTGGCTCTTTTAAGAGCAATTACTTCAATCCCATTTACCTGACCTTTCCCCACACCCCTGTATTTTACTGCTTTTTAGGGATTTATCTTGTTCCCTTTTGGAAGCTCGTACCTCAAACACTGATCTGCAACACATTCCATATCCTAACTACTTCATGTGAAAAAGAAGTCTCATAACCTCCCCCATTTGCTCGTTTGCTAACTATCTTAAATTGATGCCCTCCAGTCACTGACTCACCAAAAAAGTAGAAATAATTTCTCCCTATAAATATGTCTATCAGGTCATCTCTCAACCTTCTTTGTTCCAATTACTACAAGCTTGTCATCAAATAGACTTCTGCCTCCGTTTCATTATAATATTGATGAACCTCAGCTGTCAGACTATGGATCTTTTGCCTGAGGACAACTTTTTCAGATATCAAACTCATACTGGCATTGCTTTCAGTAAATGTATTAATGCTTTCATCTAACACACGTGTTAGATGTTGAAATGCAGCCAAGGCATATTCACCTTCCAGTACTATACAGCACTCCTACCATTCAAGGGAGATATTTAAGAACATAACACAGTGTTCTCAAATTCCTGTCATATATTTGAAACTTATATTTTCAAATAGCCTCGTGCTACCTCTATTTGTATTGGTCTATTAGTAATTCAGCCTGGCTCAGTTGGTAGCCAGCTTGCCTCTCTAAGTCAGAAGATTACGTGTTCAAGCCCCATATCAGTAATTTAAGATCACAGCTTAGGATGAAACTCCAATGCAATAATAATAATAATATAATCCTTGCATTTGATATAGCACTTTTTACATCTTCTAGACCTCTCAAAGCGCTTCACAGAACACACTGTAAAGTGAATTGACCGTACATTTGTGGGCGAAACGTGGCAGCCAATTGCACACAGCAGTGTCCCACAAACAGTCGTGGATTGAAAATGACCAATTTATTATTGCTTTGTTTTTATTATTATTTTGTTATTAATAGTTTAAAATAATAATAATCTTTGCATTTGATATAGCGCCTTATCACGTCTTTGAGATGTCTCAAAGCGCCACAGAATATACTGTAAAGTGAATTGACTGTTTATTTTATATATATTGTATATTTTATATATATTTTATATATACAATGCTGAGGGAGCTCTAATTGTCAGAGGTGTAGTCCATCAAACATTAAATAAAACATTAAATTATGAGGGTTTTTTATAAGAGTAGATAGGGAGAAACTGTTTCCACTGGCAGGTCAGTCAGTGACCAGTGGCAGTAGATCCAAAATAATTGGCAAAAGAACCAGAGGGGAGATGGAGAGAATTTTTTTTACACAGAGAGTTGTTACGGTCTGGAATGCACTGCCTGAAAGGGTGGTGGAAACAGATGCAATAACAACTTTCAAAAGGGAATTGGATAGGTACTTGAAGAGGAAACATTTGCAAGGATATGGAGAAAGAGCTGATTGGGACTGATTGGGTAGCTCTTCCAAAGAGCACAAATGGGCCAAATGGTTTCTGTAATGTGTGCTGTAATATTCTATAATTCTATGATTCTATGAATAGTTCTGTCTGCCTGTTCCTGTGGACATGACCTACAACAAAATTATATTTGTATAGCACCTTTCATGTCGGGAGGACATCCCATTAAAGATAAAAGGGAGTTTCTCCCACTAAAATATGGTTATTTACTTCATGACTGTTTTTGGGACGTTGCTGTGCACAAATGGGCTGTCGCATTTATCTACAGAATACACGGTCAATACACAGCAAATACAAGAAGCACTTTGAAATGTTTTGACAATATAAGGTGTTTCTCAAATGTAAGGATTTGTATTATAGCCTCAATCACCACACTCAGTGCAAAAGACCTGGCTTCTCAGTTACCCCATACATTATTAATATTTTAGTGTTACACATTTCACATTAATTCACCAACAATATTCAGAAATCCTTAAAGTAATTGCAGGCATACATGACTAATGACTATTTCTCAATTGACATTAGTTAATGATTTAAAATTATAATTGCAATAATCCATTTACAATTGATTTCCCTTAGAAGAAATGTGAGAAATGTAGTTAAATACTCAAAAAGCAATTTAATATACTTTGAAAGAGAGCACATACTATTGTTTTATTATTATATTATTATTGTCAGGTGATCGAAGGCACAGTCAAAAAGGAAAGTCTTCAAGTATGATTTGAAGACAGGCAAAGAGAGGGCGACATGGAGGGATTGAGGCAAGGAGTTCCAGACTATGGGTTATCTACATAGTACCCTACAAATTTGATGAGTGAACGAATACCCTAGAACCATAGAACTATACAGCACATAAGGAGGTCATTCAGCCCATCATGTCTGTGCCACCTCTTTGAAAAGAGTTTTCCAAATCAAAACCTGCTAAGAAATGCAGTAGAGTCCTGTCTTAAATGCAATACTAGTTGGGGTTACAATAAAATCCCAACCAAGCTTTTAATGGAGAGGGACAAATGGCAGTCAGATGACTGCTGCCGTCACATCCTGCTCACTGTGGTGCAGCATTCTGCAGCTGGTGTGCAGGAAGCTGGTGACAGGTTCACAGAGCACCCAACTTCCAAGCGACGCAATGAGCCGATCGACCTTCTTCTGTGCTGTAAGTTTCTAAGCGAATCCACGTTAGAACAAAATAGGTTATGTCACAGCTCTCCTGTACTGCTAATTTCACATCATCGATGCTGTACAGAAAACCTACATCAGTAGTGCATATATTCTCCATTCACAACATGGCTATTGGTTTCCTATTGCGCGAATCATCTCTACTCACCAGCAATGACTTGGCTATGACATTTTCAACGATTTTCAAGTCATGCCGCATGTGCCTCTGCCTCCAGTTTGAAACCTCCATTTCTTCATCAGCAAAAAAACGGAATAAGAGAGGTTCATCCTTAAATTCACTTTTTTCCAGGACTGCAGGGGAAACATTGTGAAGTACTACATCAATCTTCAATACAAGTCAAAGTACATCACCTACCGTAACAACTGACTTCTATTTAAAAACCTTTAAAAGGGATTCAATGACTATGGGCTGTCTAGACTCAACATACCTTAAGTTAGCCAGAAATAAAATTCTGGATGAAACTTTTTTTTTACCACATTAATGCAGGGGAAGATTAATGTCAGAGCAGTGTTATGGGATGTGGCAATTGGGCAGATGCCAAATTTCAATGCTATATATATATAATATATATATATATGTACACAACATGTTAGAATAAATCAACACTGAAACCATAGGCAGCGAGTGAAAATATTTTTTTGGGGTGAGGGTGGGGGGAACTGAGTAAAACTCAGTAAAATAATAATAATCCCTGCATTTGATGTTGCACTTTTCATCTCTTCTAGTCCCAAAGTGCTTCTCAAAATATACTGTAAAGTGAATTGACTGTATATTTGTGGGCAAAACACAGCAGCCAATTGTACACAGCAGCTGGTCCCCTTTTAGATAGGCGAGTGACCTTAGTCACCCACTGCCTATGATTCAAACTCAACAACACAAACATTTGTATTGTAATACTATTCTAGGAAGGGCTTACATTCAAATCATGCACTGAATTGAACCTTACCGTGGTGCATAAAACCATTGTCACACAGTTCCACACCCAGGATTATTGCTTCCTCTCTCGTTCTACAGTCCCCCTGGTAATAAAATAATAGACATTCTAAATTGTAGGTTCTAATAACACAAGAACTGCCAATTCTTGTCTGATATCTTTAACATCTTGTTCAGAAAGACAACTCTATTCAAAACATTTCAACATGGTGCAGTTCACAGTGCATCTGTTGCGATTCCCTTTTCCATCCTTTGTGAAAAGTACTAGGTGTTTTTTCAATGGCTTAGTAAAACTGGACAGGGCTGAAGAGTGGAGGAATAGTCAGCCTTCACTCTACATTGCAAATGCCTAACTGGTTCCCCACAATGGAAAAACACTCCATTATCAAAAACACAAAATATTAAAATATTCCATTGTTATAAACTTCAAAACAGTTTATGCAGATTCAAGTTTGAACTTGAAAACAGGGAACGGAATGGCAATATTTTTGAAATCCATGTTTAAGTTTAATAGATACAATGCATCTTCTTTATTTTCTCACATCACTTGCTGCCTTCATCTAGAAAACAGAGAGAGAGTCAGCTCCAAGCACACTATCACCATTGCTTCACAATAAGATTAAAGGGAACATTGATAAATGAAAAAAGTTCTTTTTTCTCAGGAGTTCTTTTTTCTCAGGAGTTGTAAAGGAGTTGTAATTTTTTTTTAAGTCTGCAATTTCAAACACAGTCAAGGATTAGTTATGTAATCTTATTTTAGATTTTAAAAAAGTTTAAAGACCTGGCATCTGTTCTAACTGTTACATTGTTAGGAGTTGTACTTTTAACAAACCCAATATCCGGAGTGACTCTAGTTTATGATCAGCGATAAACTATACTAAATCCCAGCTTCACCCTTAAACTCAAGACCATAAATCCATACTCTTCACTCCAAATAATTCTTACATTGGCTCCAATTTACCACGCGTCAATCCCAGAACTTGTACCTAATTCATTCTTAGCCACACATTTAATTCACTTAACCCAAGTTTCATTCCTCCTGTTCTCGTTGTTCTCTGTTCTCAATCACTGATTTATATTCCATGGCCTCTCCATTTTATTCTATCTGATATCTAGATCTAAGCATCCCCACTCTTGGTATCCGATTAACATGCATCCCTGTGGTTACATGCACTTGCTCAATTCAAGGTCCACTCTGCCATTAGAAGCAAACTGCAGTCACTACAAAAGTAATTCACAAGCACTTGACCACTGTGTACTCTGTATACAATATTTCCACTCGCTCTACATCTGCAATCAAATGCACTTTATCGGCTGCTTTCTTTGTATGTAAAACGTATCAAACAACCATACCAAGTGAGCGATCTCACCAGAGTAATACACAACATGAGAAACTGTGCCCAATGTTGATCACCTTACCTGTGCAATTAGCCAGTCGATCAGCTTGTTTGCCATCACCACTGACTTATAAGTTCGAAGATGATAGTCTTTATCTCTGTGTGAGACAATGTCAAATAACAGAACATTACACACAAACATTCAACATGGTAAAGGTGGCAGAGGTATTGCTTTTTAACTGGTAAATAATGTTTAAAGTCTGGCACAACTAGTTGCACCGAATGGCCTGTTTCCATGCTGTAATGCTCTGCATAATTCTATATTGTGTGTCAGCCTGCCTCAGTTGGGGCTTGAAATTAATTTAGTCTAGGCTGCAACTCCAGTGTAGTGCAGGGAGTTTGTTGCATTGTTAGAGGTGCCATCCTTCCAATAAGACGGTAAACCGAGGTCCAGTCTACCTGTTCAGGTGGACGTTAAAGATACCATGACACTATTTGAAAAGAGAAGCGAGTTTCTCACAGTGCCCTGTCCAACAATCCCCCAGATAAAATTGGCCATTCATTTCATGGCTGTTTGTGGAACATTGCTGTTTGGTCATTGGGCTGCTGTATACAAATACACATTTTACAGTATATCAAGGAGGACATCTCAATTTTCTGTATAGTCCAGTGCTGCTAGGATGATGATTATTATTATATGTAATTGATATGTAAATCACCTTGAAGACATTTTAGGTTTTGTTTGTTTCCCTTGTCAATTTTATAAATAAACTGTTAACAACAGAGAGCAATAAATAGTTGAGTAATTAGGAAACAGATTTAAACAGAGAAGATTGGCTGGTGTAACTTGGGGAAATTGATACTAGGTACTAGGCAATTTATCTACTGTAAAGAGATACGTTTTATTTCTTCATGCAGGAACTCTCTTGGAAATCTCTGTTTTAATGTTCAATGTTGGCACTTAAAGGTACAAAGAGGTTATTCAACCCTGTGCAAATTTTGTGGCTTTCAGCACTTTTCTGCTGTGTTTTATTGAGGTTAGCAAAATTGTCGAAATGTGTTTGTAAGTTACTGTACTACAACTAAAAATAAAAAGACTTTATAAATCAAAATTAATAAGAATATGCAGCATTGCATTACAAGCATATGTGCACAGGGAAAATTAGTTTATTCCAACCCCACTCCCCCTACCCTCCAACCTTCGATTCTAACCCCCAGCTCGGGTGCAAACCCTTAACTGTCCAGTACCTTGGGACTTCCTTCCAACCGGAAAGCACTATATAAATGTAATTTGTTGTTGCTGCTGGATTTAGTAAACGAAACCAATTAGCAATTAGCCCAAATCAAATAATTTGCTACACTGAACACTGGGAGCAGAATAACTCCTCATATTTTATATCTAGAGCAGGATTAATATACTGTAATCTGATCAAAATGGACGTGTGAACTGGTTTGCACTGCTCATGCAGAATCGGTTTCAACACATGTCCTTTGATCTTCAATAACAAGAAAGCTCAGTGATATGGAATAAGATAAGAGCAATTTCTTGTCATATCGACGTAGATGGAAGGACAGTTTGACTAACACCAGTAAAACATCTGTTTCACTCTTGATGGATTTTCCTGTCCTGAAGCCTTCTTAAAAATCTTTAATAACACATTTGTGTGATTTGATATTTATGCAATTTGCACAAGGCAAGGATAATCTGATTGAAAGTGATATTCTGATTAAATCTATGAACCGGCAGCTTGTACTCAAACAAAACATCAAACAGTGGAAAACAGTGCTAACTGCCATTAGTTATGTCGGTCACATTGCAGAAAGCTAGAGGTGGTTAGCATGAGATTCAGGCTGAAGTGGACTGACATGTTTAATGACATTCAAAATGTTAAGCAATGTACAATTAGCATCAAAGCCCATGAGAACAGCAGCACTTCTGCCCATCAAAGAAATTATAGTGTCAAAGATTTACTATATAAATGGAGAGGCCATGGAATATAAATCAGTTACTGAATGTATGGTGTCCAGAATTTGGCAAACTCTTGAATTCAGTCTTAACTTTGAAGCCGGTTTTCTGCAGACCCATGATCTGAAAGATACACTTGGGGTAAAATTGATGGTGTTTCTTAAGTTACGCCAGCATTGACTGTCACTCACCAGCACACCCTTTACAGCAAATGGTTTCTTCGTATTGGTCTGCCATTTTTATTCAATCTGTGACGGGCAATTTTTTTTTTGTGTAAATTTTAGGCACTACATTAGGCTGTAAGTAAATTTTCTTGTTGAATACTTATTTTCTAGTGCTGATCTGCCATGGCAGGGCGATATTTGTATTCTCATCCAAAAGAATAATGTTTTGCTGATTGAGCAAAACGTGAAAGGCGCTCTATAAATGGAATCTTGTTATTGCTGTTGTTGTTGTTGAGCAGGCTGTTCAGTAAAATATTAGTTTCTGGGTCAGCAACTTGGAGCCCGATAAAGGGCCTCAAATTTACAAAATAAATAACTGCCACTTTAAATTTTAAAAAATGGCGTGCATTGAGACCCGAAAATGAGGAAAACATTTACCTGAGGAGGTGTGCTGCCATTAGTTTATAAATGGCAGTTTATACTGGTATAGTTAAAGGAACTCTGCAAACTTTACTTTCTAGAAATATGCTGGTCCCTTGATCATTGAGTGTGGACCATAAGGAACAAGCAGGACTCAAATCTATTTAAACTTCTCTTAATATTTTGTCTCTTGAAATCATCAGAGTGGAATTTTAGGTATGCCGCTGAATTAGAATTAGGAGGAAGAAGTGGCTATACTGAATGCCAAGGGGAATAACACCTCCACTGTGTTTTGCAAGGACGCAAAACAAAAATAACATGCAGTGCAGAGACAGAATTATGTACAAGTGGATAGATGACCCTCTGAGGTTTCAAGTGACATGAATTTGGTTAGCAATTCAATTTTCCCAACCATTAAGTAATGAAAATGAGATTAATTTAGTGTTCTAGGCATCAGTAGGAAGACAAAGACTTGTTTCAATCTGTGCTACAGCTTAAAAGCTTATTTGCTGTGTGTAAATTGGCTGCAGTATTCATGCTCAAATAAATTCACTTTGTGTTTGTTTTACTTCACAGGAAAATCCGTGAAGCATTTTGAGACGTTTCAGCAATGCGACACGGTAGCTAAACCAAATGCAAGCATTTTTTTTTAAAGTAAATTTTTAGTTATGTAACTTTTTAAAAGTTAGACTCTTTCGATCACAGAGAATATTTCAGCATTATTTTTTCTCCTGTCTTGCTGACAGGCTGCACAGGATGGCCATGTCAGCACCACTTCACTCCAGAAAGTCTTTTCACTTCTAGAGTACTGTGTTCAGTTCTGGGCACCACACTTTAGGAAGGATGCCAAGGCATTGAAGAGGCTGCAAAGGAGATTTACCAGGATGGTACCAGGAATGAGGGACTTCAGTTATAAGGAGAGACTAGAGAAGCTAGGATTATTCTTCTTGGAGCAGAGAAGGGTAAGAGGAGACTTAATAGGAGTTTTCAAAATTATGAGGGGATTCGATAGGGTGAACCAGGAGAAACTACTTCCACTGGCGGGTGGGTGAGTAACCCAAGGACATTGATTTAAAATAGTTGTTAAAAGATGAGGAGAAATTTTTTCACAAAGCGAGTTGTTCATATCTGGAATGCCATGCCTGAAATGGTAATCGGTGGAAGCCAATTCAATAACAACTTTTAAGAGAGAATTAGATAATTATTTGGGGAGGACACATTTGCAGGGCTATGGGGAGAGAGTGGGGGAGTGGGATTGATTTGGATAGCTCTTTTAAAAGAGTCGGCACAGACACGATGGGCCGAATGGCCTCCTTCTGTGCTGTATAATTCTATGATTCATAGGAAGGAGAGAGTATGTTACCTTGTTGAGACATTTTGTAAATAGCGCCCTTCCCCTACATGGCCCATGTTCTGCTCTGATTGACTTACATTCTGTTCGCAGGAAACTGAAGTTGATTCCCCAATTGAAGCCTGGTTTCCTTCTTCTAAAGCAGTCAGGAAATTCCTTTTTAATTGTGCTTTCTTGTAGTCAAGAAACACGAAAAGTGGGGCAACAAACTCAGAAAGCTATCAAGGGGACAAAAAAGTGTTCTGGGATCTGTAAACCAGGGTATTGAATATAAAAGTAGGGATGTTGCATTAGAATTGTAAAGAATTTGGTTAGGCTGCATTTGGAAGCTTTTATTCACTTGTTGGGCCCTCCATCACAGGAAGGATGTCAAAGAGATGAAGAGGGTGCAGCCCAGATTTACTCGGATGTTATCAACTGCGAGACAATGTGCATGTGAAGAGAGGCTGGCTATATCGCAGCTTTTTTTTCCCACAAGAGCAGAGCTGATTGAGAGGAGATATATTAGCTAAGATATTGAAGCAGCACGACAGGATAGTTTGGGAAATAAATGATTTCTAATAGTCACGGAATCGGTCATAGTCTCTAGCTTGCAGCAACCTTGGTCCTCCTCAACAACAACTTGTACTTATATAGTACCCTTCACACAGGGTAGTGTCCCAGAGCGCTCCTCCCTTGTCATACACCCTAGAGACACACACACAAGTGTACATATACATATGTCAGATAGACAGACAGAGATGTAATAAAAAGAGTAATTGTGTGGGGGATGTGTGCGTGTGTGTGTGTGTAAGGTTCGGGTTGGTACTGTACGCTACATTTCACATAATAGCCCGTTATCCACATTGTTTTCATATCCACAATGTGGTTGGTCCCAAATAGTGTGGATATCGAGCTTTCATCTGCATATGGTTTTAACTGGACAACCATAAAGAATTTTTAAAAAGGCTCACAAACTGAGATGTATTCTGTGCTGCGTGTACAGAAGATTTAATTCAATGGAAACACTAATACATTACCGATCCAAAGATAGTCAAAGAAAACACAGCAAATTGCAAATGTTATAACAAACGAGGGCTGTAACCGGAGCTTTTCAGGAAATACCATAGGTCAGTAACAGAGTTAAACTGCTTAACTTTGATCTAACTACGTCCAGATTCCATTGCTGTGTAGGTCTGGCTCTTGTTCTGTGAAACCAGAAATAATTAAATATATGCAGCAATAAATTATGCTATCTAAATATATAAATGTGACGCATGTCCGACTATAGTCCCAGTGCTTTGTCCCTGAAACTGCGCCAAAGGTGGAAACAGTTTTGGTGACTTCATGGCTAGCCTGTTCCAGAATTTGGCATTTCCCATGCAAATGGCTAATTGCTCTCCTACACAACTGGAGGCTTTGAGGATCAAATTCCAATTCAAAGTTATAATAATAAAAAAAATAATGCTTGCAATTGATGTAAGCGCTCTGGGACACAACTCTGCGTGAGGGGCGCTATATAAATATAAGTTGTTGTTCCTCATCACGCTGTCGAGACATTTCAACTGCTTCAAATGATTTACTTTTAAATATCATGAGTGTGTATTTTGTAGGCGAACGCAGCAGCTAATTTGCACACAGCAATGTCCCCCATACAACCATGAAGTGAATGACCAATTATATTTGGGGACTGTTGGCCAAGATCTGGGAAGAAACTCCTTTCTCTTTTCGATTAGTGTAATAGGATCTTTAACCTCCAAGTGAACAGACAGTTTATTGTTTTATCTGAAGGACGTCACCTCCAACAATGCAGCGTTCTCCTGTTACTGTACTGGAGGTCAAAGCCCCGATGTGTGGCTTGAACACACAACCTTCTCGTTAAAAGGTGAGAGAGCTACCAAGTGAGCCAGGTAGACAGGGTAGATTACATAGGATATATGTAAAGGTGTTTATTGTCCTACTCACCTGATCACAGGAGTGAATAGACTGTGGAGCCGGTAGTAAAGTCTGACACCCTGAAAGCAAAGGACAAACAATCAATTGTTAAGCCTGTAGCTGGCAGAGAATCATCGATAAATCAAAACTGTGTTCATAGTACAGTATTTATTGATATCCAATAGCTTTTTCTTTTGTTTAAAATATTAAGTGCCTCTTATGTGGCCTTTCAACCTCAGGTCTTAGTTTCTGGCTTGACTCTATTTTACCGTGAGCTTCTCTTGCTGCTTAATTCCATTTATCTATCTTATTATTAATAATAATAATAATTCTTGCATCTAATATAGCACTTTTCACACCAGGAGCACATTTCAAAGCATTTTACAAGATTTACTATAGAGTACTGTGACTGTATTTTGTGGACAAATCTCAGTGGCCAATTTTGTAGATCTGCTCCACATCCCCCGCCCCAACCACCCTACCATCGGTGGCCGGGCCTTCAGCCTCTCAGCCCCTAGGCTCTGGAACTCCATCCCCCAGTGCCTTCGCCTTGCCTCCTCCCTTTCCTCCTTCAAGGCCGGTCTCAAGACCTTTCTCTTTGACCATGCCTTCAGCTCCCCTCTCGACTCTCCACCCCCTCCTCGCTCCCTCCCTTCCCTCCCCTCACCCTGACCATTTCCCCCTGCTCCGGTCCTGACCCAACTGTACAGCGCCTTGGGATGTCCTCCCGACGTGAAAGGCGCTCTATAAATGGAATCTTGTTGTTGTTGCTGTTGTTTGTGCACAGCAACATCCCTCATAGAGCCATGAAATATATTGGGGTTGGGGGTTGGTGGGGGTGGGATTTGCCAGGAGATCGAGAGAAACTCCCTTCCCTTTCCCTGCCTGGCTCACTTGGTAGCTCTCATGGAATCTTTAAAGCCAACCTGAATAGGCAGACAGTTGAACATCTCAACCGAAAGATAACACCTCCAATCTTGCCCTTTTAGCTCAATCTTCACGACCATACCTGCAAACCTTCATGATTTTCTACTTGCGGTTATTTGATCACATGCCAAACGCACGCTAGTTATTCCTTGCTCACCTTTGCTAAAGGAAATAAATACATAGCGCCTTCCCAAAATAAAACCAGATGCTTGAGCAGTCTGCACAGGCCATCGACTGTGGTTGTGTTTGAAGGACTCCTTCTTTCCCTTGGAGAACAGCAATTTTTTTTGTTCATTTGCTTATGCTTAACTGTACTCGTACATGGCATTCACCCTCGTGATCCAGTAAAATAGGTCGGAACCTTGAGGCCAGCATGCAGCAGGATGCAATAGGCCCGTTATTCTGCTTCACTGAACCGATGCAAACCATGTGGTATCAGCCGCTCGATTTCCAATTCAGAGACACAGTTTGAGACCACCTCCAAGGCTGGTCACGTAGCTCTTAGACTTTACATTGGCTCTAGTGTAATTTTCAACTCTCAGTGACAAGGAACTGGCAGTGTAACTCCATTATGTGGGCTTGCATCTCTGCACTGCAGGCACTGGCTTAACAAGGAGCCTGTAGTGCGTGACTCAGCTACAAGCTTCCTTCTTACCAGGAGAATGGGTTTAACACTTTTTAAACACGGAGCACACCGCACAATCTTTCACAACGCACTTTTCACTTCAGGGTTCAAGAGCTGCTGGTTACCTATCAAACTGGTTGTCAATGGGGTCTGTCAATCAAGGGACCAATTAGTGTCTATCTTTCTTGGCAGAGAAGCAGGTTAGGAGGGTCAACTTGGAGCTGAACTGGCTCCAAGGTGATGTACTTAGCAACGGAATGTCGGAATCGAGCCAGCCCTCTGTCGTGGTCTCGGTAGTCTGGTTCCTGAGCAAAGCAGGTCTGCAGTATACTCCATCCAGGGCTGATAACATTATTATCATTTATTATTATTATTATGATAACAAACTAGCCAGCCTGGCTCATCAACAGAACTGGGGGGGTGGCGGGGGCCTGCATGTCAAAGCTCCAATGGATAGGATGGTCCTTAAAATGGGTCTATGACAAGATTCATAGTTTGAATTCGGCTGTAACCAAAGATGCATCACATTGACCTGTGGGAACTCTTCTCCAACCTGCCTAGGACAGAGAACATTCAACCACATTAACTCATGACTTGATATTTTCCCAAGTAATTAGCTCATGAACTAATTTATCCTCATGCTTACGATTAAAGACTTAAAGGTCTTTTGATCCATTAGGGATCTCCTTCTTCCAAAAGACTTATACAGTATGCAGGATCATGAACCTAGTCTTTGGAGGGAGATGAAAAACCATAGACGAAGCTTCTCAAAAGGTAAATCTCTAACATTTCTTTCTGATCCCAATGGTAATTGAGCCAAATTCCAAGATATTAAATTAATTCATCCATAACTTGCTATGTTTCATGGATGACAATGCAATGTCCTACCATTTACAGGAGTTTTCCCCAGAACTTAATCTTCCAGAGGTCCAAACTTCCATCTAGTCTTAGCCTGTTAAACCATTTTCAGGGAGAAATTCCTCCAGGATCTAGATTTACTACATTTTCATAGCACTTGAGGGCATGCAGAATTTGGCAAATGGTTGAGTACAGTCTTAACTTTGAAGCCATTTTACTGCAATTCTGTTTGATAATGTATTCTACAGATCTGCTGCACTGGGAGTAAGAAATATCGTCTCATGTTTACTCCTGCTGGAAACATTAATTTGTTCTTCTATCATGCAGTTCTGCAATTTAAATTTGCAATACAAAATGTTTGGAAGGTAATGCATAAAAAACAATGAACAACAAAATAATTATATATTATAACTCATTCCATATAGAAGCAACTACCTTAAAAAATATTTCAAACTTGTGACTGACCTGAACACTCAATGGAGTAAACTCCTGTGGGGGCTTTAAATCTGTAATATTGGTACTTGGAATTCATCCAAGTAATACATGGGAACCAACAAATTTACCAAAATGAATTATTAGAGAATCCTTTAATTTACCCAAAGGACACATAAGGATTTCTGAAATTGATGGGTGAAAAATAATGATATTTTCACGATATTCTTATAATAGGATTTACTTAAAAAATACAGCAAAAAAATCAGTTTCCAGTGAACAGAGTAAGATAACTGTTGATTACAGTTTATTTTTCATTGTTCAAGCCCCAAAAGGCTAAAACAATGAACAAAAAGCTGCATTTATCTAGGTTATCTAGACCTATTTCATGTAGAGGTTGAGTAAACTCAGGTTAAATTAATTGGGCTTGAAGTCATGGAATGATCAGATTGAGGTGTTTAAAATAATGGAGAACATTGACAAGGTGAACAGTGAGGAGCGTTTTGCTCTAGTTGAGGAATCCAGGACAAGTTGCGCCGATAAAAGGGAGGTCCCCAAAAAAAGGGTTTACATCAAAAGTTGTCAGCATAAGGAACAGACCTCCTTAGAAGGCCATAGATGCAGAGTTGATTGATGTATTTTAGAGAGAGATAGTCAGTGCAAGGATTATTACAACAACTTGCACTTATATCGTACTTTTCACGTACGCTAATGTCTCCGACCACTTCACAAGGACAGTGAGAGATGCCGAGCAATGGAGGATAGGAGGTGACCAGAGGGCTCATATAGAGGGGGCAAGATAGAGGGGAAGAGGGAAGGAGTTCCAATATACGGACAGCAGAGTTTTGAATAAGATGGATCTTTGAACAGTGGAATTATAAGAAAAGATATTAACAGTTATGAAGAAAAGACTCGGAAATGGAATAATAATAATAAATAATAATCCTTGCATTTGATATAGCGCTTTTCATGTCTTCGAGATGTCTCAAAGCTCTTCACAGAATATACTGTAAAGTGAATTGACTGTATATTTGTGGGCAAAATGTGGCAGCCAATTGCGCACAGCAGTGTCCCACAAACAGTCATGGATTGAAGTGAACAATTTTAGTGTTTTTTTTTCTTGAGGGAATATTATTATCAGGCGTGTGGAGCAAGGAAACTTGCCCAAGGTTTTGCCCTGCCAGGAATCAAACAAAGGTCTTCAGCTTGCAAGGCGAGTGCTCTAACCACTGAGCTACAGGACTCCTCAAATATACAGGAATAAGTGAGTTCTAGACAATTAGTCTGAATAGCTTTCTTCCATTCTAATGTTCCATTTGTATTATTATTATGACTATGACAAAGATTTTTTAAAATTTCCTTGGAGGTTGGCAATATCAATAAGGATATCAAGGGATATGAAGAATAGATGGGGAAATGAAAAAGGAAACTGCCATTAACTTAATGGTGAAGCATACAGTTACAGTCAGTGAAATTTGAGGTATTTTCTGGGCTGCAAAACAGTCCCAGAGGTGAAACAACAGACCACCAACCCATTGTGCCCACTCAGTCTCTCTCCACTGTTTGTCACTTCCACTTCAACTAATTGCACACTTATGGTGAATTGACAATAATTCTCAAATTTTGGCTACTCAAATGTGCTAAAGTTGCATTAAAACTCTGAATGCAATGTCTAGGACTAGGAAGACTGCCAATCCATGTTTCTCCAATCAATCACCAATGGTCCCTTCGCGTATATAGTATTATTGGAGCAGCTCTGATCGTTTGGTGATATCCAGTATGACAGGTCCCCAGCGGGTTTCAGCTGGCTGAAGATTATGAGGAACAATTTCTCCTCAATCACAGAATCATAGAATTATACAACACAGAATGAGTCCATTCGGCCCATCATGTCTGTGCCGGCTTTTTGAAAAGAGCTATCCAATTCGATCCCACACCCCCACACTCTATCCAAATAAACAAACAAAAACGTGCATTTATATAGTGCTGGTTGTAGCACAGATTGTAAGTAGATCTTTTACACAATCAGGTCAGTACCTTGGAGATAACATCTTGCATTTCACTTCTTGGATGGTACGTCCCATCATCGTATCGAAACCTGTACAGCATATGCTCCGGTTTAAACTGATGCTTGTCTGTTACTGAAATCAATCACAGAGGGAATCAGTCAAACATGAGCAAGTATAAAGTTACTTTAACTTGTCTTCTTCCTCATTTCTCAGTCTCCAGCTCGCGATGCCCACCAAGCTTTCCAGGAGCCGTTTGTGCTGTCGGTCACCCACCCCACCCCGCCCCCCCCACCCAACAACAACAGCAACAACAACAACTTGCATTGATATAACCTCTTCATGCAGGGTAGTGTCCCAGAGAGCTTCAACCGCTGTGACGCCACCCGCCTTGTCTCACTCACCTCCAATCCACACGATAAGATCTACCATAAAGTTGCCTCTGGTTGGTCGCAGCACCAGGTCAGAACACTGACTCCAACTGCTCCGTCCCTCCACCCTATGACCTCGCTCCCTCTCCCACTCTCTCATTGGTCTTCTGTCACGAGGGTCAGAGGGCGAGGGTCAGATTGCTCGGAGTCAGCATTGTTACCCGTCACACAGACCTTGCTGTGTGGATTGGGGTGAACGAACTAATGGCGGGCAGTGTTACGGCGATTGCTGGGGGGGAGCAGTACGCGTGGCTTCTGGAAGTCTCAGCTGGTGGTGCTCAGCTTCTTTGTTTTATGTCATGCTATGCAACGTTTTTCATATTATTTTGTGTTATTTGGCATCTGTGCACAATTGGCTTCCACAAAATATACAGTTAATACACTTTGCAATATATCCTGTGAAGGGCTTTGAAACTTCTCAACAAATCGATTAGGCGCTATATCAAATGCAAGGATTGCTATTATTATTATTTACAAAAAACTCTGGTAAATGTTAAATCCATTTAGGTAATATAGTCGCTATTGGATACTTAATAGGTATAAAATCCACATGGTTAACTCTTTAAACTTATAAATATCATATAGTGGCCTTTTGTGTGCTGGAGCGGTAATAAAAACTGCTTCTCACGCAATCTCACTCAACCTCAGAGTCTATGATTGCTTTGCATTAGAACTCCTGCTGTGAAGTCATGGGATTCACAGCCAACAGCAAAGAATAAATGAAAATTCTAATTAGAAATCAAACATTGCACATGTATATTGATATGGACTTAAATTAACGCATTTATTTTGGCACAAGAGAGCACAATTTTTGCTTCCAACCTTGTCTTAAGACAAGATTTCTTGGTGTAACAAACCCTGAGACAAATGCACATATTTTCGACCACAAAATACACACAGTCACACCACTTTACAGTATATCCTGTGAAATGGTTTGAGATGTCTCAACGATGTGACCACGCATACATCAAATTCAAGAATCATTATTTTACATTATGACCAAAGTGTGAGATTCTTTATGGCTCTCAAACATTGCTTTGCAATGTTTTGTTTTTTAAATTTAAATTTAAATCTGCAAACATAAAGATAGGAAAACTGGCAGGAACAAAAGTCAAAGTGTGTGAGATCAGAGCACCAATATCCCCGATGTCTCACACAAAACATGTAAAAGTAGAAGAAAGGTTTACGGAGCAAAAAACAAACTTCTCGATTAAGAGGGAATTAACGGGTGTTCAGAACCAGGTTGAGGTGGCCCAACCACATTTTACGAAGGACACTTTTTTTTCACATAGAATTATACAAAATGATACAGCAAGGAAACATTGTCAAGCGCTTTAAGCTGAATTGAAAGGTGCAATGCAAGTACAAGTTGTATATTATTTGGCCCAACTTGTCTGTGCCAGTGTTTATACCCAACATGAGCCTCCAACCCTCCTATTCCCCCTCTTCTTAGCCCCTTGATTCTCTTCTCCCTCATGTCTATAGCAAATTTTCTCCTAAATATGTTAATGATTGAATACTAAAACCCAGCAGACAGTGGTTTTCATCCCATCGGTCCTCAGAGCTGAAAAACAATACCGCTAGCCGACTGCATCATCCTACACACCACTGCAAAGGCACACCAGCATGCATGTATATTGTATTAAGCTGTATACATACTCCCAATTTGTTGTTTTTTTTAAATCATTTTGATTTTGTTCTCATCACTCCAGACGATGAATTACTTCCTACAGCCCCAGTTGAGATTACAGAAAGAATCTTTCCTGAGGACAATAGGGGAACTTTACATTCCAGATGATATCTTTCATTTTGCAAACTGCGTCAATCTTCCTGAACCAGTTGGCAACAAGACAATGCTGTAAATTTCCAATAAACATTCAGCCTCACTTCCAGCAATTTAATAATGCTTTTACATTACTGGCATGTCTCCTAGGGTAAGCTTGTCACCAGAGGCAACTAGTAATATATAACAGCCAGTTTTGCCAGCTTCATATCCGGCAAGACCCCACTCAAAGAGTCGAATCTGGAGCTGCCTCCACATAATAATAATCCTTGCAATTGATACAGCGCCTTTCACATCGGCAGGACATCTGAAAGGCCCTCACAAGATTGACTGTAAAGTGTAGAGTATTTTTATTGGCAAGGGGGCAGGCAATTTGCACACATCAATGTCCTACAAGCAGCCGTGAAGTAAATGACTAATTTTATTTGGGGGATTGTTGACCAGGAAATCTGGGGAAACTCCTTTCTCTTTCCAAATAGTGACATGAGATCTTTAACATCCACCGGGAACAGGCAACCATCTCATCCAAATGACGGCCCCTTCAAATGGTGCTCCCCCTGCTCTACATTGTATTGAGTAAACACTGGCACAGACAAGATGGACCAAATACAATACAACTTGCACTTGCATTGCGCCTTTCAATTCAGGAGGACAGTCCACAGCCTGGACTGTGAGTTCAAAGTCCCAACTCTGGAGCTTGAACCCAAAACCTTCTGAGGCGAGAGTGCTAGCAACCCAGCCGGGTTGACACCAAAACCTGAGATCTGACTCGATATTCTAAAGTCACTGTTGGCACAATGTTCAGTGGCTACGAAATCCTGAAATCGTTTCAACCACAATACTCTGCAGCTTTCTGTGCTCCAGAGCCCCAAGAACCACAACATAAAAACACTAAAAGAGGCATACAAGAAATAATAACAGTAATAATCCTTGCGTTTCATGTAGGGTCCTATCACGTTGTTAAGACGTCTCAAAGCGCTTCACAGAATACACTGTTAAGTGAATTGACTATATTTTGTGGGCGAAATGATATAGATGTTTCTTCCCCCCAACAGTTCGAAGCCTGCAGTGACTCACCATGGTGAATGATCCCATTCTCCAGCAGTGCCTGTCCCAGGTGAACTCCTTCTTCAGGCTTACTGATCTCTTTGATTTCCATCAACCAGGCGACAAACTCACTAGTGAGACAAAACAGGGAAGGAACAGGAACACACATGCTGAGTAACATGACTTCACAAGATTACAAGATTGCTTCGGATGAAGAAACCAATCTCAGACTTTTTTGAGAAGGATGACACCCCCCAAATTGACTGTGGGAAGCCATTTGAAGCTGTATATCTAGATTTCCAAAAGGAGTTCAACAAAGTACCACATGAAAAACTCCTTCACAAATTGTGGGACTGGGTATCAAGAGCAATGGACGTGGACTCAGAATTGGCTGAAATGAAGGAACCAACACCAACAACAACAACAAGATTACATTTGTATAGCGCCTTTCACGTTGGGAGGACATCCCAAGGCGCTGGACAGAGTACAGCATTTCAGACACGAGCTGGGGTCGTGGGGGGGGGATGGGAGGGGATGGGGAAGGGGGGTGGCCGATGGCATGGTCGAAGAACCAAAGGGTCTTTGTTAGGGAAGCTAGGTCAAAATGGGGAGAGTTATAAGTGGGGTGACTCAGGGGTCTGTACTGGGACTCCCTCCTGTTCCTCATATATCTTAATGACATGGATTTGCACACCCAGTGTACGATAGTTAAATTTGCAGATGACACCAATGACACTGGATGGAATGAGAGGAGGCAGCAATATTCCTACAAAGAGAGCTTGATAGGGTATGCACATGGGCTGATAGTTAGCAAATCAAGTTTAACACTGATAAATGCAAAGTACTACACATAGGATCCAAGAACAGGAAACACAAGTATAACACGAACGGGATTGAACTCGGCAAGGGGGAAATTGAAAGAGATCTAAGGGTGCAAATTGACTCTATCCCTCACAATGTCAAATTAGTCTGAGGCAGCAATAACCAAGGTAAACAGGATGCTGGGTTATATTGTTAAATCAGTTGAGTTTAGATCCCCAGATGTCAGTCTCAGGCAGTTCAGCTCTCTGGTCAGACTGCACCTTGTATACTGCATATAGATCTGATCACCACAACGTAAGGGAGCACCAGGCTCTAGAGGCTGTACACGGGAGGGCAACCGGGATAATCCCCAGTGTAAGAGGAATGAGTTATGATGTGCAACGATTCAACACAAGCTTCAATCTTGAGAAAGAGAACTCAGAAGACCTCAGAGTGGTGCATCGAAAAGTAAACACAGATCATTACTTCAGCATGTATTATGGCAGCAGAATAAGAGTTGTAAAGAGCAATTTCAGGACAGATAACAGGAATTTTTTTAAAAGCAGAGGGTACCCAATGACTGGAATAGGCTGACAAGAAATGTGATGGAGGCCAGGACACCGGACTCATTTAAAAGCGTTGATGGAAGAATATTAGGGAAGATGTTCTGGTTTCTATTTGAATCCTGCCATTTGCAACCCTGAACCAATATCAATTCAATTAGTAGTGAACTGTTTCATTGTGTAAGCTGCACTTAAATGATTTCTTTGAAGATTGGTTACAAGGAGCAAGCCTTGACTACGAGTTCCTCCAGCACGCTTTGCACATCTTTATCAAACGCATTGGGAACGAATTTTCAGTATTTCTTTATTAGATATCTTAATAAGAAATGTATAATTCATAAATTTCTAAAAGGAGTATTCTGAAGAATACAGTTCATCAGCAAATTCAATGTTTCAGAAATTCAAAAAGTATACATTCCTTATGAAAGGTTGGGATTCAAACCCAGGAGCTTCCAATCCCAAGCCTTTCAACCAACATTCAACCGACTGAGCTACTCAGGATGAGCTCACGGTTTCCATATAGGAATTGTTGGCGGCTCACAATATCGCAATGCATTTTTCTAAACACACTTGTAATATAAAGAGGAACGTTAGCCTGTCCCACTGTGGTAGTCACTATGTTAAGCAAGTACACCCCATGACAAAACACTCCAGTTAACAAACCTAATGAATTCAATTTTGTTTCTCAACAGAAGATTAACCACAATTTTTTTTAAAAAAACAGCTGAAATTACCTGCCCAAGAAGCATTTTGGAAAAGTGCTGAGTTTCCGTTTCCGATCCTTGATTAAGTTGCCATGTTTGCACATCATGTGATAGAGCTTCTCCCCCTTTTCAGAGATCATCACCCAGGTATCTTGCTCCACGCCTAATTTCAAACCTAGTGTAAAAAAGAAGACTTTTTTTTACTTTTAAAATACTGAGGAAGCTGCTGTGTGACATGTTTGACTTAGCTCTGCCAGCTAAAAGGTTAGGCCTTTTATATTCCACCCAAAGAACTACCTCTTTCACTGCGTCTATAGTCACTTCCCACTCTTTCCTTGCTCAAGTCTAATCCGCCATTGTACAATGCTTCAAGACACTATTGTGCGTGAAGCCCACTATATAAATGCAAGTTGTTGTTTTGGTCTCCCCCACTGCTGTCAGCTATTCTGCTCAACTCGAATATTCTCCTTTGCTTTCCTGAATAACCCCAAAGCAATTTTAAATTTACTTTTGCATTAACAATGCAATGTACTGGTCAAAATGACATTAGATTAGATTTCGCCCACGAAATACACAGAAAATCCACTTTACAATACATTCTGTGAAGCGCTTTGAGACATCACAATGACGTGATGAGGTGGCATATCAGATGCAAGGCTTATTATTATATTATTATTAATTTATAAGAGTCAAATTGGTGAAGTTTATCTAATGGGGCAGAATCAAGCTTACCCCATTGCAATGAATTCATTACATGGAGCAGAATAAGCCTCAATGATTCCCCTTCTCCTTAACCTGGAAAGAAATTTCTCTCTTTCATGATCCAAAGAACGATTATCACAGTGGGACCCAAACATCAACAGACAAGCAGTTTTAAAGGATGTCTAAAGAGAATCCCCCAGAGCAATTAGAAAGTAATATCAATGAAGAAATCAATGAACCAGAAACTAAAACATAAAAGGCGGCATGAACAAAGCCTCAGGAAACACAGTAAGACAACTGGAGAACTGCAAATTACAAAGAAAAATAATAGAAAGAAGCTGTGCTATTGTCCTATTAATCTGAATAAAATATATTAAAGAGAAAGTGAACGTCAAGAATGCTGAGACTATACAAACTAACTTTTTAAAAATAATTTAGAAAAATTGAATGCTCAAGATCTCAAAATCAATCCCCATTTGCCCATTGGGGATTTAACAAATCCAATGATTTATTCAACTACACAATGTTCACAGTGTAGTCTGACACCCCAGTGCAGTACTGGGGGGAGGTGGCCGTCCTTTGGATGAGACATTAAACCAAGGTACTTTCTACACATTCTGATGGTTCAAGTGGATATTGAAGATCCAGTGGTAATTTTCATAGAGTAGGGAATTGTTTACTAGTGTTCAGGTCAATCATCTTCCCTCATCCAAATTCTCAAAGAAATCAGAATAACTGATCTTTTGTCTCATTGTTGCTTGTGAAACATTGCTGGCACAATGAATTAGGTTTTCCCCACATATTATCAGTTACTACATTTTGAAATAACTCATTGTGCCAAGTCCTTTGAGATGTTTCCAGTTGATAACACAAACAGTGCTCATTTTTGTTATATCTCTGATGCGGATTGGCAGAACTCTGAGAAAAAACGTCAAAGTAATTCTATCTCTTTTCCAATTGAGAAATAAAGAGGTGTGCGCCAGAAGGTCTGAAAGCGACATGAGGGATAGAGTAATAATTATACCTCGTTGATACAGCTGGAAGCTGTAAAGTGAAAAAAAACACTCCTGTCTGCCAAAGCACATTGTATCAACGGAATCTGAAACCAACAACGAGGCAATGGTAGAGCTAGTTAATGAATATGTACAGATGTACATGAGTAAGTCCCACCTAACATAGGAAATGATGAAGCTCTTCAAGGCTCTATCCTGTGTGAAGGGTGCTATATAAATACAAATTGTTCTTGTTCTTTCCACATCAGCAACCTCCGCTGGAAAGAACAAGTGTGTAGACCTGCAGGTCTGCCCACAAATGTCCCCATGGTACAGTGATCTGCAGTACTCACTCTCTAGCCTTTGAGTCATTTTCTAAAAAGTGGAGCTTGCTTTTGTTAGATAATACTAATAATAATTGTTTGGCACTAAACAAAAGGAAAAAAAAAGCCACATAAACAGGATAAACTGGATAAGAAGAGTTTTAAAAAAATGGTTCTGTGTAGTGTTTCCTACTGTGGGAAGGAAAAACAACAACAAGCAGATGGGCCATGTTGCAGCTGATGTATTTATAGTATCTCCTCAGGGTTCTTGACTTCCTCAATGATGTCACTGTCTCCTGTCTTGTGGATGCCAGTGTAACCCCAGGGTAAGGATTCAAGTGATCAGACGAGAGAGAGATTCATTACAAACTTCTAGTATGAGATTATGTGAGCCTATAAACATGGATGCTCTGGGTGTACGCCAAGTTTGCAAGCCAACTTTTTTTTCTGCAGTAATGAGAGCCTGTTAGAAGTCACCGCACTGTCACATTACAAGGTGGAGGCGTAGAAATTTACGATGCTCTTTTGCAACCATTTTTCTTTCTTTTTTTCTGATCGCATTCTTTGCACTTAACCCTCACCTACAAAATATACACTACACCTTACAGTGATAGATGCATTTAAGATCAATCTAAATATACACTTGAGGGAGAAGGGAATAGAAGGGTATGGGAGGGAGTAAGGAGTGGGTGGAGACTCATGGGGAGTATGAACACGGGCATGGACTATTTGTGCTGTAAGTCTCTGTAAATCTATACATCTCTGCAATTTCTGTGAAGTGCTTTGAGATGTCTTGATACCATAAGGAGCTATATTGAATAGAGGAACTATTATTATTTGTTTGCCGTTAATATTTTCTCTTCTAATTTTTGTTTCCTGCCTACCTTCGGAATGTAGGAATGACGGCCGGAAAGGACCATTGTGTTTGGTCCTAAAGTAAATCAACAATCACAGGCTACTTGAATCTTTCGTGCCCAACAATGTTTTCACACTAAATAGCTATTTAATTCTCACCTGAAGGTCCTGGCTTAGTTTCGTCATGTACTTTTTCGTACTCTGCTTCTACACAATTACATAGAGTGAAATGGCATAGAAATAGACCATTCAGTCCAACTATTCACTGCTGCTGTTTATACACCACACAAACGGCCACCACTCTTAATCTCCTCTATTCCCTCATTTTTATTTGTGGTCAACCGGGTCTCTGACACATGCAGAAACCCATCACCCTGAAAAACAGTTTCCAAACCAAATGGAGAGTTCTGTGAGGACTCTCTTCCTGGCATCCTGCTTAATTAATTTGTTTTTGCCACAGGTTGGCAAGAACCAAAACTTGGGGACCCCAGAATGTGCAATGGGGTGCTGATGGAGTTTAACCATCTAACTATCTGTTTGTAAACTAATTCCCCTTTATTTCTAACTCATGCAACAATAATAATAATATGCCTTATCACATCATTGAGATGTTTCAAAGCACTTCACAGGATTTACTGTAAAGTAGTGTAGGCAAACACTACACTAACAGTATTAACTGAGATAAAATCTGCTAAGGGAACAATACATCTTCCTTGGTCTAGTATTGTTAGCAAATCACGCTCTCCATAGTCACTGATTCTTTCATGCTACATATTACACTTTATAAGCGCACTATAAAGGATATTTATTGACAAGGACAGCTTCAGATGCCTTGAATCTAAAAAAAAAGTCTATTTATTATTAATACAAAAAAGGTCAGCTCTTTAATCTGCTGAATAAAAGTCATATCTAGAATCTCTCCAGAACTTGCTTTGAAGATGGAATCTATGGGCAACTTTTGTGACGCAACTATAATTTAATTCTTTTCCCCATCAAAGTTAAAGGCACAAACAGTACTTGATTTGTGACTGGTACACATTGTCCTGAATATTGTTTATAAGAGAAAAAATATCTGAACGGCCATTAAGATACTTTTAATATTGGAAAACCATTTCCTGTTTAGCTTTTCATTGCAATCCAGTTTTCAAAGACAGTCAGCCCAGAAACCCACAGAACCATTAATAAAAGAGTCCTAAAACCTTGCCACCAGAGGTAGACTCACACTGAAGATTAGTTTTTCGCTGATTTAATGTTCCAGAGGTTGTTCACAGCAGATCGAATTCACAAAAGAATTTGCAAAAGAGAGTTTATGACTTACACTTTCTGCATTCTCGTTCCTTCAAAAAGGCCTCCAACCAATCCTGTTTCTCCTCTGGTGTCTTGGCCATACAGACAAACCATTTATTTTTGGCGGTATTGTGGATCTTCCAGCCGTTGATGACGGTATGGCCACTGCTGTGATAATCGGCTGGAAGAAACAACAATCCTGATCAAACCCACGCACAGTATCGCGTATGCCCCAAACGAAAGTAAATGCACTTAATATGGAGCATTGATATTCTGCTAAGACAATAGTTTCCTGTATCTTTGAACAGCCATTCTGTACGATACCAACCAGTGTAAAGCTGAGAGCACGAATGAAATACGTAACGCACTTGCACGTCTTTTTAAAAAGGTGAAAAAAATCAATAGGCAACTAAAAGGTCCTCATTGTTTTCACAGGATGCACACTAGGATAAGTGCAGACATAAAGGCAAAGAGTAATGCCTGCATCAAGCCTTAAGTAGCCATTAGTGGCTGTGTTTATTACGGTCATTATATAACAGAGGATATCAATATTGTTCAATATTAATACAAAGCGACAAAAGGTTTCTGATGAGTCAAGATCTATATATTAGTTTACTAATGCATACTTCTGCCAGTCAAGCCAATCATATCCTAGTAAATTGTCTTTTTGTACCAAATAGTTGGGGAGAAAGTCCACATGCATTCAGATTGATGTGGAATATTAGAGCATCCAGAATTCGGAAAATTCTTAAATAAATACAGGCTTAATTCTGAAGCCTTTTTCCTGCAAGTTCTTTCCAAAAAGCCACAGTATACCGACTTCAAAGTTAGGATTGAATTCAACGATTTTGTCAAATTCTGGATGCTCTGAAATGGTATGTAAATAGAGTTAATTTAGGCCTCAGAGGAATTTCTCCCCAAGTCTCATTTGAAAGTCACTGGAGTACCAGAATGGTGCTTAGAGGATCATGCTACCTAAGCGAGGTTTAGCTCACAAACTGAAGACACTTCTAAACCTCCACGTTTGCCTCAAGATTAATGCCGTCCTGTCTGGTATTTCTCCTCTGACCCAGTTACCACCAGGCGGGAGAATCTCCTTCCCCTCCCCACTTCCCATCTGAGAGCGTTTCTCTAAGAAATAGTACTCATCAGTTCTGAAAGGGTTAAAGGTCAGTATCCACTGAGATTCAAACCCAGACCTTCCGGTTCTGACTAATCAAGCTGTCAGGATATGAATTGCCATTCGTTACCAATAAAATCCTCTAGTTGAACACACTAAGATTATTCTCTCATCATTATTAAATTCACCAAACCTTTGACAGTGAGGATTTATTATTTTCCGCTGCTAAATTTACCAGCTCTGGGAATACGTTCTTAAAAATTGGAAATGCAAATGTTTAAAGAAAGATCCTGCATTTGTAGAACAAGTTCTTTTCACATCAAAGTGTTTCACAGGCAATTCCTCAGGCTCCCCCACCGCCACCATCCATCTTTAAATCCTTCTCCCTCTCCTATTCTCCATGCCCAACCCTATATTTCTGAAGCTCTCTAAGATATTATCCTTTTTGAAGAATGCTATATAAATGCTAGTTCTTGCTACTGTTAAATGTAAAGATTCTTTTGTCAGCAAACACAGTGACTATTTATGTCAGTCAGGTTCCACAAAAAGCCTTGAGGTGATTAACCAATTAATCTGGTCACAACCCTTTTATATTGTCATCTGAGAACAGATAATAGAGACAATATCTCATCTGTAAGATAACATTTCTAACAATACTACACTTGACTAGTTCCTAACTGGGCAATCAGTCTAAAATATGAACTCCTGACGTGGGGCTTGAACCCACAACCTTCGGGTTCAGAGTCGAAAATATGACTAAGTGAGCCAGGCTGCAGCCGATGAGTGGAGAAAGCACGGCCATTTCTAAGGTCAGTAAATTCACTGACAAAGTGGAAAATAATACCCAGGAGATGTTTCAAGCTACCTGAATTTCTGCTCAAGATATAACACTTCTAAATCACATTCAAAATTGTATTGATCTCGCTAAATTTCGCCCACAAAAATACTTACGGTCACATTATTTTACAGTATATCTTGTGAAGTTCTTTGAGATGCCATAACAAAGTGATAAGGCACTATATCAAACATAAGGATTATTATTATATATATTATCATAAATTGGCTGTTTGCGGAACATTGTTGTGCGCAAATTGGCTCCCGTGTTGCCTCATAAAACCATGCACAGTCACACCAATTTGTAGTCTATCCTGTGAAATGCTTTGGGACTCCCTCACAACATAAAATGAGCCAAACCAAATGTAAGGATTATTATTATTTTAATTGTAATAAATTTCTCCCCTCTCCATCCTGAAAGCATTTGACTCTTCTCCCCTCTCCTGGGGAATAAAATTTCATAAGTGCTGGGTATGCTCCGGTAGTTCATCCAAGAGACCCCATTAATCCAGGCTGACCCCGTTGCAAAGCCTTGCAAGAGAATCAGTCTAATATTGTTCCCCTTATCTCTGGCAATCACGATGTACAAAGTGATGCTGGTGGTACCACCGATCATTTCTGCAGTAGTTAACATCATGTTTTATGCCTTGCCTTCATCAGGAGTGTAATTTTTCTTACACCTTTTAGTATTATTAAAAAATTATTATTATTGAAAAATAAATAATAATAATTTGGTCACTCCATCCACGACTGTTTGTGGTACACTGCTATGCGCTATTGGCTGCTGCTTTTCGCAAAATATACAGTCCATTCACTTTGCAGTATGTTCTGTGAAGCGCTTTGAGATGTCGCACCAAATCTAGGGATTGTTATTATTATAAATCACTCCCATTTGCTTCAATTCCGTTCATAGTGAATCCTCGCTAACCCAGCACATTCAATCACAGGCATCAGAGCTGAGACTGATCTTGTCCTCACCCACGTTCCACACACGAACACGACTGCAAACACACTTCTCATCCTTTTCTAATAAATGATTAGAAGTTGAAGATCTAAAGTTGTTTGAGTGGTCTAATGGCTGGTGTGAAGTAAATAATTAAACTCATTTATAGTTGTGCACAACTATCAAAAAGCAAGTCATAGCTTTTTACATTAGCTTTTTGAGCTAATAATCATAAATCATTAAGATGCACAAATGGATAATGCTCCTTTTGTACTAATGGCAGCAACGTGACATGGCTTTCAGTGGCAGACAATTCAAAGCAAGATTTACATCCCTGGCTCTGAATGACTCAAGATGGTGGAGTAATATTCTATTGTGCAGCATCTGACAGTGTTTAATATTAATAAAAATCTGTTAGTGTGGCTGGTTCTACAATAACATTTAAAGTCTTCAGAGAATTTATAAACCTCTGTGCTTTCAGTTTAAAAATTTGTTTGAGCTCAACGCCAGTGAAATCTGATTAATCCTCTTTCCAGACAACGCCAGCAATTCAATTCTAAAACCATGTCCCAGGAAATGTTTTGGGAGCACGGGTTCAAAATTGATGCAATCGTCTGAAGCTGAAGTTGCAAATACATTCCTTGCCTCAATCAATGCAGAAACTAGATCAAATTAATGCTGAATGTTTCTTTAAAAGGAGCAAACTGGAAACTTTATTGTATGAATATAATGTCATTTGTCCATAAATACACAGACACTGCACATTACAGTAAATCCCGTGAAGGGCTTTGAGGCATTTTGACAACATGAAAGAGGGTTACATCAAGTCGAATCCCTCGCTCCTCCCTCCTCACATTCAAAGCCTCCATCAAGACCTACCATTTTGATCATCTTTCTCCTCCCCACTCACCTCGTCAGCTCCCATCCCCCTACACCCCACTGACCCCAACCCCCAACCCTAGGTCAGGTGCCAGCCAACAAGATGATGTGCTTTGAGTTGTCCTCCCAATGTGGAAGGAGTTATGTAAATGGAAATTGAAATTGCACAGTATTGTATCAAATACTAGGATCATTCCTGTTCTTATTATAATCGGCTACTTTTGAATGAGATGTGCAGACCGGTTCCAAATGAATGCCGAAGATCTTATGATATTGATCCAAAAGAGAAGGATTTTTTTTCTCCCTGTCCTGATCAATAATCCTCCAGATTAATTAACCATTGCCAAATGGGGTATGAAGGAGGCAAATAGTTTTGAGACTCATCAACATGATAAGGTGCTAAGAAATTCTAATAGTTGGCATCATTTGTTATTTGCTTGTTATTCAGACATCTGTATTTTTATTTACTTGTAGCATTTTAGCTCATGTTGATCTCAGTCGGCCACAACTTGAAATAGAATTTAACTTTCTTGCACAGTCAACACCTACTCACCAAATGTTCTGAGTAGCAAAACAACCAAGTTTATGGCTGGATAGCTAAATGTCACAGCGAGAAAAAAAATCCTTCTGAATCGCAAACTGCTGCACATTTTCTCTGCTTTGTGAAAAATCAGTTAGTGATCTTATGGCACTGTATTGTCTCTATTTCATACTTAGTGTAATGGTACCTATAAGGCATGACTGTCAAAAATAGCATTACTATGGCAGTTATGTCGACATCGACCGTTACTCCAGTGTTTCTGTATTTAATATTTTTCTTTTTTAATCACAATATTTCAATGACATTTTGAACCGTTTACGCAAGTCATTGGTTAGACTGCAGCACTGCAGAAAAGGCATCACAGTCATGATACACTGTAGGTTCGCACAGATGAAACCATCGTAGGTTTGCACAGACGACATCGGGGAAGAGAGGTTAGAGAAATGACAGGACTCAAAAGAATTAGAACAGAGAATTGGAATAGAGGGACTGAGTAGTTGTCAAAATTATGAAAGATTTAGAGCGACAGAAAGTGAAAAAAAATTCCCATTTTGGGTAGTAACAACTTGCATTTATGTAGTGCCCTTCACACAGTATAGCATCTCAGAGCCCTGTACAGTGGCTGGTTTGGACACCGAGCAAGGGAGAGGGGTAGGTGATAATTTGAGCAGTCAAAGAGGTAGTTCTTTAGGTGGAGTTTAAAGATAGATAAGAGGAGGCCGAGGTGAAGGATTGAGGTAGGGAGTTCCAGAGGTTGGTGTGTAGCAGCTGAAAGCACAGCCATTGGTTTGGGTCCTGAGGGATCTGGGGGCACGAAACAGGCCTGGGCCGGATGAGAAAATGGGGGGGGCAGTTATTTATTCTGGGCTTATTAGAAACATTTGATTGTTACAGAGAGAATCCGATCTCTTTGAAAGTATCCATGACAAATACAGTGCTACACTGCCCTTGTCTTGTTACTATTTCCAGGAGGTTACCTGCCAAGTCGAAACAATATTTTTTAAGCACAAGCAGTTTCTATTATGGGTATTAAAACCACGACTGGTTGGGCTTTCTCTGATATCCTATAATTTCTAAGCCTGATGTGTAAATGGCACAAAAACATCCTGTTAAGTGAACACCACAGCCAAAGCCTTGATTTTTTTTCCCTTTCTATATGCTTGCGGGATTTGTTAATCGAAGGAAAATATCTTGCAGCCATTTGGGAGAAAATTCACAGAGTTTCCACAACATTGCAATCCAACATTATGGTAAAGGGGGGGAGGAGGAGGCACTGAGTTGATGAGATGAAGTAAAGCTAATGGAAAGCAGGGCTGTCATTTAATTATCAGACTGGTGTAATAATAATATAATAATAATCCTTGCATTTGATATAGCGCCTTATCACGTCTTCGAGACCTCTAAAAGCGCTTCACAGAATAAACTGTAAATTGAATTGACTGTACATTTTGTGGGCAAAACATAGCAGCCAATTGCACACAGCAGTGTCCCACAAACAGCTGTGGATGAGTGACCAAATTGTAATAACATCATTAGAGATAGTACCACTTGTCACATTTTGGCACAATGTTTAACACCATCTCTGTAAAGCTCTTTGAGATATTCTTCCATGTGAAAGGTGTTGTATAAATGCATCCGATTGTTATTTGTTTCCCTGGATAATATGAGCAACCATGTTACAGATTTAACAAAACAATCATACGTTTAAAGCATCTGTCAATAATAATGAGGCATAAATGAGAAATCATAATAAATAATGATCCTTGCAATTGGCATAGCGCTTTTCACATAAATAAACACTGTTCAGTAAGTGGATGTAATCGCACATTTAGAATAGAGATAGTTAGAACAAAAATTTATGTAGATTGACAGGAAATCAACATATAAAACAAAAATTTGGAAGAGTAAACAATATAAATGGAAATGAGACAGGAGAGCTGCTTAAGATATACGGTATTCTGTCAAAGACGACAAACTTCATAACTTCACCAACAGAAAAAAATAACTCAGTCAGTCAGTGTATGCAAAGCTCCATTTATAATTCTGTACACATTGTCCAGCATGCGTTACTCATCATCAGTTGAGCAGTCCCCGTAATATATATATTATGAGCAGAAATGGTAGCATGGCTGATATTTGTAGACAACTGGGAATTTATTGCACACAAGAGAATTTGAATAGAATTGCACATGAATAAAAACATGCGGTACATTTTAATTTTTTTTAAAAAAGTCACATTTACCTGTTCCGTCATCCACATTCTCCACCTCCATGACCTCAGTGTTTATTCTGCCCCGAAAAAGGTAACGATGCCCATCAGCAGCTTTCTTAGGGTGTGAGGTGTTCTTCAATCGCCTACAAATTCAAAATGTGTAAGCTTTTACTCTCAGTTATGTCTATGTACATCATATAATCTGCTGCACACTCGTATCTCTCTCCTTTCACAGTGCATTTAAATTATATCAGGGAAGAGAATGAGACAAGTGACAATTGTAGTGCAACTGGAAGCCATTTCTCTTCAGAAAGTGCCAGGTGACTCAGGGCATGGGTTAAATGTGGACACAATTCACTTTAGTGCTTTCTCTTGCCCTCACCCCCAAATTAGTCTTAGAGAATCAACCCTCACTGTGTGCCACTGGAGTTGGAAACAAGCTCATCAGATAAATGGCAGCGTTGTAAAATGCGTAGGGATGTTTAGCTTGTGCCAGTCCCTCTCGGTAGCACTTTCACCTCTGAATCAGAAGGTTGTAGGGTTATGGACTAACGTAGTCTCAGATAACACTCCATTGTAATGCTGCAGTGCATTCCATTGTGGGAGGTGCCGTCCTCTGGGACACTCGGGACCCCTACCCTGCGTGACAGGCCCTATATAAATGCAAGTTGTTGTTGTTGTCCTTTGGATGAGACGTTAAATCAAGATGCCGTCTGCCTGTTCAGGTAATGTTTCTCCCTGTGTCCTGGCCAACAATTCCCCAAAATAAAATTGGTCACTCATTCAATGGCTGTTTGTGGGGCACTCCTGTGTGTAATTGTGCTGCCACGGTTGCATACAAAACACACACTTAACAATCTCTGTATAGCACTTAAAACATTCTTCTACACGAACAGTGTTGTATAAGAGCAAGTTACTTCAGTGATTATCAGAGCAAACTACCGTCCTGTCAACCCAGGGCGGTTTTCACATCAGCCTTCAGGCAGTATTCAAATTCACTACCAGCACCAGAGATAATTATAGCATCGACAATCAATTTTTTTTACTCCTGTTACAGCTTGTGATCACCAAACTGCAATTTCAGGAGTTTAACACAGGTACAGTAGTCTTGAGTGTTATAACTGGTGCTTTGGTGCCTCACAGAGTTAATGGAGCATATTGCACAACAGTTAAACTGGCTCCGCAACCCCCTGGCAGTGGAAACAATAGCATCAAATATCTTCTTAACACATCGGTTCAGTGCACATGGTGTGTAATGTTGCCACATACGTGGGAACTCCTACATGAAATGAAACATTGAGATATCCCATTCTTTCCCCTCCTGCAAACACACAATCACATACAAGCACACAGGGTATCAGCAAGAACTTTGCACTTCCAATTCCATTGTCCAACTTTGCACTGAGAAATACAGGCTGGATGGACCTGGATAGATAGACATCCTCTCTGAGAGTTTTAAGAGTTTCAACTGTGGATGAATTACACATTCTCGATTCCAGATTCTTGCTTGAGTGAAAGATTAACTTTTTTGTTCCGCGTCTGAGCTGAAGTAATGAATGTGAAGTTTCATTCACAAAAAAGAACCAAGTACAATCAAATCAGTGAACGGTTTCTTGTAGCGCATGCACCAAAATAAGACCAAGCTAAATAAGATGATAAATAATGATAATAATCATAATAACAATCCTTGCAATTGATATACCTTCAAGTCATCCAGACGTCTCAAAGTGCTTCACAATATATACTGTAAGATGGATTGTCTGTTTATTGTGGGCAAAACGCGGCAGCCAGTTGCACACAGCAGTGTCTCTTGAACAACCAATGGAGTGAATGACCAATGTTATTTGGAGGATTGTTGGCCAGGACACCGGGAGAGACAAACACCCTTTTTTCTAAATAGTGCCATAGGATGTGTAACATCCATCTGAACAGTCCTTGAGACAAACAGTAATGAAGCCATTCGAGCGCCTTTTCAACCCATTTGATATCACGACTTCGGCACACTGTTTCCTCATGTGTCCACACAGGAAAATTGGAAAGAAAAACGTGTGGTCTGCAGTGTAAGTCTGAATATGATTTGAGGGCATTGGCTTGGATCAAATTCGATTCTCAATTTTACAGCGCCTTCAATAAAGCTGTCAGAGGTAATTATATAGACTTGTACAGAACAACTATCTAGCTATCAATTGTTTTTTCATATCTATTTTGTGACTCCCACGTTTCGGATACAGTTTACATAATAAAAAAAAGGTTTGAACCATGTCTCTGGCATCGGAGAACAATGAAACTACAAGAGTAAGCAGTCACGGTTTTGAACCTTTGATCTTAGTACGGAATCTATTACATATGCAATGCATTATCCACCACACTTATTAAAAGGCTGCACGGGATAAAATACCCAGTATGATTTATTAGTAGCTATAAATGATAATTGAAAGCATCAGCATGAACACAAATTTACTTCAAGCCCCATAACGAGCCTTAAAACTACGTGCTGCACCATTCAAAAACATAATAATAATTGTTATAAGTATGCAGTATTTTAGAAATGTTATGTCTGGTTGTCTTCCACTCTGCATTAAACACAGGGAATCAAACTGAACTGCGGTAATAGGTAAAATAGGTAATAGGTAGTTTGTGGAGTCCTGTAGCTCAGTGGTTAGAGCACTCGCTTTGCAAGCGAGAGACCTGAGTTCAATTCCAGGCAGAGGGCGAAACCTTGGGCAAATTTTCTTACTCCACACGCCTAATAATAATCCCTCCAAAACCAAAACAATAATAAATTGGTCATTTTCAATCCATGACTGTTTGTGGGACATTGCTGTGCGCAATTGGCTGCCGCATTTCGCCCACAAATATACAGTCAATTCACTTTACAGTATATTCTGTGAAGCGCTTTGGAACGTCCTCCCGACGTGAAAAGCGCTATATCAAATGCAAGGATTATTATTATTATTATTATTAAAAGAGAGAATTGTGTAGGAAAAATGTTGCATCACAGAGCTTGTCCAGGCAGCCAGACAAGTTGACACAACATCGGGATTCAGAACAAATTGGGACAGAAATCAGGACTTCTTTAAACAGAGGGTAGTCAACAGCTGGAATAGGCTAAATAGAAGGGCAGTTGAGGCTAGTGCAATGGACTCATTAAACAACCCGCTTGAAATCGTAGATGAAAGATTGTAGGGTTGGTATTCTGGAAGAACGAGGCCAAAACATGTAATGAATCATTGAAAAGTGTTGAATTTCAGGGTGAACTCAAGGCTGACAAAGATAGCTGTTGCAATTGTATTCATCTCACCTGACTAATACATGGCATGAAAGGGTTGAGCAATGACGAAAGTATTTTGGGTTATATTCCCTGGACATGACTTAAACTAACCAGAGGAATTGGAGGCCGCAGCTGTGGAATCAATTGTGCTGCTTAAAGCGGAGATAGATTCTTTGCAGGTCAGAGTTTTGAGGGATTTGGAGAAAAGGAGGGGAAATAGGTGTTAGTGATCTACAAAAATAGTGGAACAAAAACAGAAGTCGCTGGGAACACTCAGCAGGTCAGGCAGCATCCATGGAGAAAGGAAAGTGAGTCAACGTTTCGGGTCTATTATTACTGACGAATCTATCATTACTGACGAAGTTCTGACGAAGGGTCGTGGACCTGAAACGTTGACTCACTTTCCTTTCTCCATAGATGCTGCCTGACCTGCTGAGTGTTCCCAGCGACCTCTGTTTTCGTTCCAGATTTCCAACATCTGCAGTATTTTGCTTTTTAGAGCAAGGTTTGGAGCAGGTTTGATAGACGAGATGACCTGCAGTCCATACTGTCCTGTTCAAATGGACGTTAAACGTCCCACAACGCTGTTTGAGAAAGAGAATCACTTCACAGGCAATTGCTGTTTATTTGTAGGCAAACAATGACAGTTGCAGGCAAACATTAGCATGACAGTTTCCCTACAAATACAACGGTAATTACCCTTGAAGAAGCTTAGGGACCTTTTGACAATATAGATGTGAACCAAACACAATATTACATTAGTAAATGAAGCATTGATGCAAACCACACTCTTTGTATCAGGGCATTTGTGTATTGCTAAGTGTACAGGCAGCACATCACCTACCTGTGTTTCTTTTTGCAGTACACCAGCAGGTTATCAAAGAGGAAGAAAAATCGTTCCTGGATGTTGCCAGCTGAAATTTTGAGCAAAACCCCTTGCATCAGCAACTCAGTGCAGGTATCTGTTATGTTTGAACCCTAAACAAAAGTTGACACAAAAACGCCAGTGATTCTCAGGAAATCGAAAAGTCTATCAATAAATATACAGTGTTTCTTTTGTAATGACAAGTGAATGCCCCCTGCCCCACTCTTCAAACTGCAACTTATAATCATCAACTGAACTTACCTGACGCACTCAAACACGTTCTCCAAAGTGAATTGAGCTACATAAATGCAAGTGGCTGTTGTTAATGATTTATCGCTTTGATTTTATTTCAAAAGAAAGCATAGCAAAACACATTCATATGACCCAACTGAGCTTGCTCTGAATCACTTTGTCTCAACTTGGAAGCCGGTTCTTTTTGAAAACTGCAGAAATGCATCCCAATTAAGACTGAACGTAAGAATTTTCCATCATTCTGCGTGACCTTAAAAATTAACGCAAAATGGTCTTACATTAAGAACAGGTGGAATTTAGAGTCACTGTCACAACCGGTAACAACAAGAAAGTGATGTTGTGGGTGTTGGTGGTGGGTGGGGGGGTGGGTGCAGGGTTTCATTCAGAAACCGCAGAAGTTTCGTTCAACAAAATCGCTGTTGGGGTTATAGTTCCTAAGTCTTTTAGTAAATTGTGATTTCAGTCTCAATCCATGCTTCAGTGTCTCTGGTCAAATATTTATGTAGGATATTCTGCTGTGTGTTTGGGCAGAGGTAAGAATCAGAAGTGCTCTGTGCCAATTCCATCATTGAGATGTAACACGTTCAAGTCAGGAGTGTTGGACTCTGAACGCAATTCGCATCATTGTTCCCTGTGCTCACAAATACAACAACAACAATTACAAGATTCCATTTATAGAGCGCCTTTCACGTCAGGAGGACGTCCCAAGGCGGTAAACCATGACGTGAGTGACCAATTTTATTATTAGGGAACGTTCGCTGGGACACGCTGTGGGATCTTTAAGGTCCACCTGAACAGGCAGACGGGACCTCGGTTTCGCACCTCCAACAATGCAACACCCTCCAGCACTGCATTGGAGTGTCAGCCTCGACCATATGAGTTCCAAGTCCCAACTTGGGGCTTGAACCCACAACCTTCTGACTCAGAGGCGACAGTGCTACCGACTGAGCCAGGCTGGCACACTGGATGGAGAGTTTGTGTGTTAGCAGTCGTAAGCTCTGCACTTAAAACACTGCAGCACTTTTAATCGGCACAGATGGAATTCATATTCAAGCAAATGGGGAAAAATAAGTTACAAACAACGATGGATTCCAGATTTTACAGATTAGAACTGTATTTCTCACTGGTTGAAAGCTCCATGGGACTGTACAAACATCTGACACAATAGGGAGCCATTTGACCCTTTTTCTAAAGCTGACAAACGTCTCTATCAGCAACAATAATGCAGTATGTACTTTGCATCTAACACATTTTATGTTGAAAATGGCAAAAAAAAATCCTTTTCTTATTTTCGAACAGTGCCAAGGGATCTTTAACGTCCACCTGAACATGTAGACCGGACTTCAGTTTAACACTTCAAACTGTGAAATGAAATAATTACGATTGATTATAAGTTGCATTGTGCCATTGCCATTTCAAAGAAAGGCAGTCTTTCTCCTGCTTATTTTAGTTAATATTCCTAATCTAAATTTAGCCTCAAATTCAAATTAATTGACTATTCATCTGATTCTCATTTATGGGATGTGGCTGGTACAGATTAGTTGCCATATTTCCCTATGTAACATTCTCTTTCATTTCTGAATCAATCACATTTAGTGCAGCACTTTGAGGCGTTTATTGTTACATGAAAGGAGCTATCTAAATACAAGCTATCACTACAATAATAAGCACATTCGCAGACAAACTAAAGGAGCGAACACTATTAAGTGAGCTCTGCACTTGTTAAGAACGCAGAAGGAAGAACAGAATTGTCTACCCAATGCGACAGACAGCTTTAACTTTTCCTTATTACAACTGATGAAGCTTGTCACAGTGACTCCTTCCTCCACCAAAACAGACTTTGGTTCCCTTTTTATTTTAACCTCACACGAGAGCTCTAACTATCCTTTGTTCCTTTGGTAAGCCTAAAAATAACCAACCTATTTCCTCACACAGCTAAGCAATGTGTTAAACATTTCCTCCTGGGAGGAAATCTCAAGCTTTTTTTTTCTCCCTTTTTGTATTTCAGCTGTTTCGCTCAGGAACAGATGTTTATTTTGTCAAAGCGGTCATGGCACTTCACAACGTTTTAATGCGCTCAATCCAGGGATTGTTAGCTAGTTCTGGCAGTAGCCCTGGAAGCTCCAAACACTTCTTTATTACTGCAGAAACTAGTGAAAACTAAGCAGTTATAAACCAATAAATTAAGGGTTTCTCCTTCCCCCTCCCACCCCTACCTGCATGTACACAAGTCCTTATGTTTATATGAACCCATTTATTCCAGAGCAAAATGGTCAGTATTGCACTCCAGCTTTAAAAGGAGGTAAACATTTGTTAAGTTTGAGGTGGGAAGAAAAGCATTTTTTTACTCTCCCAAGTCCCTCAAGTCACATCAAGGGCTGGTAAGATGTATTTGTAATGGGATTCCTCAATCAGGAGACTGAGTCACACAAATTAAGAATTCCAGATATCCTGAGGTACATCAAGCCGACACACTGAACTGGTTTCAAGGAGTTCCCTTGGAACATAGGAACATAGGAATTAGGAGCAGGAATAGGCCCTTCGAGCCTGCCCCGCCATTCAATAAGATCATGGCTGATCTTCTAACCTAACTCCATCTGTCTGCCTTATCCCCATATTCCTTAATCTCTCTTGGGTCTATACCTAATAGCATACACATCAGGTCACCACAATATAAGGGGGCTGCTCAGACAGTACAGAGGACTGCAACAAGGATGATCCCCAGCATTAGAGAAATGAGCTATGAATGATTAGAGAAGCTGGGGCTCTTCAGTCTTAAGGGAAGGCGACTTAGAGGGAACCTTATACAAGTGCATAACATTTTAAATGGGATTGAAGAAGTAAACCCAGAATAATACTTCAGGATGCATTAACAACAACTTGCATTTATATAGCATCCTTCGCACAGGGCAGCTTAACTCTAGAGCACTCTACCCAAGACAGTAGAACAAGAGGACAGAGGTTTATAGTTGCAAAGGGCAATTTAAGGACAGAAACCAGGGCAATTTAAGGACAGCACCCTCCAGCCCCTCCCATCACCACACCAAGATGCTTTTTAAATGAGTCCCTTGTGCTGGCCTCAACCACCCTTCCTGGGAAAGTCACAAGATAATAATAATCCTTGCATTTGATATAGCACCTTATCATGTCATTAGGAACGTCTCAAAGCGCTTCGCTGAATATATTGTGAAGTGAAAATAAAAACAGAAGTCACTGGGAACTTCTTTCCCAGCGACTTCTGTTTCTGATTGTGTTTTCAGATTTCCAGCATCTGCAGTATTTTGCAGTGAGTTCTGATGAAGAGTCGTGGACCCGAAACATTGACTCACTTTCCTTTCCCCATAAACGCTGCCTGACCTCTGTTTTTGTTTCAGATTTCCAGCATCTGAGTATTTTGCGTTTTGTTTATACTGTAAATAAAAATGACTGTGAGTTTTGTGGGCAAAGCATGGCAGCTAATTGTGCACAGCAGTTTCCCACAAACAGGAGCAAGAATCTAGACTGATTTTCCAGTTGCCAATCCAGAGAAATTAAGCAGAATCAAACTCACAACCTTTCGATTTGTAGCGTCAAACCGCATCAGGGGAGATGTTTGGTTGGATGGTTTCTAAGAAAACAATACTGTGCAATGTTCACATCCTAAGTGTTACAGTTTAGTGGGATAATGTCTATATAATATATAGACATTGTCCTATATGTGTGCATGTTGGTTGTGGACTCCCCATCCAGTGGAAACATCTTATTTATGTTAACCTAATCAAACCCTTTTATAATTTTAAACACCTTTATTTGGTTCCCCCTTAAACATCTCTTCTCTAGCGAAAAGAGGCCTAACATATCCATTCTATCCTGATAGCAGCAACTCACCAGCCTTGGTATCATCCTAGTAAACTTATGCTGTACTCACTGCTATATCCTTCTTGAAGTGTGGAAACCAGAATTGGATACAGCTCTCCAAATGTGTTCTAACCAAGGTTTTGTACAAATCTATTGTATGTTTATGAAAATGATAACAATTATGGTTGGCTTATAAACGGAGTTGCTACACAAGCACTTAAAGTGACTGCCAAAGCACAACATGGTTTATTTCTGTAAAATATTTTTATTATAGTGATTCCAAAAGCAATACTTAGCAATACTTAGCACAGGAAGGATATCTGTGCCTCTTTTTATATACTTCACCAATTGTCTGTATAATGCAAACTCACACATGTTAATCCACGCTGGGTTAACAGCATCAAGTGCACAGTCTAGTCCAACTATCTCCTTCTTTGGACTCACATGACAACATGAGTCAGAAGGCATGGACTGTACTCTTGATTGAAATTGCTGTGAATTTGCTAAACTGGATAGCATTATTAAACCTGAAACATATTTGAGTTGAAAACTGGCTTGCATTATTTTACAAGTAGTCTTTCAACAGAGCATTTAGTACAATCAAACCCTAATTAAATAAGTAGGCCTTTTAATGGGATGTAACTTGATACATCCATTGGAGAGGGTGGTGGGGAGGGGAAATAGAGGGGTGGAGACTCATGTGAATTATAAACGCTGGCACAGTGTTATTCCACAACAGTGGAAGCACTGCAGCCAATTTAAGAACTGATGCAACCGTTTATTCCTAATCATAGTCCAATACAAGTTGAAAGAGTATGAAAATGAAAGGCGAACTCATTTAAAATGTTTGACTGTCGCCATTTACTTGGATTTAGCTTATTGAATGGTACAACCAGCCAACTCCATTACCTCCCCCACCCTCCCAACCCCACCCACCACACAACGTACTGCTGCGGAATAACATGCAACACAAATGGACTCGTGGAGTCCTGTAGCTCAGTGGTTAGAGCACTCGCTTTGCAAGTGAGAGACCTGAGTTCAATTCCAGGCAGGGCGAAACCTTGGGCAAGTTTCCTTACTCCACACGCCTAATAATAATCCCTTCAAAAACCAAAAACAATAATTAATTGGTCATTTTCAATCTACGACTGTTTGTGGGACATTGCTGTGCGCAATTGGCTGCCGCGTTCGCCCACAAATATACAGTCAATTCACTTTGCAGTATGTTCTGTGAAGCGCTTTGGGACGTCCTCCCGACGTGAAAAGCGCTATATCAAATGCAAGGATTATTATTATTATTAAATGACGTCATGTATGGTTCTATCTCTTTCACAATTAGTGCAACATCGCAAAAAGGGTCTAAGTTGCTGTATTTCTGAACAAATATCCTCAGCCCACAGTGGGAAGCAGATTGTTGCAGAGTGGAGCTACTGATGGCATCAGATGCAGGACTTCCAGTTACTGGAAGAAGTGCTCATTTGCAATGACCCTGATTCCTTATTCATGAATCCAGGTAAGAAAGGCCACAATTTACACTTAAAATATTTTTTATTCATCATCTACGCTACCCGCTATTCCACTCTGGCCCAATGTATAGATTTGATTTTTTGCAACATCCTAACTATCTGGTAACAATTTCCATTTGTACTGGGGTAGCATTCAGTTACACAAAATGACACAGAACATCACAGCATCAAAGCAGGCCGTTTGACCCAAATTATCTGTGCCAGTGTTTATAAATCGAGTGAGTCTCCAGCCCTCCTCATACCCCTCTATTTCCCCAGCCCCTCCCCAATGTATGCATCAAGTTTCCGCTCATCAAAAGGCCTACTTATTTAATTAGGGTTTGATTGCACTAAATGCTTTTTTTTAAAAACTACTTGTAAACTAAAGTTTTCAGCCGAAATATGTTTCAGTTTTAATTCTTCAATTTAACAATTTCCTAAATTCAGAATAGAAGCCCTCATTAGGAAAGGTTCTTGATTTTTTTTGCAATGAAATAATGGATAATAATCAATCATATGAATTGTTTAAATTGTTCTCCTTTCCCTTTATGTTCTTCAAGATGTTGTTGGGTTTGTTTGTGTGACAATAAGCCCCACGCTCTGTACTATTGGTTCGCTTGCATTTATTTTCTCGAATAAACTTGAGTTATTTTTCAAGAACGCTAATATTAGAAAACACAAAATCAACCAAAGCAATGCGAGAACTTTCCCGATGACATCCAAAATCAACTGTACCACATAAAAGGCTATTATTCTTCTTTTGATTCCAGTGTATCTCTTCACTAGCTCGGATTGCTTTAGAGCTTTGCCCCATGCATGTTCCTGGTTTTAATTCAACATATTACAACAACAAAAAAACACAAACGCGTCTTCTTTATTGCAGCTCTGGTGACTTGCCACATTTTTGTGCTTGTAGCTGGTTTCTGCTCTAGCTGACCTTCACACTAGTGCCAATAAAGCTGCTGAAACAAACATATGGTTGGCTTCCTGGTACCTGACAAACCACCTGCAATTCACATGTATTTTGTTCTACTCCGGCGAGTATCTGTCTCAGTATCTGCTGCACTCATTTACTCCTGTGATGCTTCAAATGTAAACTGGAGCAGCTCTGTTAGCCCCTCACTCTTTCAATTTGAAGCGTTTCATATCCAATTTGCTGATTATAATAATAACGCTTACATATAATATACAGTCAATTCATTTTACAGTGTATCCTGTGAAGCACTTTGAGACATCTCGAAGATATGATAAAGCGCTATATCAAATGCAAGGATTATTATTATTTGATATAGCGCCTTTCATGTTAGGAGAATGTCTCAAAGTGCTTCACATAATTTTACTGCCAAGCAAAGCCGTTTATATCCAATCTGCTGATCATAATAATGCTCACATTCGATATAGTGCCTGTCATGTTAGAAGGACGTCTCAAAGCGCTTCACATGATGTTACTGTAGTTAGCGACAGTATATTTTGTAGGGGATTGCAACAGTCAATTTGTGCCCAGCAATGTCCCACAAACGGCCACAAAGTGAATAATCAGTTTTATCTGGGGCATTGTTGGCCAGAATACCGGGAAAAACTCTTCTCTTTCCAAAGAGTGCCATTGAACAGGCAGAAAGGACCTTGGTTTAACATCTCATCCAAAGGACGGCACCTCCAACGATTCAGCGCTCCCTCATCATTGAATTGGGATTGTCAATTTAGACCATATGAGTTCAAAGGCTTGACAAAGGACTTGAATGCACATTGTTCTGACTAGGAGACAAGATTGCTACCAACTGAGCCAGGCCTATACCAGTGATTACACCACTTGAGCAAATATTCATGGGTTCAAATTTCCAAGAACAATGGCACAGAATGAGGGGGTGGAACCTAAGTTAGTCCAGTTTCTGAGCCGGGGGAACTGTAGTACTGCAAGGCACTGCTGATGACAGACCAGCCAGTCTGGCTCTTAGGCAGGACTTGGAGGGGCAGAATGGTGATTGGTGGCAGGAATCCTCCCACTCAGCTCTTGTTAATCCTGGAAGCCAAAGCACTAAAAGGTCAGGTGGTCCTAGCTGGACAAGTAGTGGGAAAGTTTGCCAGACTGAACTTTCAGTGTCAATCTATACAGTTTTAGCTGGTTAAACTCCATCAGTACCACCAACACACACTCTGGGACCCCAAAGCCTTAGCTCTTGCCAACTCTCCGGAATTACGTAAACAGGGTCTGTCCCTCTGGGGAGAGGGAGTGCATTCCACTCCAGACACAGGGAACTTCCCATTCTTAGGTGCCATACATATGTGGAACTCTTGAGTATAGTTTGGATACCATTGAACAAGGTTTCCGCGTGTGTCACACATCCAGCTGAACAAACAAAAAAGAGGAAAAAAGAATGTTTGCATACTTGTACGCAACGTAGCTTGAAACATTTGCGCTATCTTTAAAAATGTACATTGTTGAAGTAAAATGTGTAGGCCAGTAATAACATAATTCGTTACCTCCCATCCTTCAATATGTGACTGCCATTCTTCGAGAATCTCCAGTTTTTCCATTTGTCTCTTAGCTTCATTAATGGTGGAGCACACAGTCTTCATTGCCTGAAGAGCCTCCAGAACTGCCACATAGTCATTGTGTTTCTTTGGCGTCCTCTTCATCAATTCCTACACATAAGTAAACAAACACAGCTGTTCTCAGAGCCATAGAACCATAGAAATTTACAGCACAGAAGGAGACCATTCTGCCCATCCTGTTTGTGCTACCTCTTGCCTGTGCTTTTCCCCATTCCAGAGATATATTGTTGGAATCACATTCCATTCCAATTTATCCTTGGAATTTCCATGTATAGGTGGGATCCATGGAATTATCAGTTTGGTTTGGATGCTCTTAAGCATGGTGATGGGTTTTCGCTTGTGTCACACCAATTTTTTAAAAATCCTTTCTCCTCATACCCCTAGAATTTATTCCCTTTTCAATATCAATCTTGTTCCCTTTTGAAATTCAACGTGGATTCTGCCTCAACCACCTCTCCCGGCAGACTGTCTTCAGTGTATCCTAACAACCCTGTGTGCATAAAAAGTAGTGAAATGTTTCAGAGATGAGTTCAAAGAAATGAGAAAAATGTTTTTTTTTCAATTTCTCTCCTCAAAATTAGCCCTCCCCTTCACCTCCTCCCCTCCATAAGATTATTTTTTTCTTTCTAAGGATTTACAGGCATCAATTACCCTCCATTACCTCTGTGCCTAATATTCATGGGTGAATCTCAACAGTAAGTGCTGGCAGGCCATTCGACTGCAAGGGGTTGGGGGGAGTAAGGAGCATTATCCCAGCACAAACCCATCCCTCAGTCAACATCTACACACTCACACCTTTCAGCAAACGGTTTGGGCTAGTGATTGGGGGCCAGAAACCCAGATGGTTTTCTCCTTCCTAACTCACAGTCACTTAAGCAAATTTTAACACCACAACAAACTGTCCCAGGTGAAGTCAACTAACTCAGCATAATTTGCAATCCGAGCAAGTAAGCTTCTAGTCTGTAAGGCCTAATGGTTTTATCGACGAGAGTTTTATCACAAATGCTGTAGATCCAATAGGGAGGTTAAGAGGAGGCTCTTCCCGCACAGTGTGGTGAGAACTCACTGCCGAAAGCTGGGTTTAAAATAAATAGCATCAATATATTTAAAATAAACTTGATGCATGCATGAGGAACAAGGGAACAGAGGAGTATAGGTGAGGGGAATAGGAGGGGTTGTATGGAGTATAAAAACTTGCACGGATTAGTTGCCCAAATTACCTATCTCTGTAGCTTAACACTCTTACATACCAAGGCGACCTCATGTTGCAATTTGACAGGATTTACCTCATCAAAAAAATGAAAAGCACCAAAGACCTATCGTGAATACAATACCACCAAATTAATTATAATCAATCCTTGCATTTGATACAATGCCTTATCACGTATCCGAGACATCCTAAAGTACTTCACAGATTATATCGTAAAGTGAATTGACTGTATATTTTGAGGGCGAAACACGGCAGCCAAATGCACACAGCAGTGCCCCACAAACAGTCGTGGATTGGTCCTGCGGCATCTTACATTTGAAGACAAAATGGTCGCCAGGGGAGTAAAGTGGAATTTTGTGCTTTGGACATGGATCTGGCTTTAGGGTAGGGCTTGGGGGACGCAGGTGGGCAGGAAGAGGCGGGGACGGAGATATGTGATACACCAGATGAGGCTTAAGATATGAGACTTGTCTTATTATTATCATTATATCTGAAATCGGGAGGCATTTCTTCACACAAAGGCTAATGGAAATCTGAAACTCTCTCCCTCCCCCAAAAGGGTTCCTATTTACTGATAGGTAAACAGAGGCATGTGGACTAAGGAAATTTGCCTAACGTTTCGCCCTACCCAAGTCCTCTTGCTTGTGAGGCGAGTGCTCTAACCACTAAGCTACAATGACTCCATATCCTGTAATTCTAACATTTCTCACCATTACAAAAGTTGAACCCAGATTCCAAGACATGTTTGTTTAATAATGTTTAATAATGTTCCAGGGTATATATTAGGCATCAGCCATTTAAATTGAATTGGCTTCAGCCATTCTCTATGCTGAAAATGATTGGCAAGTCAATCACTTTGCTGTATTAAAAAAAGACAATATTTCATTCATTCATTCATTCATTCATTCATTCAAACACTTCTGACATGTTTTAGCTTCAATCATAAACAAACACCAAGATATAATTTTCTGGTTAAAAACCCATAAAAACATTTCATTCAACAACAAAAAGGGCCCGTTTTGTTAATTGGAGTCCCAAGTTATTCCAAAGTCTCATAAATCTATTTGTTGTTCTGTAAATAGATGTATGATGGCATTTGTTTTCCCTCACTTATGGAAACATGATTTCCTTAGTCAAAGTTCAACCGCAGTCTAGACAGATGTATCATTGCCAATTTCTTAACTCACTTTTCCAGTTGAGTTGTACATGCTGCAGAAACAAGAGACTTGAGCCTTGACAAACAATGCTGCAGAGTGGGACACGGTGACCCTTCTAATTGCAATTGAAACTCTCAGACCAGACTTGATTCCAAGATGTGTACAGCAGCCGGACAAAACCAAAATGCTCATCGACTTGTTCTGATCCGAGCAAACCTGTTGCTTAGCATGTTGCATAGCATTAACTGAAGGAGCCCTTAACATACATTTTAGAGGCAGGAGGTAAATAAACCAATGGCCTGCTCAGATTAAGCAATCATAAAAATAACCTTTCATCCAACAAATTGTGCAAGAATATTTTACGTACCTTTAGCAAAAGTGGGTACTTGCATATCCTCTGTATGGGAGCCACTAAGTATCCTTCAAGTGGGACATCAGGGTTCTTTGGACCTCCTAGCAGCATACAGCCCTAGTGAGATGAACAAATGTATGGTTTATTATTCAGTGTAGAAATAATCTCCAATAACTGTGACTGGGAGAGAGTGCAGTGGGTGTGTCACTTATACACCAAACTAAGGTTGAAACAGCGACAGAACACTGTATGTGGATACAAACGTGTCAGGCATTGGACAAACAAGACTAATATTATACCAAGGTTCACCGTGTGAAGTGCTGGGAAACAGCATCAGCACCCAGATGTTCCAGCACTAAGTACAACGCATAAAGCATAACCATGACTCAAAAGAAGCACTCTTCAGAGTACCATGATGGGTAAACCTCCTGCACTGGCTTAGACTGTGGAAGTTATCGCTCCATGTGTTACTTGCATTATTACACTAATACATGTGTTGGCAATCTCCAAGAATCCAAGAATAAAGATTTCTGTAACTGCATTAAGATTTCCATTTGCATTCCTCTTAACCTTAACAAAAAAAACAATATTGCTGAGAATACTTAGTTTGATATTGCAAAGAGAACCTGAACTTTAAACCTGAGATCACCAAGGTCTTGTACCTGACATCCCTGCATTAGATACAGTTTACATGACAGAGCATATTTTCCAGCGATGAGAGTCAGTAACACTACTGCTTTCATTAAGAGCGCTTTTCCAACTCTATCAGAAGCCTAATTGAGGGCTAGCTAAACTAGATCTGTTGATATGTATATTCCTCTTCGTCCTTCAAAGTATGTGAGAAGGTTACCATCTATTTGGGATTTATTTGTATATCTGATTGTCTATCTATTCAATTTTTGAATATTAAACACCATTTACAACACCACAGCCCATTGCATATGCGATGCATACGTGAAGAAGAGAATGGAGGGTTAACGAAGAGGGGATTAAGAGGAACCCAGGCTCATGGGGAGTAAACGACAACATAGACTGGATGGGCTGTACAGCCTGTTTCTGTGCTACAACAATCTACATAATTCTATGTAATAATAATACTTGCATTTGGTACAGCAGCTTATCACATTGGAAAGACCTCTCAAAGTGCTTCACAGGATCTATTGTGAAATGAAGTGACTGTGTATTTGTAGGTAAACACGGCAGCACAGTTGCGCACAGCAATGTCCCACTAACAGCCATGAAAAGAGTGACCAATTTTCTTTGGGGGATTGCTGGCCAGGACATCGGGAGAAACTCCCATTTCTTTTCAAATAGTACCATGGGATCTTTAATGTCCATTTGAACAGGCAGACGAGACTTTGGTTTAACGTCTCATCCGAAGGACGGCACCTCCAACAATGGGGTGTGTTGCATTGTCATCTTAAGACTATGACACACATGGGAGTGTCCCGACATGGTATTTGAAACCACAACCTTCTGACTAAGACATGAGAGCCAAGCCGATACACAATGTAAAATTCATGGGCAAAATCTCCTGCAATTTTAAATTCAAACACTGCTGCCAATAACCGAAGTTCAAGACCGAATGGCAGGCTGAAGAAATCACCTCATAATAATAATAATCATTTAAATATATAATTAGCATTTAATATTGTGCCCTGACATGCCAAAATATCTTCAGAGCTGTCTGATAGTGTAGTGATTGTGCAGCCAATTCAGCACAGTGCTTTCTCTGAGTATTTGGGCTTTGATACTGAGCATAAGTTCTCTGAAAGAACATCTTGTTTAGTCATTTTTTTTTAATCAGTGGAAAAGAGCTATTACATTTTGTACAGAACAAAGCATTTGGCTCTTTTTAAAGAAGAGTCCTAAATCTTTTCTTGTATAATTTCAGGAAAGAGAGGATACATACCAGTAAAAACGTCCGTACGCTCCTTATTTTATTCAGTTCCAATAATAGCCTTTGTGCTTTTTCATGGTTGCTACAGTACTCATCGTAAATGGAGAATCGATTTTTCTGCGTTTACAAACCGAAAGATAGAGCAAAATCTGTCAGAGGTTTTTTTTTCATTCATTTTATTCCATAACAAGTGGGTATGAATATAAGCCAGCAACTAGCAGATCTACAACAACAGCTTGCATTTATATAGCACCCTTCACGCAGGGTAGCATCTCAGAGCTAAAAGGGGAGTTTAGGAAGAACGTGTTTACACAGAGAGTGATGAGCATGTGGAACTCACTGCCGGAGGCTGTAGTTGAAGCAGAAAGCATCATTGCATTTAAGAGGAAACTCAGTGTGTGCGTGAGAGAGAAGAGAATAGAGGGAATCAGAAAGGAATAAGGAGGGATGGAGGCTTGTATGCAGTATAAACACTGGCATTTACAAGCTGGGCTGAACAGCCTGTTGCTGGGCTGAACAGTCTATGTAGTTCTACGTAAACCACATTTTCTAAAACAAATGTGTTTTTTAAAATCTTTTTAAAATCTTCAGCTTGATTTAGTGCTTATACTTCACTTTGTGGAGTATGTTTGAAGCGTTCCCCTAAGTCTCCATCCACAGTGAATTAAAATAGGGGCAGTTTTGCATTTATTCATGAGTTCCTTCAACAAAATAATGAAAGTGAAAGAAAGAAGACATGTTTTAAGAACATGAGCAAGCCACAATGCACTACTGGAATTTGTGTAAAGTTAAAAAAAGTGTAAATTATTTTAAAGTGGTTGAATAACAATAACATTCCTTGCATTTGATACAGTGCCTTATCAGTTAAAGCCTTGCCCTCAAAAAGACAGACAGACAGAAGGTTCGAACCAGCCACCTCAATACACAAGCTTCTCAAATGTGTATCCAGTTGGCATTCAGCAGCTTTCCTGCCAATACTGCTGGTGATAATGCCTTGATCATCGAGAAGAACATCAAGTGGTCTGCTGGCTTAGAAATGAAACACAATAATTTTTCATGGCAATAAATTACAAATTTTGCTGCATACACAACAGATTGTATCAAAATATTTCCCACCATTTCCATTTGTATTTCCAATATCTTTCAAACAAACAGCAGCATTGTTTACTTTTAAGTGACTGACGTGTGAACTTTACATTTACAATATTTAATTACAGTATTACGTTTAATTTTTAAGCCAGCAGATCGCTTGATGTTCCTCTCAGTGATGATCATATTCACTTGCCTTACATTTAATTACTGTCACACTACAAAGCAGTTCTAAACATATAACAAGTCTTCACAATAGGAGCTAACAGGAGCTTTCAGCTGCCTTAAATAAATACTGGCTTGTTTAAAAATGTGTGATGAGAAAAGATATAATCTTGCCATCTAAACCAGTCACAAACATTTACGTGCAAACCAAATAATGTAAAAATAATAATCGTTGCATTTGATAGAGCGCTTTATCACATCTTTGAGACGTCTCAAAGCTCTTCACAGAATATATTGTAAAGTGAATTGACTATATTATGTGGGCAAAACGCGGCAGCCAATTGCGCACAGCAGCGTCCCACAAATAGTCGTGGATTGAGTGACCGTATTTTTTTAAGCGATTATTAACCGTGGAAAAGCGATCCACCGATCGACTAACAAACAGGTTCCGACTTACTGCTCGGTAAACAGAGGGGTGTGGAATAAGGAAACTTGCCTAACATTTAGTCTGTGAGATAATTCAGAAGATTTAGATGCAAAAGGTTATTTCTATGCCAGTGGCACAATTTCTCAAAAGTAACATATCTTCAAAAGGAAATATTGGGAGCGTGATATACATACAAATTGAAGAAAGCAACTTCCTAGTTCATGCTGAGCACCAGGCTCAGGCTGTAGGCATTCCTCAATCATTCCCAAGAATTCTTTATGGACGGCGAGAATGTCCTCGATATTAGAAAACAACGTCTGAAAGAAGATTTGGTTTCAAAAATGAAACAGGATATCACTGTCAGAATTGTAGAAAGGTTTCAAGTTGCTAGGCAGAAATTTCACCCGGGGATGGATTTACTCCGTCAATGTGACATTTTAGAATGAACACAATTTGGAAAATTCTGATGCTCTAAACTGTTATGTAAACATCAATAACAACTTGTATTTATATAGCACTCTTCACAAGGGGCAACGAGCCGGTGGGATGGAGGAGGTAACCGTAAGCACTGTGGAAGAAGAAGGTCTTCATTCGTAATCTAAAAGGTGGGAAGGAGGGAGCAATGTGGAGGGATTTCCAAGGCTTCAGGCGTAGTGGCTGGAAGCGCGGTCATTAATGGTGGAGCAGAAAGGACGAGGGACAAGCAGAGTAAATCGAGTCTGAGGTGGAATATCTGCCGATGCATTTGCAAACCTGAATCTCTTTCCGCAAATCTGTAGCATTTAAGAGTGCCTACCTTTACGGTCTCCTCAGTCACATTCTTGTCCACTTTAGAAGCCGCGTGCTGAATCATTCGTTGGAGGAATGCCTGATGGAAAAAAAAGAATATGTCTGTCTGGGTTACAGCTGCTTCAGATACAAATGTGAGACAATCTCTCAGTGTTTTACCTTCGGTTCATGGAAAAGTCATCGGGGGCTTCATGTCTTGGGGTCAATCTGAAAGAGCGCTGGGGTTTATATACCGTTTCAAGTAGTTTATCTTAGAAATAGCAAATTTATATCATTCACTTTAAAGGGCTGTGGGAAAATAGCTTTCCCTCAGGAAGCTGCTGTTTGTCATGATTTAGAAACCTCTTTGCTGAGCTCCTTCACCTGGGACGTACATCAACAAGCCTGTGGGGATGCCCCCAACTCCATTCCTGCAAGCGATCAGCTGCAAGTGAAGAGTTCTGTTCTTAACCTTTGTCCCGTCTCTTTCGTCTTCTCTGTCTTAATTCAAACAACAACTCTCATTGATACAGTGCCTTTCAAACGGGGTAGTATCTCGGAAAAAATACGCTGAAAGCTGTCTCGATCACTAATACTTTTGACAGCAATGCCATCTATATTACTGTATAATATAGAACTTGAACCCACAACCTTCCGACTCTGAGACAAGTGCTACCAAATGAGCCAGGCTGACACCTGTTTAGAAGTAGAATATATAAATAATAATAATAATAATCCTTGCATTTGATATAGCGCTTTTCACGTCTTCTCGACGTCTCAAAGCGCTTCACAGAATAGACTGTAAAGTGAATTGACTGTATATTTGTGGGCGAAACATGCATCATTTTTAAGCATCTCCACAACCGAATCGACACTGGTCTTCCATTACAATGTTACACCCTTAAGTTGAGTTACCAGCCATTCAGAAACTGAGTCAATGGAAGATTTTAAAACCTGACAGACAAAAGTCTGGGTTTCCAGTGGACCACACAGCATTCAGTAGGCACTGGGTGAAAGATACAATACAATTCATTAGAAGGACGTTAAACAAGGTGATGGAGGGAGTGGGTCAGAGGGGATATGCAGCAGGCCTGTGCTGAGCGAAGGTAGTGGCCAGGCCAGTTGGTTTGAACGAGGTCGTATTGATGGGGTGGGAGCAAGAGGAGGGATTTAAAGGTGAACAAAGGCATTAATGATATATCAGCAGCTCCATTCTTCACTGTGGACCACTCTATCCTCCACCACCATCTCTCCTCTCACCTAAACCTTTCAAGGTTCTGTCCTTGAATAGTTCACATCCCATATCACTTTGTCTCTACAAACAGCTTCTCCTCCAGCCCCCGCACCGCCTCGTGCGGTATTCCTCACGGCTCTGACCTTGGTCCTCTGCTCTTCAAACTGTATATGCTCCCTCTTGGTAACATCATCTGTAGATATGGGGTTAAATTTCACATGTATGCGGATGACACCCAACTCTATCTCTCTGCCTCCACCCTCGACTCCAGGACCACTGATGTCCTCACAGACTGCCAGTCAGATATTAAGTCCTGAATGAGAGCTAACTTTCTACAGTTGAACATCAGCAAGTCCGAGGCTCTCCCTCCGCACCTCAGGCACTGGCAGCATCAGCATCAACAGATGCACATTCCACCTAACCGGTCAAGAACCTAAGTGTCTTGTTCAACCCTCAACTGTCCTTTCTACCCCACATCTGTGCCATGACCCGCTCTGCTTTCCCCCACCTCCGCAACATTGCCCGATTCTGCCACTACCTCACCCCTAAAGCTGCCAAAATCCTATACATGCCTTTATTACATCTAGGGTCGACTATACCAATGCCCTGCTTGTCAGTCTTCCCAACTCTTCCCTCTATAAGTTGTAGATCATCGAGAAGTCTGAAGTTCCTGTCCTCTCTCGCACCATGTTCCATGACCCCCATCACCCCCACCCTCGCCCGACTCCACTGGCTCCCCATCCCTCAGATAATTAGAATTCAAAATTCTCGTCCTCACCTTCAAGGCCCTCAATGGCTTTTCCCCCTCCTACATCTCTGACTTGCTAACCACTTATCAACCTGTTAACTCACTCTGCTCAGCAGGCTCCGGCCTGCTCCATGTCCCCCTCCCGGCCCGGTCCACCACACCATCTGCGATCGGGCCTTCAGCCTCTCTGCCCCCACTCACTGGAACTCCATCCTACATTCCCTTCTTCTCACTCCCTCCATTGCCTCCTTCAAGGCACGCCTCAAGACGTTTCTGGTCGACCGTGCCTTTGGCCTCTCTCCTACCCTCTCTGCCCACCACCCTCCCTGATCCCAAGCCCCCCCACCCCATCCCTGCTCAGGACTGTTCAGCACCTTGGGACGCCCTCCCGAAGTGAAAGGCGCTTTACAAATGTAATTTTGTATGGTATTGTATCTCTTGTATGGTATTAGACTTTGCAAAACATGGTTGTCCACCACCACCCCACTCATCTCCACCAAGTCAGTCACCCTCATCAGTTTGAGAATGTCATTCTCAGTACCCAGTGAATGCTCAGCATTCTTTTCTTCTTAGTCTCACTCTTTCGCTGCCAAAATCAAATGTTTCAGTGTAAACGATAACTCCCACTCCCCAGATGTTCTGTCCTGTGGTCCCTGAAAGTAGTCGGATGTCGTGAGATTGGGGAAAGGGGGAGGAGGCTGTAATTGCTGTCTCTTGATAATGTGCTGCAATTTCACAGATTTCATGCATTTGTGGCATTGCTTTTCTTTTACTGAAAACAATGTGCATCGAAAATGCCAGAAGTAAATTGTGTATATAACTACGCCTCCTACTGCTCACATCCGGGACTAAACTTTAAAACCCTCAAACAACCAGGAGACAGATGTGACCTCAACTTAGAGGATGATAATAATAAAAAGTTTTAGAGAATAATAACAATAAAAAGTTCAAACTTACTGTACTGATACTTATTCATTATTAAAAATACACAAAATCATCTGACCAGAAGGAGAAAGATTTTATTCCTGAATTAATTCCATATATAATAAACGTATATAATCAACGTGTAAGCCTGGCTCATTCAGTACCACTCTCACCTCTGTGTCAGAAGGTTGTGGCTTCAAGTCCCACATGAAGCCTCTGACCACGTTTCACTTCATGGCTGCTTGTGTGACATTGCTGTGCGACAATTGGCTGCTCCGTTAGCATTTACTGTAAAGTCTTTATTTGCAACACTCGGAGATGGGGAGATAAATTCCAGCAGCCAAATAATCGAAGAGTAAAAGGAAATGCGGGGGGGGGGGGGGATTTTGAACCATTTTAGTGCAAATATTCCATGAGTGGTGCTCATTGTACTGATAGCAACAGCCAGCAGGTTGGACGTGTCATAGCAAATCCCAGGCTGGTGCACAGGGATCGTGACTAGGTATTTAGGGAGTTGAACACTCAAGCAGACTTTGCAACCACACAAGGCAGAGCAGTTTTGCAAGATTTATCAATGGATACCAGGAATCTGACTGATTTTACAGTTTGTTTATCACTTGCGAAGCTGAAGTCCTAAATGCCTTCAGAGTATGGATGTGTCAAAGGCTAGATGACTGTGGTGTTGTACCATTCTAATAAGACTACCACTGTCTGAACACTAATGGCAGTGCGTGTACACCTGCAGGTTTGGCCTTGAAGAGGCATTTATGGATATGGGGTGGGGGGAAGAGAAAAAGAGTTCTGCACTTAAAGGAACAAACTCTCCATTGTAAGTGATTTCCAAACCAACTCGTCTGGTAATTCTGAGATGAGCTTTGAGAAAGTTAGCGCCAAATGTAACAGCCGTTAAAGTACGTTCATCATAAAACAGACAAAAGATGGGATTTGCAAAGTTACACTGGGGCAGAAGTAAGCAGTTAGACAAGTTTTGCTGAGGTTTAGATGAACCCCATTGCATATTTTTAGATGCCAAAAAATGTTAGAAAAAAATAGGAACACGCTATTTAACTCTTAAAATTCTGTCATTAACTCCACAACATCCGATGAAATTTTGCATCCTTACTAGGTAAAAATCCTAAACTTTTACATGCCTTCATGATAGTCCACAGGGTGTCACGAACCAGGCCCTGAGCATACAAGATGACTCACAGCCATATAATCCCTCTGAAAAACATATCCCTTGTGTGCAATTTGCACTTCGAAGGCATAGGGAAAAAAGGTTTATTGAAATATTTCTGGACTGTGTGTGAGTGTGTTTATAGCACAGAGGTGGGTGTTCTCTGATTGTCAGAAATGTACTGACTTCTAATGATGGGGAGCTTAGAATGAGATTTCCTCGCTGGAGAACCCTTACAAACGCCTATCTTGCCTGTGATTTTAAAAACTGTGAGTATCAGCCTTGCAGCCATTGCTCAAAATTCGCAGAGCTGATTTCCAGGTGTCAGCAAATTCTCAGTGTGCTTGGTGGAGAGTTAAATATTTTTTGTGAGAGGAAATGATTTAGGCTACTTTATTCAGGGAGAAAATAGCTTTCCCACCGTTTCACAGTCCACCAATAACCTGTTACCGGAAGTTTATCTAATCAGCTTTTGGCAGACTCAGGGAGAAATTCCACCCGGGGGTAGATTTACTCCATTTATGTGGTATTTTATTTTGCCCAGAATTTGGCAAATTTTTAAATACAGCCAAAAGTTTTTTTTTTAAAAAGACCTCAGAAAAGCAACTTCAAAGTTAAGCCTGAATTCAACCATTTGCCAAATTCTGGATTCAGTTAAAATATTATGAGTTGAGAAAATAAATAATGAATAATAATAATAATCCTTACATTTGATATAACACCTTATTGCGTCTTCGAGACATCTCACAAACGCTTCACAAAATATACTATAAAGTATAAAGTATAATAATAATCCTTGCATTTGCCTTTCATGTCAGGAGAATGCCCATCATTTTGCTTAGGAATTCAGAAAAATCAAACAATAACAATAATCTTTATATCGATATAGCGCTTATAATATCTCAGGGCATGTCACAAAGTTTCTGTCAAGTGTAGTGATCTTACAATCTTGCAAATGCTGCAATCAATTTGCATACATCCCACAAACGTCCCATGAAGTGAATGGACAATTTTATT